AATTTTCTTAAGCTATTTTACCCTTTAGCTTTATTAAAGCATTTAATTAATAAAGATTTGTTTTTTATTATTTAAGAGGCTTAATCTTTATTATAAAACGTAGAATATTATGTTTTATATAGCTTATAAGGCTGATGAAATATTTTAAATCCTTTAATAAGCAAGGAAATTCCAAGGCTTTAATAGCCTTTAAGCATTTTTTAATTATAAAAAGGCTAAAAGAATTAATATAATGATTAAGCATAATAGCTATTAATATTGTAAAATAGGATTTTTTTAAGCTTATTAAAATATTCTTTTATTATAGTTAATTAAAAACTAAATAAATATTATTAATATAGTCTTATAAGAAGCTATTTATAATAATAATTATATTATTAATATATGCTTTAATAAGTATATCTTTAAGGAGTTAATTTATTTATCATTATATATAAGCTAGGTTATTATAATATTTTATAATAGCATAATTAAATATAAATTATCCATAAGCTATTATGATAATAAATATTTATTAAGATTTAAGATAGATTTATTATTAATAAAAGAAAGTAATAATATTAAGAATTATAATATATTTTATATTTATAATTTTTAAGAGAATTTAATCTTAGCTTTTTATAAGATATATATTAAGAATTAATATGTAATTTAATCCTTAAATATTAATTACTATGCAACCTTTTTAAGTATTATTTAATATAGTTTATTAAATAATAAATATAAGGAAAGAAAAAGGAATGAATTAAGTTATTTATTTAATTTTTTTAGCAGCTTATAGTTTGTTTAAAGTTTTATTAATAATTTTAGTGTTTTTTAAGGTTATAAGGTAAATTTTATACTTTTTTAAAATTATATTTTATTAATTTTGCCTAAGGTAAATCTTAAGCTATTTATTTTATAAAGCTTTAGCTTAATCTTTATCTTTAAAGATATTTATATTTTTATTAAGGAAACTTAAGAACTTATTTTAATTAATAAGGTTTAGGTTAGAAAATATATTAATGCTTATTAAAGTATATATTTAAAAATTATTTAATAGCATTATTTTTAAATATTAAGAATTTAAGGATTTATAAAAGGTTATAAATATAGCCTTATTATTTTTATTAATAATATAAATTTAGCATTATAAATTTAAAAAATATAAGTATTTTATAAATATTTTATTAAGTATAATAATAAGCTTATTTATTTTATTCTTAATAATTATATAAGCTAAATAAATATTTATAAGGAAAATATAAGTATTAAATTAAGTTAATATAAAAATAAATATTAAATTTTAAATATCATTAATATATAAGCAATATTTAATAAGGAAATAAATAGCTAATTTAAGTAATATAATAATATATTATGCGATAAGTACTTTAGCCTTTATTAAATGGTTATAATTTCTTATTTTTATAAAAATTTAAATATAGCAAGAGTTAATATTAATATATTCTTTTAAATTAATAATATTAAAGCCTTTTAATTTTATAGCGTTTATATTAATAAGCATATTAGCCTTTAAGTTTTTAATTATAAAGACTTTATAAATAAATAAAGTAATTATTATAGTTTTACAGTTAATATATTTTCTTAGAAATTGCAATAATATAAATATATAGTTATATAACTTATGAATTTTCGTTTTAAGTTTATATAATTATAGTAAAGATATGTATTTATAAATTAGCAAAAGGGGATAATTTTATTATAATTATTATTTATTTATTATTATTTAATTATAATTAATATTACTGTAAATATTTAATAATAATTTAAATAATAATTAAATAAAAAGATATAAATAAATTTAAAAGCGAAAATTAAATCTTATTTTAAGTTTTAAGTTAACTTTTATTAATAATTAAATTACCTTTATGCCTTTTATAATATTTAATAGAATATTAAGGCCTTTTAGTTTTTTATTAGCTGCTTTAAGGCATCTTTTAATGCATTATTTAAGCCTTAATTATTTAATGGGCTGGTAATTTCCGCCTTAATTGCGAAAGCTATTAATATTTATTTTTATTAAGGTTAAGGCTTTTTAAAATGAATAAAGTAAATATAATTTATTAATAAATTATTATTATAAAAATATTTAATGTAATAATAATAAATAAATAATAATAATGTTAATATATTAAAAAAGGCAATATTTAAATAATTATTATAATTATTAATGGAAAATGCTTTCTTAAAGGGATAATTAAAAGCCTTAGCAGTTATATTTATAAAAAACTCTTTATTTAAGACTTTTTTAACTAAAGATAGTTAATATATAAGCATATTAAGTTGCTTTATAAAGTTTGCAAACTTACTATAATAAGCTTAATAAGGCTGATTTTATTAATATAATTTAATAATAAATAAAGCTTGCAAGGTAAGTAAGCGATAATTCTTTGGAATAAGCTATTATTAGCGATTTCTTAATTATAGTTATTATTAAGCGGGTTATTATTGCTTATTTTATTATTAATGCTATGCAATGTATTAATTTAATAGCAGCTAAGGTTAATTATATTTAGCATTTTAAATTTAGCTTTAATTAATTAATTAAATTAATAATTAAAATTAATTTTAAGTTTAATTAGCTATATATAATTAATTATATTATAAAAGAGCTTAAAATAATTATGCTTAAAAGCATTGCTATAATTATTATTATTAAGGCTATAAAGGTAAATATTATAAGGCATAAAGAACGTTTAACTTACCTTTATAAATAAGTATAAGCTAATAAAAATAAATAATATTTTAAGTAAATAAATATTATTATTAAGCTAGGTTAAGAATTATACTTTTATAGTTTTAAATATTATTTAAAAAGCTTTTTAATATTATTGCTTTATTAAGTTTTTAAAGTTTAAACTTAATCTTAAGAGTAAGTAATTTAAATATAATAATTAGTTATATAAAAAGCTTTATATTATAAGCCTTTATATTTATAATAATAGTTTAAAGAAATAAAGTAATATTTTATTTTTTTATAATTTAATAAAAAGATAAATAATTTATTTTAAAATTAGCTATAATATTTAAGAAAAATTTAATAAAATGTAATTTTAACTTATTATAAATTACTTAAATTATTATTATTTTAAATAGCTAATAATTATTATTAATTAAAATATAAAAGTATTATTTAAGTATATTTTTTAAGAAATATTAAGATTAAACTTAATAAATATTATTTATAAAATGAATTTATTTAATATGCTTTAAATACTTAATAAAATAAAAGATATTAAAATACTTTATAATCTTTTTATTAAATTAAATACTTAAATTAATATATTTATAAGAATAAAAATAATTAATATTTATTAATTAAATATTAAAATATTTATTAATGCTATTTTATATAAGTTTAGCTTAAATATAAACTTAAGAAATTAATATATTTATAAATATTATAATAATTAAATATATAAAGTTTTAATTTTATTAATTATAAAGCTATATTATTACTTATATAATAAAGTTAGCAGTATTTTTAGCTATAAGTAATGCTATATTATTATTATTAAATTTAAAGCCTTTTAATTTTATTTTATTATTTATTTTTAAATATAAGAAAAAGCTAAGGTTTTAATTATATATTAATATAAGCGGTATATTTTTAAGGAAAACTTTTAAGAATAATAGTAAATTTAATAAACTTATTATTTAGTAATGCTTAAGTATTTAAGAAAATTGCATTTTAATTAATATATATAATAAATTATTAAGAAGTAATGTTTAATTAATTAAGAAAGCGGCTTAAAGATTAAATATTAAAGGAAATTTAAGTAATAAAAGCGCTTATTAATAAGTAAAAAATATAAAAAGGCTTTTTTACTTTATTAATTAATTTTATAATTAATAAGTTTTGCCTTAAGAAATTAAATTATTTTTATTAAAGGTAAGTTATAAAAAATAAATATATTTAAATTTATTATTTTAAATCTTTATAATATATAAAAACTTAAATAAATAATAAAATTATAAAAGCTATTAAGTATATAATTATTTAAGTTTAGCTATAAAGTTTTATAAAGCTATATAATTAAATAATTTAAATAAATAAATATTAAGATAATTATATAAAAGTAAAGTAAGTAATTAAAAATTAATAATAAATTTATAATAATGTTTTTATTATTTTATTAAATAAGGCTATATTTATAATAATTATTAATTAATATTTAATTCCCGTAATTTAAGCTAAGTTATTAAGGGGTTTTATAATAAGAGGGTTGTATTTAGTTTTTAGTTGTGGTTTTATCTAAGTTTGTGCCAAAGGGCCGAGGGGCCAAGGACTACCTATCAATGCCCATAAGGGGTCTGTGCGGTGCTCCTTCCTCACAACAACGGTCGCATGTCAAGGCGGTTCTTGACAGTTGCTTAGTGTCTCAAACGCTGCAGAGATGAAAAGGCTCCCGGCTCGATCCACAGGCTTGCGAATGCGAATCACCAGGATGACGCAGCGGACATTTTGTTTTTTCCTATCTCGTCCTCTGTTTGCTGTCAACTTGTGAACGACTGAGGGTTAAAGACATGATCAATTGACGGTGGTGATGGACAGCATCGGTCTTTTTTCTCGACAGCCGATCGATCGTCTCTGCAATGTCAATCCTGATCTTCAGGCACCGACCTCAACCACAGGCTGTGACAACATCAGCTCATCGAAAAATGGCCGAGAATGGGCATCCTATGCGCCTGTCCAACCCGAAACACTTGGTCAGGCAATCCAGCACGTGTCGTCTCATCGGACCCTGTTGACCCAAGCAACTCTTTTCATACCCACATTCTCTCACTCTCACACAAACCCAAATTCGCACTCTGAGTCGTCCGATTTCTACCCATGGAGTCCACGCGAATGGGGCCTGCCAGCCTTGGAGATTGAAACATCAGCCAGTGTCTATCTGACTACCTTTTGTGTCCCTGGTTTTGGCCACACCCTTGAGCACGGGTCCGCTTCGAAAGAGACGGGATGATTGAGTGGTGTATTCAGACGGCGTACTAGTCTACTGGTTCAAGAGCGATTCGAACGCGGCAGGATACCTCCCTCCTGTGATGGGCAGCGACTCCAGCAGTGTCTGGATCTCTGCCAGATCGTCCGCGCTCAATTCCACATCCTGGCAGTTCTCCACCACCCTCTCGACCCTCCTCGACCCCGGGATGGGAATGGCTCCCTGTCGTCTCACCCAAGCGATGGCTACCTGTGCCACTGTTGCGCCCTTGCGCTTAGCAATCTTCTCCACGGCCTCGACGAGCTTGAAATTCTGTTCAAACGCCCCCGGCTGGAAACGCGGGAGGTGACGCCGCAAGTCGTTCTCCGCAATGTCCTCAGGCTTCCGGAACTCCCCAGTGAGCCATCCGCGGCTGACCGGGCTATACGCCACGAGCGCGATACCAACTGTCACAGAATTGTCAACCCGAGAACGAAGTAAGGGACATTGCAGCGGAGGAACTTACGCTCATGACACGCATCCGACACCCCGTTGCCCAACACATCCGTCGTGAACAGGCTCAGCTCGATCTCCACCGCCGCGATCTCCGCCACCGCGGCTGCCCGCCGGATCGTGGCCCCGCTGACCTCGCTCAGGCCGATCCCCCCGATCTTGCCCTCCCGGACCAGCTCCGCCAGCGCCGCGACGCTCGTCTCGACGGGCACGCTTGGGTCCACGCGCGCCATCTCGAACACGTCGATCTTCTTGACCCCGTCAAGGACGCGCAGCGCCTCCTCCACCGACGCCCGGATGCCCTCCGGGCTGCCCTGCGGCGTGTTTGTCGCCCGGTCATATGCGCCCTTGATTGAGAGGACGACCTTGTCGGCGTCCTCTGGGTATCTCGTGAAGTAGTACTTCAGCAGGTGGAGCGAATTGGCCTCTGGCGTGCCGTAGAACATGCCCTGTTGTGGCTGTCAGCTGTGGGTTTCCATGAAGGTCGATCCCGGCGATGTGTCGCCGGAGGGCTTTTGCTCACGCCGTTCCAGAAGTTTGCGCCCTGCTCAAGTGCTGCCTTCATGGCCTTGGCGGCATCTTCGTACCCGACGTTGTCCCACGTCGTTAGACCTGTAAAAGTGTCAGAGCCAGCCACGCTTGTCCAAGTCTCTCGGTCCAAGTCCTACCCATAAGGCCATAGCCAACGGGGCCAACCGGCTTCCCGGCGATGGTGGTTTTTGCGACTGGGCTCATCTTGGATTGTGGTTTGGTATCGATGGTTCACGAGGTAGGTAGGTGCGATCTGCCGAGTAAGCTGTAAATTGTCTGCCTGAATGTCTTATTCTGCTTGAGGAATGCCAGTATCATGATTGAAGCCCTGTATAACCACCTCCTTTATACTCCTGAACCCCGTACACGGGTGCACGATTGATATGCATGGCCATGACTTGCTGAGGAATTAAGGACTCTCGTTATGTCCGCGATTGTCCCGCGCCGGAGCTATGCATAGGCACTGCAACGCGAATGGGCGCCATCAATCTGACCTCGTAGGATCATGTACGTTCGGACTTGGGAAGGATCGGAAAGCCCAAGTCCGCAGAGACGTGCTTGGCCTGGAATTCCGGCCATAGCTGCTGCCTGTGGCATGCATGGTTAGTCTAATTGGAGTCAGCGTACGCCCACCCAGCTTCTACAGTACGCCCACCTAGCTTCCAGCGTTGGCCTACCCAGTATAAGAAAATTAATTGCATCCGCACTAAAATATAAGTACTGCGGGGTTCCTAAGTTAACAAAGCTATAGCTATTTTAAAGGGGTCTTATAGCTACCTCTTTATTTGCAACTTAAAAGTTACTTCTACCCTTTTGCTTTCTACCCCCTCGGCGCCCTTGGCGCCCTCGCTTGCTCTTGTCGCTCTCGCCGCCCTCAGCACCCTCTGCGCCCTCTAAGCCCTTTGCGCCCTCTAAGCGCTCTGCGCCCTCTAAGCGCTCTGGGGCCCTCTGGGCGCTCTGGGGGCTCTGGGCGCTTTGGGGCCCTCTGGGGGCTTTGGGGCCGCTCTGGGCGCCCTGGGGCCCTCTGGGGGCTCTGGGGGCTTTGGGGGCTCTAGGCTTTGGGGGCTTGTATTTTTAAAGTATTGCTTAAATTGGAAAATAGCTACCCTGGCTTATTGGGAACCCCGTAGTACTAATATTTTATAGCGCGTGCAGCCAATTTCCTTGTACTGGGTGGGCCAACGCTGGAAGCTGGGTGGGCGTACTGTAGAAGCTGGGTGGGCGTACGCTGACTCGTCTAATTGCTGGGTGAGAGGCCCACTTGCCGGCCCTTCGCGCTCGGCCCGCACCGCGAGATGGTCATCGCAGGCCAGCATCGCGTGGCCGCGTAAACTCCGATTCGGGTCCCGGTGTCTGGCATCCCAATTGCAGGAAGTTAGTTGACTGATTTTCCGTGACTTGGAGACTTCAGATCCGGCAGTCAAGTTTTGGGCCAGGCCAGAAGCAGGAATATTCTCTCCTTCTGGGCGCGGCAGTCACCTATTATTCCCAAGAAAATGTACAACCTGTCGGCCAGATAATGCTACCACTGCTGTCAGCATATATGCGCATGCAACATTACATTTACGTATAGCTGAGGACACTGGAGATCGGGGAAATTCTGGCCACGAAAACTAGCTATCTAGGATGGAACTCCATGATAATTAATTCTGGACGTTGAATCGATTTCTTGTCTCCTCTATCGATACTGTAACCCAAGGACCAGCAAACCAAACCTGATAAATTGTGCTTAAATGCGGTGATCGTCACGTTGTATTTGTCTGCGAGAGTATTGCATAAGAAAGAAGAAGAAAACCAGAAAGAAAAAAAACGAGCAAATGAGTTCTCTTCTGAAATCGAATAGGGTCAAGTACGCTCGCGGGACACTTCATTGTCTCCCGAGAAGCAAAGTTGTCACAGTCGTTAACAGTAGATGCAGTCAGCTCTATGGCATTCGGAAAGAAAAGCAAGCAGGACCACGCCACCTCAGATACGTCAACGTGCAGCTATCGTAAGCCACATATTGCGCCCGATCACTATGAAGCCATCGTTTTCTGACATGCGGCAACTACCCCTCATTCCAGTGTGGTAGGACAATTATTCTGCCTTGTCATTTCCTCTGCCGAGAACAAGCATCGAGGTCGAAGTTCGGGCCTTCTCAAAATTTGTCCGGACTGATTCTCCTCGTCGTGTACCGAGCACGCTCAGGTATCTGCTGAAAATGGAAATTCAACTTGGCTCTTCGGCCAGTATCATCGCGGCTGCCAAACTGAAGGCTAATGAACTTACTTCAGCGCTGGCGATCGGCACGCGGTTTGGGTCCGCCTTCACTCGGTCAGAAGATGCACGATTGTTCGAGAATCTTGCTACGGCAGCCGGTGTTCGCGTCCAAGAGCTTCCACCATGGTTGCAGCGAGTCCACTTCACCCGCACTACACTGATGCACGGCGAGAACATGAGACACATTGCCGGTATTACTACCATGAGCTCTATTGAGCCGAGCAGCTTGGAGGGCCTCGCGACATTCATCACATTATGTTGCCAGTGGACACAGACACCACATGTAACCTCACGCCGTTTGGTCCGAGATCTTATCACCGGAGAACTAGGTCCGGTTGTGCACCCCGGCTCACTTCGAAAGCCGCTCGGTGCCACTGCTTCAAAGCTTGAGACTTTGTTGGATAAATTCATCCGGGCCACGATGGAATCTGACGCGAAGTCGCCTCAGTCAATGGAAGTGCAGAATATGCTAGCCGAGCTATCAGTCAAGGCAGGCCGCGTCTCATTTGAACCATTTCGGTCTGATCGACTTCTCGCCTCCGATAGGAGAATGCTTACCAGTCTGCTGGCGGGCGGCTCCGAAACAGCCTCACAGTCGATTGTGGCTGATCGTATGCTACAAGATGCCTCGCTCGAGTACCATCTTCACAAGGCCGCGTACACGACACCGTTTCTGTATCCTCGGCATCAATAGCGCTAGCAGCTGCCGCAAACAATGCTGATGTCTATGTGGAATGCCATACAGGAGAAGACGTGTTCTACCTCCCAAAACGACCGTCGAGCGGGCTTCATGACAGTTCAGTGCCCATATTTCTCGCACGACTGTGGTTATGTCAACCCCCATCGTTTGTTAGCAATATCATCGAATTGACTGGCCGTGGTGAGGGAGATTCTGCGCAGCCTGAACAGGGACAACAAGACGAACCTCCGACGATGTGCTATCCCACCATATTCGGTGGCCAGGCTGAACTTGGTAGAGCTGTCGCCGACTACTTGCATTTTCAGGCGCAATACGCGTTAGTTTCAAGGGAGGCGGCAATCTCGACGCTGTGGAGAGGAGGCTGCGAGTACGGTGCCAAGCTTCAACTGAAACGATCTACAAGCGGCCACCATGCGGACTTTCGTCTCGAGCCGCCGCCGACTGATATCAAACTAGACGACAGTGCTAGTCCCCTCACTCAAATCCTGGCAGCATCTGCAAGAGAACGAAGCAGAGGGAAGTGGCAACCCGACGCACGAGACCAAGGAAAACTTCTTCGCGCTACAGCTATTGTGATTCATCAGCTGTACGGGATTGACGATTACGAAAAGAAAGAGTTGACACAGGAGCTACTCGCGGCGTCCGCTCTAGTCAAATTCGCCATGACTGTTGGAATCCTGCATCGAATAACTCATAACGATGACGGCGAGATGTCAGCTTACGCTGTGAACTCATCATTGCTAGAGGAGGAGAAATCTTTGCTTTGGGACTTCCTACCTGAAGCAACAGGTCACGGCATTGGCACCTTGAATCTTATCTTGGCAACGAGCTCGTTATGGACTGGAACAACAGCAGAAACAGCATATCCAGTTTCTCAGAGACATCCGATCCGTTACAGCCCCCGCTCTACCTATGACGCCGCTTCTGATCGTACTATACTCGGGAAAATTGGGCCCCATGGGGTCGTTATCCTTGAGATCATCCGTGACCCTGTTCAATTTTCTACCTACGGACTATCCAGATCACTCATATATTTCACAAGAGGATCGATTCCATTACTGGGTCGCGATAATCGGGATGGCTACCTTTACACCTCAAATCGGTCGATTCGTCGTAGAGAGCGGCTCCTCACGTTGGAGAGTGAGATGGTTCAAAACGCTTGCGACGACGCGATCAGTTACCCCGATCCTGTGATTACGATTGAACCGGATACTTCAAACGAGCTCAGATCGACGATTCTGTGCGCCTGGTACCGTGGAGATCTCGCTTTTGAGATTGATCCACTCAGGGCGCTGTTGAATGTTACCAAAGGTGTGACGGATTTTGGAAGATCAAAAGCACCCAGAACGAAAGTCGTGGAAACTCAGTCTACAGGACCGTTTACGATGCCCGATGATTTTCTGCCCGATGTATTTCCGTCCGATGAAGCTTTCGAGAAAGCTGACTACATAAAAGCACCTGGGAGATTTTGTCCTCAGTTGCTGACCCCATTGGATTTCCTCAAGGAGAAGGGTGTAATTTTGAGACGGAGCAGTGCAGTCTTCAAAGCCTGCAGTCCCACGTGGCTCATATGTGCGGCGGGACTTGTAGTGACCGATCTGGTGTCTGTGACCCGAGAAAAGCTAAGTTATAAAGACGTTCTGTTTGATGAGGGAGAGATTCTTATCGAGTATGTTAGCGAAGGAGGATAAAATACTATGTTGATGTCATACACTCGCTTTCATTTGCGCACAGATAGGTCAGCCCAAAATGAACGCAAAGACAGTTTAGACTCTTCTGGAATTCTTATTGTTTGCCCGTGAATTGCGTGGTCTATACAACGCGCTAGAGTCCTCATGGGGAAGTCTCATTGTGGACAGACATAAGAATAATATTGACCCTAGTCTTATTCAGCTATTTGTAACACATGCTACGTGTTGGTACAAGGTGGCAGAATCTACATCGGTAGAAGACCGGTAATTTGTACAGTAGCAGGTCTATGCAGCCAAGCATTAAATGAGATCTCGCTGAAGGATTTTGACAGAGGAGAAGGGACAAGCAATAACCCCAACATTCTGCATCACTGGAATACGTAGTGTAATCGAGCTCATCGTAATCCACATTCATCGACTAGACATTTCTTAAAGGCTCCCGAGCTATGTACGGGAATAAATCTCCTTATTTCATTCGAACGCCGATTGACTTGTGGATAATACCACAAGGCGGTTTGGCAATTGAAAGGACAATGCCCAGTACCGGCCCAGCAACTGCGAAGTACACCCAAAAATGACGCCCGCCGGGGCCGAAAGCCGGGTCCATGCTGAAAAGACCGGTCACAAAGCTGAGCGGCACAAACACCAACGCTAGAACTGTAAGTCTAGACACGTTCTTTGCTTCCAAATAGACACGGTGGTTTTCCGCTAATTGTAGGTACGTCGTCACGAGCGGCACCGCTGCCTGAAGCTGCTCTCCATGTTGAATGAGACTGGAGGAAAGAAACTCGTAGTCTTCTAGCAGTGATGTCCATTGATCTGACGTTGGGCTCATACGAGCTTGGCGTTTAATGAATAATGTGCATTTATTCACACTCGTCATGGAGGAAGCGACACGACGAGGCCATGATGAAATAGCGGATAATGCTGAATTGATCCTGTCCAGGTCTTGGGCCGAGTTCTCTTCATCCGATCTTGGATTGTCGTAGTCCTGAAGCGAGAAGCACATCACAGCCAGGTAGTTCACCCATTCGGCCGCGATGATACGCAGGGGGAAGTAGGAAATCGCGCCCAGTGAAAGCATCTCTGGACTAAAATCATCAGGTTTGCCAATATTCCAGTAATAAAGCAGTTCTTCAAGCATCGATCGGTCAGTATTGGGTGTTATGTGCTGATGAGAAACATGCGTGGGCGAGAAGTCTTCGGTTCCGCCGAAGAGAGGAGCGCTGGATGCCTGGATGACAAGCTGTTGCTGTCCACGTAAGGACACATATGTATTTTGTATAGGTGAATCAGTCAAGACAATACCTTCAAAATGTCAGAAACTATGCAACGCATTCAACCGCATGTCTCTAATAAGTATCGCACATACCGAGCCACCTTCCACCCCAACTAGGGATTACCAGGACCGAACAGCAGTGCTGTGCAAGGCCAAGCCGTCGGCCTTGAATAGGCGGAAACACGATCACTTTACGACGAATGTTCGACTGGCGGAGCAACTTGTAGTCGGCCCGCTCGATCGCCGGGAAAACGCGGCTGCGGTGATAGAAAAATGTTGTGAAATGTTGGTGCCGCAGTCGAGATGGTAATTCGCAGAATTTAGGTGATTGAGATTCGAAACCCCTCCAATCGGAGTGGACGTGTCCAGCAAAAAACATAGGGTCGATGTCAAGAGTGGATCCAAGCTCGTTCATTACCTCTCTCGTGATGTTCTCTATGAACAGGAGTTGGCCCGTCGTCCCTTTGTCGAGGCCATTCTCATCTTTCAATTCTTCTTGAAGCTCCTTTGCTAGATATACGATGGCATGATATCTCTCTGCACTAATTTCGACTCATCGGGGAAGAACTCGGTCGAAACAATGCGGGTGGCAGAGGACTCGACCTCGGATGAAGACAGAAACGCGTGTAGCGTTCGAAGAGAAGGATTTCGTGCACACATATTCTCGACGAGGTTCGTGTAAGGGGTAGACATGCTGGCGACTCATACTTTGGATACTTTTCACACCGTTGTCGAATCGTTCAGCATCTTAAGAGGGCAGCTTTGAACTAGATCATCCCTGAGCGGAATGCCTTTTATAGCAAACAAGTAACAGGCCGAGCTTCAATTTTGCCCAGAAACGCCCTGTAGATTATAGAGTAGGCTAGGCAGAATCCAAGGCGGACTACTGAGCAAATTTCCAAGTTGAAGCGCCACCGGTAAGCCTCATGTCATTTCTCAGGGGGGCAGTACTACTCGGGCAGTGCAATGCAGGATACCAGTAAATGGGCAAATTATGTTGTGTAACTGCCCGCCAACCAAGAAATACTATTTGAGTGGCTTTCAAATGCCCCTCAACGTGAAATAACCCCTCATTCCTGATTCAACTCGACTGTTTGTCATCATAACCTCATCACACCACAAGTGCGCATCATCTCTATCTTCAAATCCTCCTGTTCCCTAACGATCATTCTCCTCCAATATGGACCCTATCGAAGATTTCGTTGCTGTATATCGACGGGAGCGCGACCAGTGGGAATGCTTGAAGAATCGCGCTTTTGATGTCTGCAATGCCGGCTTGAAGCAGATCGGCGTGATGAGTCTCGTGACGAGCCGCGTCAAGAATGCGGATTCCTTGAAAAAGAAGCTAGACAGCAGAAATAATCTGAAGGCATACAGCAGCCAGAGCTCGATCATGGACGACCAACTTGACTTTGTCGGCTTGCGTATTGCCCTGTACTTCCCTCACCAGAAAGGGGATGTCATTCAAATGCTCAAGCTTCAGTTTCAGTACGGATCCATGCGGCCATTCGATCGAGACTGGAAGCCGGAGGACCCGGGTATCTACCAGAATCTCTTCGGGCAGTACGTTGCTGACCATGTCTGGGTCTCACTCCGTGAGAAAGACCAACCCGGGGCTGGAAAATATGCCACATCTATATTCGAGATCCAGCTCCGTTCGGTGCTAATGGATGCATGGGCCGGCATTAGTCAAGACTTGACATACAAGGCATTTTCGGGTGATCCTACCGCCAGAGAGCTCAAGCTTCTCGACGCGCTCAAGGGCCACGTGGAGGTGGGTGAGCTTGTGCTCGAGCAGCTGTATCACGTTCACCAAAAACGTCTCGAGACAGAGAACGAGCCGATACTCAGTCCTCGAGATTTAAGAGAGGTCATGGTCGACTCTCTGCCGGAGAGCCAGATATCTGAAGTCGAAATCGGCGATCTCGACGCGTTGCTATTGGCCTTGAGGGGTATTTCGGCAGATACTCCGCTCGGCCTTCGTGGCTTTCTGCGAAGTCATGGAATGAGGAGCGATCTGCGTGGTGAGCTGCGTCGCTTTCATCATGAGTTCCAACCAGTACCTCCAACAATAGCATTCTGTTTCTTGCAGAAGGTCGTGGCATACATTTCAACACGAGAAGAACTGCAACGCGAAGTCACAGCTAAGATAAGGAGGTACCAAGACAGGGCTTGGTGGGACAGCCGGTACTGGCAACCGCTCATATGGCTCTCTCTTAAGCTTTCGCCATCACTTGCGGTACCGAGCGTGGCCCTAACAGCATCGCAAGTTCGGAAATACGTCCACTTATGGTGCGCAGAGCATTATGGCCGCACTAGAGCTTCTGGAACATTCGATGATGAATGTGTTATTGACTGCTTTCATCGTACTAAGGAGGGCTCTGCGCTTGCCTTTGAGTTCGTCGCTGAGCTTTGCACCCTGGGTCTTGGTCCAACAGAAGCTACATACATGGAGGAACATGAAGAGTGTGACCACGAGGACGATAGGTTCACTGTGATAGCAAACGCCATGCACAGGGCATATACAGCAGACTCACAAGCATGGGTTGGAGCGGTATATGATTTCAACATATCGCTCAGAAATCACGACACCAAGGACACGTATAGCTTCTTGCACTCGACCGACGTCGCACTTTGGCTGTTGAGCCTAGACAAGATAGATCTCCTAGTTGAGCTGCTCAAGGAATGGCCGCTGGGGGATCAACTCCGCGGTCAGCCCAAGAAATGCTTGGAAGCCATTAATAAGCTAGCAGAGACGGACTCAAGCCAATCGATGCTACGACTGCTGCGACAAGAGACTGGCGGTTTCATATTCTTGGATATAGAGTCTTAGGCTGCCAAAGAAGGCACGAAAGATATGCTGAAGTTCAAACAAGTAGTGTAACTAGGATATTTCCTGAATAGAACTCCCTATATGTCACATGTTACGGGCTCTTGAAGTCTTCAGGAGCAGCAGCATCATAATACACCACCATTACAATATAGATGCAGGCAATCTGAACCCCCTGTCTTAAACATTGATGCCTATTCTAATTGAATTGAGAACCACCTTTATCTTTAAGCGCTAGCGATACGGATCAATTTACACTGTATCTAACTTACCTCGTCACATAGTCCAGTGACTTTCCTATTTCGCGAAACTATAGCCTTCTATCTCCATTCATTACTTCATATATACTACTACATACACTCACACCATGATTGACGTCTTTGTGTCGTGTGGCTTAGTAGAGCACGTTAAAACGTAATACATTTTTTATAAAACATTTAATCCATAATCCATACTACTACATACATCAGGATTACTAGATACAGACTTACTAGCTTTGGAACTGGCACCTGAGCCAAATTCAAATGTGACGGCCCGCAGCTTGTCAGAACACGTGAAAATAGTGAATTGGCCACCCGGGCAATAGGCGTAGAAATTCACTGCCGAATGTATCGTACTCGTCAATGATGGAATCATGGAGCGAAACGAAAAACGAAACCAAAATCGCAGCGCGCCTGTTGTACTTCCAGTATGTGATGGTAGGTGCTAAGCATAGCCGCGATGTGACACACCGGGTACTATTATAAATTATCCTTAGAGGCATGATACTTTGGCCATGTACTACTCCAGCGTCCCGCACAGCCGTACAACCACACTTCGGGGTGGTGCTACGTGTGCTGCCGAGTTTTCCCGACGTGGGCAGGTGGGCTGAGTAAGGAGAGTTGCTTCTTACCGCGACGCCCTGAATATCGGTTGAGATAGCGAAGATGATAGGTTGCCTGATTCTACAGAGATTCGCACTCTTGGACCCCAAGACATGGGCCAAGGTGAAAAGCCCTGGTACACGTGGCGCAACAACCATCTGCAATTTTCGCCACTCAGTTTACGAACGACGCCCGGCTTGAGTTGGAAAGTTGACCGACATATGCATGGTATATGTGAGAAGCCAATCGCATGCCTCCATCGAGCTCGTTTATTTCACTGAAACTACCAGGCTTTGAGGTCTTCTTATCGGATCTAGAAACTCACCTGACTTGGAAGTACTACACTTTTCACCCAAGATATTTAAACGTATTCCGCGGCATTGATCTTAGTAGTTATGCTATCAAAACCTCCATTCCCTAGGTTCTCTGGCTCAGCAAGCAGTCCAACTACCATTCGCAGAGATGTCCCATCCCAACGACGAGATCGAGAAGAGAAGCAGGGCTATCACTCATACGGCCACACAACTGAAAGCACCGGATTCCTGGGGTATCTCCGATACCAAGCTGTTCTTGCAAGAAATATCCACTGGAGCTGCCGTTACGAGACACTGTGGTTCAATTTTTGGTCGTCGCGAAGCAAGTGGCTTGTTAGACGCAATCGAAGCAGCCTTCGAGATCCACGTCCAGGGCCTGCCAGTATGGCTTCGCAACATTGATTTCATCCGGTCCGCCACCATTCGTGGCTCACGTATGCGACGAATCAAGGTTCCAAAGATCATGGACGACCTCAACATGTTCAGGCTGTCCGGACTGGCCACCTTCATCGTCTTGTGCTGTCGTTACAGTGAAGACGAAGATAACATTAACAAAATGGTCGAGCTGCTCGTGGTTGGTGAGCTAGGTACCATAATAAAGATCGATAGGGATCTTTATCCTCAAGTACCGTACACTTTCAAGGGCCACATCGGTACCTTCATCACGTCCTGCCTGGATGCCGATCGAGATTCAGATACATCCCGTCAAGTCAACACCTGGATGGCAGAGCTTCACGATTTCGGCGAACTCACTTGGCACAGTAAAGACTTGTTCATTCGAGAAAAACAAGCAAGCATTGACCTCATGAAAGAGCTGTTCGGAGCAGCAGGCCTCGAGGAGGACATGGCCCGGCGTGCGGGACAGTCGTCCCAAGCGTCAGCCACAGACGACCAAGCTGGAGGCTGGGCCAAGATTCACAATACGCTTCACTTGACAACTGCATATATCGCACTTGCGGCAGCTGCTCATAAAGCCTGTGTTGTTGTCGAATGCATATCAAGCCGCGGATCGAAAAGTTTCCCGAAGGAACTGGACTCGGAGGAGCAGAAAACCGCGTTCCTTGTCCGACTATGGCTGGTCCAGCCTCCAGAACACGTACGAAGCATTCTACGGCAGTCAGGTCGCACTTTCACGTCCGACGTCGAGAATCAGCATGACATGCGTGAGGATGGCGACGAGGAAGTAGTTGTGGTGGGCGGAACTCTCGAGCTTGCTACATGGATTGCAAGAAAGCTTGAGTTCAGGATCAGCCTCACTGAAAACATGGAAGCAGAATCATTTCTTGAGCTATGGAGAGCTGGAGTCGAGTACGGCAAGAAGCTGCGCTGGTCAACCAAAAGACGTTTGTCAACCGCGACTTTCGGGATACTTCTTTTCGCCCTTGAAACCCCCGAGCAACGTTCCAACTTGCCAGTCGAGGCATTGCCTCTATGTAAAGCTTTGCTCAGCATAGATAAACGACTGAGGCCTGTTGCGAGGGACGTTGCCAAGATAGTCCATGGGTTCTATCGTCTGGACGACTATTCCTCCTTCCTTGGGGAAGATGAAGGTGTCGCCGATTCGGAGTACGTGAAGGCGATGCACTTCGTCATAACCTCGATCTCCATCCAGGCTCTATGCAACACCATGAACCCAGTTGGCGACAGCATCGACTCTTACGCCCTGAATCTTGCGACTCTGAATGGTGGAACCAGAGATCTTGGTAACCTCCATGATTTCTTCCGTTTAGCTTTGCACGATGGAGTGCCACCTTTCAGACTCCTCCTTACAGCGGCCTCAGTTTGGGGAGGGGCTCAATTTCGAAATACAGGTCGCCCGGCACCCCAAAGACCAGTCGAGCATTTGCTTGGCGTGGTCTCGCGGCAGTGCACCGTCATCTTCGACATCATCCGTGACCCATTGGCGTTTGCCAGACAAGGCAACATTAACCGGCTCATCTCCATCTGGCGTGGTGCCGTCCCAATGTTACCACGAGATCCAGTGACGAACTTCGTCCATGGCGGAGTAAATGACCGTTGGCTTCACTCAGAGGTCACGCCAGACTTTACTCCCAAACCCAGGCCGCCAGGCTACCAAGTGAAGGGCCAGATGTTGGTGACATTCGAACCCTTCGATACTGAAGCGACACAAGGGATATTTTGTTTTTGGTACGAGGGCCATTTGATTGCCGAATTTGGTCCTCACTCTGTTCTCGTGGCAATTTTGTCGGGTTTGGCGAGGAATACGCCCTCTACCACACTCTCATCTCCGGGACCGTCCCAGAGCACCATCGACATCCAAGGGCGGGCTCCTCAGACCTTTGTTGAGTTGACCAAGTCCGATCTATTAGATCTCAGGGGCTTCACAGTGAAAGGCAATGCTGGTGTCATTGTCAAGGGACTAGGAGATGCGGCATGGGCTACGTTTGCCCTCGGATGTGCGGCTGGTCCCTCGGTCAGCACTCATCACCTTCTCACCTTCATTTACCGCGGCGATCCCACATATTTTGACATCGAGGAGTTCCGTGGAAATATGAACGAAGGTCAAGTAATCATCATGGTGCCATAGGGAAGCTGTGAGCTTGCCGAGAGGTCGGCAAATCCAGCCTTCCACGCTGTTGAAATAGGTAGAGAATCTCGCCAGCACATAGGCGATCAAGATTTGGTTGAAAACTGTCACGGCCAAGTAACGAGGTTTCATGTCAGCGTCATGTTCTCACTGTATGTTGATTGTGGGACCTTTCCTTTTCTAGTACTTGCTTGTTCTGTTTTCCAGGTTCGTGGCCACGTTGTTAAATTCCTCCGCGATGTAGGCAAGGTACATAGTGAACTTCCTCTTATACCTCGAAAACTTGATCTCATCATCCTCCGCCCGCCTGGAGAACAACGCACTCCACAAATAGAACGGCAGTACCGACGTCGGTTTTGTGTTCGTAGAGCAGCAGTATGCACGTGGCTAGACTTCTCTTCCACGGACCATCCAGGATGCCAGGGCTTCATGTTGAACGAAGATAATACATCGTAGTTTCCAGAAGATACGGTCTTCGACAGCTAAGCATCCATGAGATCGCGAACGCAGATGATATATCTGCCGATTCGGGGCCACATGCAGTGGTGAGGTCGGTGGTGAAGACGCTGATGTGTACGATGAGGCTGCTGTGCCTAATGTGCTAATAATTCAAACGTGACATTTTTAATATGACTTCTCATTTTCCCAGGTCCTATCGAATTGTATGATCTATTGATACAGTGCAAACCCCATTGCGCCCTGCATCACAGCAAAGACATCTCCCCATATCACAAGCATTCCCATCCGATATACAAAGAAAATAACAAATGAAACTTTTAACCCAAATCTAATGCAAATAACCAAGTTCTGAATGGTGCCCAAGCCGTGTAGAGTTATCCGACAACCTTGTACTCCGAGTTCCACGCCACCCTGGTCAGCCTAGCCGGGTAGAAGACAAGCGGCGCGACCATGACCAAGGCCATGGGGACGGCATCGAACACATAGATAAACGCCTCGCTGCTCGCGATGGTCCCCTTCGGGCCCTGCGCGAACTCGACCAGGCGGATCAGGTTCCGCAGGATCAGCAGGCCAGTGGCGACGTACATGACGGCAAAGCACCTCCTCCACCGGAGCACGTGGCCGATCCCCAGGGCGACGTCGGTCGGCTCGCGGGCCAGCTTCGACTGGACCCTGACGGCGACGTAGGTGAAGAACACCAGCGCGACCTCCTGGAAGATCAGGCCGCCCAGGATGCACTTCTTGCCGATGGCCATGAGGTCCGAGTCGCCCGAGGCCTGGACTCCCACGCCGGCGAGCTGGATTATGAAGGCGAGGACGTCGATCAGCACGTATATCTTTGTCAGCATGCTCGGGCGGATCAAGGAGAAGCGCGAGGCGTCGAGGGCGGTGATCAGCCGGCCCAGGGACATGTAGATGCTCCCGGCGAGAAGGGGAGGGGCGCAGAGGAGAAGCATTGCCTGCATGATCCACGGCCCGATATGTTTCGGTTCCGAGTGGGCTTGGAAGCGGCCGTAGTAGCCGAAGGCTTCGCCTACAGCACGGGATTCGGGTTAGTCCTCTCGTGGGTGGGTTAGATGCTGGCAAGGGAAGAAATGGGATTGATAGCAGCAAAGACAAGTGGACTCACATATCCCGCCCAGTATCATGGGGATGAAGGACCATGCTCGGAAAAAGAACATGTAGCCTACGTGAACTGCTGTTGCGGCAGCAAAGATTGTCACAAATGCCAGCCCTGCCTCCTTTGACGGCGTGTACTGGAAGTATTCGATGTCAAAGGTGCCATTGGCGTGTTGGTTGAAGACAATATCCATGTTGAACTGAAAAGACTGGACGGCAAGATCAAAGAGCGAAAGAATGAGGAATTCTGTATAGTAGTGGTCGTTGTGAAGTCAAAATCAAGATGAACAGAAAAGACTGAAGTCGCGAGTATGGCGCTCCCAGATAGATATTTTTTTCCTTTTCCCATTATCTTGAGCATCTTTTTGGAAAGGCATTGGCCGAATCAGTTCTGTATTTAGACTTATATCCACTGCTTGGACAGGTCGGTGATTTTACGTATTCCAGGGTTGATTTTTCGTATAAGAGAACACGTAAATTGGCACCGAATAAGGCATCTAGAAGCCAATGATTTAAGCGCATTGGCCCGTTTCGCCCTGCATCCCCGGACATCATGCAACGGGCCGGATAGAATCAAAGCCCCCCTAGTAGCGATCTTCTAACATTGACCTGATCAGACCTTGTTCAGTCATGTTCTGTACTAAGTAGGCTGGTATACGGTAAGCCGACCCGCAGACGACACAATCTCCACCGGTTCAACTTCCGAGGACGGCGGCACGCCGTACCCAGACCTCGGCCAGACCTGCACTGCCCCTGGTGCCGCGCAAGTCTCGCCTGTCTTATAAGTGTTGCCGATTATTCGTATTCATCGTATTTGAAGCGCGCGTCCGCCCCCCATTGACAGCAACTCAATGTCCAAACAAGATTCAAGAGCCAGCCGATCATGTCGGATGACAGCACGACTGCTCGCAAAACTGTTGTTGTAGGTAAGCGCACAAGGCGTACGCACCACAAGTAAGTAGCTGCCACTTCCTGTGATTCTCGAAGACGGCCAGCTCGACTTTTTCTTCTGCCGTACCGCCGAACTCCCCAAGCAGCCAGCCTCCGGCCACTCATTCCAGACCCAGTTTCCTCGTCGTGAGACATAGGATGGCAGACGGCGTCTTCTCCTGCCCCTCCTCTGTTTGGAACACCCTCTTCGGAGCCTGCCTAGCTGACTTCAGACGGTTCAGATCACGGCATGGCTGCAAAAATTGCAAGCTGAGACGCATCAAGGTAGGATATATTGTCCATTTCGAAGCCCGCCTCCCCATCTGCCAGGTCTGGATTTCACCCAGACCGTTGTACAGCACGTCGCGTGCACACAGAGGGCTGAGCAATTCCAGTGCGATGAGACAAAACCAACCTGCGAGAACTGTGTCAAGTTCCGCATCCCTTGCAGTTTCAACTCGAATCCCTCGCCCCCTTCAGATGTCTCCCCGCCGGCCAAGGACGTGCCTCGCCGACGAGGTCGGCCCCGGAAGGACTGGCTGGCAGCCGCCGCCCAATCTTCTTCCGACGACCATGGCCCGGGAAACAAGCCAGACCACGCAGCCGGATCTCTCGGTACACCACCAGAACAGCCACCTCCCTACCTGATCGGCGACCACAGCCTGAACATCACCGACCTCCAGCTCCTCCACCACTACATGTACAAGGCCTCCCTCAACATCGCCAACGCGAGAGGGGGAGGCAGCACAGGCCCGACTGGAGGGGGCCCGTCGACCGGCTGCGCCTGCACATCTGCTCGCTGATGGACCCGGTCGGCTCGGACCCGCTGCTGATCGACGTGTGCCGGGAGAGCCTGTCCGCCCTCGAGCAAATCCGCCCGGCCTGCGAGGCGATGTGGGGCAAGACGCCGGACGAGCCGCTGGAGAGGGACCAGGAGAGTTCTGTCTACGCCTGGCTGTACCGGCTGGGTAATGAATATATCCAGTGTCTGCAGAGGAAGGAGCAGATTGCGCTGGTGGTGTTCGGGTACTTTGCCCTCCTGTTGAAGGAGCTCGAGGTCTTCTGGTTCATGGAGGGGTGGGCGGAGCATATCATCATGGGGATTGACCAGTTCCTGGACGAGGAGCACAGGACTTGGTTGGAGTGGCCCAAGGAACAGCTTGGGCTCACTGAGATTACGATTAAGAAGTATAGGGAGTCCATGGTGTTGACGTAGAATCTATTACATGCATGGGAAATGTCAGCAGGCTCACAACGACTTATCATTATATTGGTATTCTGCAGTACTGCCGCCTTTCACATAGTCGTTCTGCCAGCCATGCTGGCAGCTACAACAGCACCTCCCGGCCAATATACGAACACTGCAGCCCGTCTGTGCTCGGCACCAGAAGGCAGGGAATTGATTCGCTGGTCCGGAGGTCGGCGCATTGGGTCAATGTAGTGAGACCCATCTACCCGCATCGCACATTTCGTATCAAAAGCAAAACATCGAATTGTCTTGATCGGTAATAGTTGCAACGTGCGCCGGTTCCCCTGCAAACGAAGCTGGCAGAATCCACCTAGCTGGACAATCGGGTTGCATCACATGTTCCAATAATTTACTGTTGGCATTGAATGGGCGGGAATACATATTGATGCCTAGCTGGCCTGAGCGGCTGACAGATCTAAGGGCGAAGCTAGACAAGGGGACGAGCGAATATCAAAGCACCTTAACCAAACGAAGGGTGAGGCTAGACGAGAGGGACGAGCGAGTATAAATACGCTAAGAGCGGAGGAACAAAGGAGGTTCTTGCTAGTAAAAGGCGTATGCTCTGGAGAGGGATTGAACTCCTAGCTCTGGAAGTGAAAAAGGGACTCATAACCTGTCGTGATGCTAATTACGCCTAAGGTGCACACTTGATGACAGCAGTGACAGAAAGCCTGACAAGGCAAAGGCAGAGTCGAGCGAGATTTCTACACATTTTTACTGGAGAGACCAGCTAGGCTGCCAGCCTGGTGGTGCTCTCAAAATTCGTGGCATTATGGCGACTTCGGTCACCTTACCCGAGGCCTTGGAAATAGCCATCGCAAAATTCCGGAAGATCACCAACAGTCCTGAGGCTCCTGGCTGCGACTTCAAAAACCAGCAGCAGCAGCTCCGCAGAGCCGTGAATGAAGAGCGTGACGGCAAAGGCCTAGCGGACACGATCTTTCAGACCCTCGACTGTTTTGTTGATATTGCAGGCGTCGCCGCCGACGCTGCATCAACGGTACAGACACCATTGGACCCTAATGACTTGAACAATTGCTCATGATACTAGGTATTCCCTGCCGCTTCTGCATGTGTCTCAGGAATATCATTTTTGCTCAAGACAGTCAAAACGTACCGTCATCTGAGGCTTGCTAGTATTCAAGAGGTCATCGAAGGCCTCTATAAAAGGCTGAACCTCGTCAAGAAGCTCAGCGTTGCAGCCACGAGAGGCGCCAACCAAATCAGCGGCGAGCTGAACGATGAACTCCTTTGCATCATTTGCAAGTTCCTTGAGATCTGCACAATTTACGCCACAGTCAAGAAAGCGAGAAGCTCTCGGAATCCCTTGTCACGTTTGAAGTTACTCGCTCGAGCAGCAATTGGGTCGGACTATGGCATCTGCGAAAAAATCTACGAGATTGAAAAGTCCACCCAGGAGGCACGGTCTTTACAAAATGACGAGGCAAATGAGGCAATTACTTCTTCCCAAAGCACCCAGGCTCAGGAACGCGATCGGCAACACATCATCGACTTTCTCCCGTGTCAGGAACAGGGGTACTGGAAAACCTGGGTGAACTCGGCGCTTGGCAACTATCGGCAGGACTTCGTATCTGAGGCAGCAACATGGTTATGTGAACATGCGGCCTTCAAAAACTGGAGCAATCCCGGCACTGATACACGCACTCCGGTCCTGGTCATCCAATCGCCCACAGATGGGTCGGGTAAGAGCAGTCTCTGTTCGGAGGCAATTGCGAGGCTTCGAGATCCGCATTTTACTACCGGAGCGACGCCAGTAGTTTGCTATTTCTTCTTCAAACCCATTCCGGATACAACGCCAGTTGCAAGTGGGCACAAATCAGCTGGACCAGGAGGCCCTCAGCTTCGCGATGCAGTAATGTCTATTGTTTGGCAATTCTCCAAAATCAGCACGTCCTACCAAGGACACTTGGCACAGGAATGCCGATCTAGGCAAATGCCTCTCGCGGACGGGGAAATGTGGCAGCAGTGGCTTTCGAGTTATATCCCGCCAAAAGGTTCCGGACCAATTTTCATTGTTCTTGACGGAATTGATCAAATCAACTTCGATCACCAAAGCACGGACGAGAAGGCACGCATAGCACTGCATAGCATCATCCGAGACGTCAGCAAATCAGCAAAAGGCAGATTGGACATTCGACTGCTCTTGAGCTGCAGTGAGGGCTATGTCACCGCACGCGTCCAGAAAAGCTTGAGCGGGAATCAATCTCCTACATTAATCTCGAAAGCCGGCATTGCGAGTACATGGCTAAGCAATTTATTGAGAAAAGGCTGGAGTGGGTGTGCGATGGCTTTGACAGCGATCAAGACACAAAAACGAAATGGCGCCAGGAACACAAACAACGGCTTCTTAGTCACGCCAAAAGCAAAATTGGAATGCTGTCCGCTCTTTTCAAAGACATTGGACGTTGCGATCCTCATGATCTCAATCGCCTTCTCGACCAGTACTTGAAGAACTACGAAAAAAGCATTTCAGACCACATCCAATCACTGGAACACAGCCTGGCCGATCATGAGATACATGATCTGAACGAAATCATAGCTTGCATAGTGCTGATGGTACGATGGCCTACACTGGCTCAAGTTCAGGACATTGTAGCACTTCGCAGAGGAACCGGATGGCGACCAACTAAAGAGGCTCTAAAGAAGCAGATTCGATGCTATGGGCGATTGTTGACCGTTTCTGGAGATATCGTATCTTCTGAAGAAACCATGAAGTTCTTTTTAGAACGCAAAGAGCCCAGTGTTCGGATCCCGGAGTGGTTCTTCGAGCAGGACCACCAGGTAAGACTTCTCGATGCAGGGCCTAAAATTGACGCTGACTTCCAACAGTCCCAAAGCGATGAAAGTGCTACAATGGTTCACGAGTCGGAGATCGCGATTGTACGACAGTTTTTGGTCTCGGTTTGTGCCAATGACCTTTATGAGAGACTTGGTTTTGATTCCTTTTTCGAATCTTCCCGCCGGATACAGAATACCGCAAGGACGCCATCAGATACAGTTGTCACCAGTGTGGAGGGCTCGATGAGATCGGGCATGCCAGCTGTCTCATACAACAGGATTAAGTTTGAAAGCTCCAAGGGCTATATAAGGATTGTGCGCTTTCTGTTGAAGTCACTTCAGGGCCCTGAAAAGGCAGCCCACAGCTCAAAATACGAGTCACTTCACAGCTACGCTATGGAATACCTCTTCTGGCATATCGACAACATCCACACTGGCCAGGGCCAGGATACGAGTAGTTTGAGGCGGGTTCATAGGATGTTGATGTCATTATTCACTCGGGAATATTCAATCAAGGTGTGGCTGGGACATGACTGGGCCAGAAGCAGACATCATTTTGAGGATTGGCTGAATACTTTAGTTGAGAGGACTGTGGCCTGGAAAACAAAAGCCAATCCGGAAGAAGTGATACTCCGAGCACACCTTCTTCAAGTTCCCATCCAGATTTTGGCAAATCAATGGCTACAGGACAGGGCCAGAAAATGCCACGTTGAGAGGGCTTATGAACAGTTAGCTAAGTGTTACAGAGAAGTGAGTGAAAATTTCCAGTGTCCAGAGCAATATTTATGAGAAGCTTTCAGACTAATACGGATGTCTAGGCAGGAAAACTTCAGTCTGACCCATGTGACGGCAACCTTATCGCCGAAGTAAAGCGCCTTGTTCGTGAGGATGGCCATTGGCCGCCGGAAGACACGCATTCGGCGCACGTTTCTGAAGCACGGGTCATTGAGACATTTCTTTACTACGAAGACCACCGTCAAGTCGTTGAACAAAGTGGGATCCTGTTGAAGCGATGCAGTGCGAATTGGAGAGTACGGTGGTATCTTGCACAAGCACATTTCCGAGAGGGAGAAGTTCAAGAAGCACAGAAAATCTTGGACATTCTGGATCAGAAGCCCCTCGACTTGAAGTTCCGCCAGAAACACCCCGATGAGATGGCAAACATCTTACAGCTCCGTTGGCAGTCACTTGGGCGGAGCCCGGACAATGAGGAGGACTTCAGGAATGCCTGCAACAAACTTCTCCATTACTTTCCGGATCACTATATTACCATTGATGCGTTACTCAGCAGGATGGATGCAGATGAGAAGCTTGAGTTATATAAGGATCTCTCCAGGAGATTCAAGCAGCCTAAGAGCCCTCCGATTACAGTCATGACTGGGCTCCTCCACAACCACGCCGAGCGCCTGGAATTTCACCAAGATCTAATCGCGTGCTTCCGAAAGCGACCTGACAGCCTGATCCGTATCTACACACAGGCTACCGAGGCGGCAGAAGATGGGCATGCAATATGGTACAAATTGCGTTTCTATACTGCCCTGGCTCTGCATTATCAAGACCCGCAGAAAGATAGAAAGCTACAGATACGCAAAAGCAAAAGCAAAAGCAAAAGTCACCGCTTCAGGAGGTTCCTGAAGCCGGCGATGCAAAAGCCGGAGCGGAAAAAAGCTAGAAGTCTGGAAATGTGGGAGCAAGATGTCGAGACCTTTTTGGGACTTCCACACAAGTTGCCAGAAGAGCCAGAGGACGACAACTGTGCCAATATCATACGCACAGTCACAAGTTATACAGCTGGAATGCTCGCCTCAAGCTATACCAGCATGGCTCGGGGAGAACGAGCTTCCATTCAGGAACATGTCAGGCTCTTGGAACGAATCAAGGAACGGAACGCGCCCATGACGGCCTCAGGCCGTCCTAATCATTTTCTAGACCATTCCCTTGCACGTCTTCACCACCTTGATGGTGAAACTAAAAAGTCTCACCAACGGATCCTGAGTTCCATAACCTCCGGCATCAGACTGCTGACCGACAGTGTTCCACATAATGACTGGCAAGGTTGCTTGGTGTTAATTGAAGCGCTGAAGGCGGTGGAGGATGATAGCAATGCTTTGACAGCCTGTGGTCTCTTATACAATTTGGTTAAGCCGAATCAAGCTTTCTGGTTTCGCTTCCAATGCGATGGGAATTGCACCAGGTCTTGGCCGGATGACATGCAAAGCATATTCATGTGCAGAGATTGTGCTGATGTCCAATTCGGAAGCTGCTGCCACAGAAACCACGGTGAGGTTAGCAGGTCGAACTTAGTATGTGGGGACAAACACACATTTCTTGAGTTCTCGGAAGAAGCAGCTAAGGAAGCCCAGAATACAGAGGAGGGTCTGGTCCGTCATGGGGGCGAAGAAATGCCCCTAGAGAACTGGCTCGATTTGTTGCGCAAGGAGTATCTAGACCCATAACTGCAGCAACGTTGCCCAGGCGACTTGAGTAGTTCATTAGCCTAGTCTCGTATCTGTTTCATAAAATTTCACAGACATCTTTCCTTAGTGATGCTTCTCGAGGGGCCTGCTGGCGAGCCGTGCTGCCGTGGAGCACCGGCAGGGGGAGGCGTCCCAGTTCGGTTGCTATTCGGCGCGCCGGGTGGTGAAGTCCGCGGCTTTGGAGGCGCTGGAGGGTTGGCCGGATCGCGGGGCGGAGACCTGCCCGTAGAACCCTGTGGCTGTGGGGCTCTCGAGGACGAAGGAGTTGTGGGACGACCAGTGGAGGCGCCTGGCGCACCTGAGGCAGTATTTCCAGAGGATTTTCCGGGTGCCAGGCTAATTGCCCCCATTCGTGTAGCGAGTGAGCCGTTATCTGTGCGGTAGAAATCACTGGTCTTGCTGTAATCATTGGCGGTGGTGAGTTTTACGAAATCGGTCTTCCTCTTCGCCTAGTCCTCCTTCCTTATAACTCGGCCTGAGATAACGTTGTTGTATTCGCCCTTGACTTTGTCTTCGCACCAGTCTGTCAGGCGCGCCATCCCATCCAGCGGCGTATTCCCCGGACCCTCCATCTCCCGGTGGTGGTCATTCATCCCCATGCAGGCTAGAGCCCAGACTGCTAAGTTAAAGTTGAGGCGATCTACACTGGCGGACCACGGAATAGACTTGAACTCGAAAGAAGCATAGTGTTTGCCTTTCTTCCCGGTGCCAGGATCCTTGAGCACTAGTTCCTTATCGTCGATTCGGCCAACACGAAAGACTACAACCTCATCTTGTGTAAGGAGGATGAAGTATCTGGTTGCTGCGAATCGACAGTATGTGGCTAATTGCCGCAAAGGAAGTAGTCTCTCAATAGCAACGCTGTAGTAACCCCCCACATTGAGTGGTTTCGGCTTGTCATCGTCAGAGTCCTCCGCGTTCTTCCATGACGGAGGTGCAGGGACCTTCTTTGCTTCCTTTTTGGTCATACTCAGATACTCTGACTTCCACTTCTCTGTTAGCTTGCTGTCACCGATGCGGGAGCTGTTGGAAGGTGCGAGGGTCGTATGCCCATACGCTAGCGCTAGCCTATAAATAGGCTCCTTTTAAGCGTTTAATAGCGGGGAGATTTCTCTCCTTAATAACCATAAAATAACTATTATTTGCTTAATTGCTTTATTAAGTTATAAGCTTAGCATTGCTTAAGATATCTTAAAATATTGAAAAATATTAATACCCTTATTTTTATAATTATTTTTATACTTAAATTATTAGGATTTTAATATTATTAGCCTTTACTTATATATTATTATTATACCCTATAATAGCTATCACGGCTAATAATAATTTATAATAATTTGGCATTCTTATCTTATTTAATATTTTAATTATTTACTTTTTTTTATTTATTTACTTGCATTAATTAATATTAATTATTATAAATAAATAAAAATATATAAATATTATTTAAAATATGCTTAAAAATGTATAAATATTATTTAAAAGATATTAAATATACTTAATTTTAAGCTTAACTTATTATTTTTTTTAAAGTTAAACTTAAAAGGAAAGAACTTTTTAAATTAAAGGGTAGTATAAAGTTGCGGCTTTTAGTTTATTAGCCTTAGTAAATATATTATAGGCATTAAGGAATAATTAAATAAGAATGCAGCCTTTATAAAATGGAAAAAGCTTAATAATTAAGCCTTTATTATGCTTTTAAGCTTAATATATTTAAGCCTTATGATATTTATTATATTATATAAAAAATCTTTTAATGCTTAAAAAATATTAATTAATTAGTTTAATTATAATATTAATAATTTAACTATTTATCTTTTTTGTTAATTAATAAACTTATAATATAAAGATAGCTTTAACTTATAAGGCTATTTAAATGCTTTTTAAAACCTTTAAATAAAACTTTATATTAAAACTTTAATGTTAAAATAATTAATTAAGAAGTTAATAAAGTTACTTTTTAAAAGTAATAAGGTTAAAGGCTTTTTTTTCTTAATAATGCTATTAAATATTATAGATAATGTTATTAATAACTTAAGCAGTTAAAATCTTATGATATTTTTTAAAATTAAACTTAAGATAATGGATATTGTTTTCTATGTAAAGGTTAAATAATTTAAAGCTTATTTTACCTTTATTTAAAAAAGGTTGGCATTAAAGGATGCAAAAAAGGCTATAAAGTTTGTATTAATAAGTATTAACTTTATATTAAGCAATAAAGAATGTACTTAATGCTATGTATGAAATTTTATATTTATTAGCTATTTATATATTAATTATGTAAAGCTTGCTAAATATAAAGTTAATTAGGAATAAAAAAAGGGTAAAAAATAAGTTATTATAAATTAAGTTATAAATAAAGAAGTTATTAAAATTTTTAATAATAATAAGGAAGATATAATAGCATTATATGTTAATATTTTAATATATATAATAAAGTTATTAATAATTGTAAGTACTTTAATATTATGGATTTTTAATTTTAATGCTTTAAAATATATAATAAGATATATAGAAAACTTTAACTCCTTATAACTATATTTAAATATAATTATTATTACGGGTGGTAATTAACTTATTGTAAAAGGTATTGGTTTTATAAAGATCTTCCTATAATTATTGAATGGATTAATTATTAAGAGTATCTTTATTAACGTTTTATATAATTATGTATTAAGGAATACTTATTTATTTAGCTAAACTATAGTTTAAAAGAGATTTTAATTAAATGTATAAAGAAATAATATCTTTTTATTATTAAAAAATAATAAATTTCATAGGATATTATAGGTAAAGTTTTAATATAGAAATTTTAAAATTTAAATAATAAAAAATAACTTTGTAATATTTATAATATATAGTAAATTTTATAAAGCTTTTGGTTATAGTAATTTATTAAAATTAATTGCTTAATGCTTATATAAAGATAAAAACATTATATTAAATAAATTAATGGATTTTCATTATAAATTATATTAACTTACGAAGTTTATTAAGAAATGCCTATATTTATTATTAAAATAATAATTTATATAGCTATTTAAGTATATTTAATTTAATTTATTAAGTAAATTTTTAATAAGATTATTAAAAGGTTTTTAATACTTTATTTTATTTATTAATAATTATATTTAATTTTATTAAATTTATTTTATTATTTAAAAGGATAATATTTTAAATATTATTAAGGGATTTTTAAATATAGTTAAAACTTAATTTAGCATGAAAGTTAAGATATTTGGTTTAAATAATAAGGGTAAATATATAAATAAGATAATTATTGCAATATTTTAAAGATATAAAATTATTTATAAAAAATTATTTTTTTACTATTATAAGTTAAATAGCATGCTTAAAAGGTTTATGCATATTATTATTATTAATACTTATATAATAATTTATAATAAAGATTACTTATTTCTATAGCTTAAAGCAATTTCCTATATAATATACTTATAGAATTAAAAATTATACTTAGCTTTATTATGCTAAATAATGTTATTTAAGGCGCTTTATAAATAAAAGCCTAATATTAAATATTTTTAATTATATTTTTACCTTGCATACCTTTATATTCTTATTAAGGCTTATAAGCTAAAAATAAAATTATTAAATAAAGCTAAAAAGGTATATTTTATAAAATTTAAGGCTAAAAGCGAAATTATCTTTTATTTATTTATACTACTTTAAAAAGTTATTATAACTGCAATATTAAGCTATATTACTTAATTTAATTTAATAATAAAGATTATATAAATAATTAGCTAGCTAAATAAAAACATGCTACTTAAGATAAAGGTATTATTAATATCTTAATTAATGAAACTTATTAATAATATAAAATTTATAAATAAACTTGCAAATAAACTATTTAAATTTGCAAAACTTATTAATAAATTACTTAAACTTGCGGAATTTATATAATTATATAATTCTTAAGGATAATGGATTTAGCCTTTATAAAAAGCAAAAGAAAATATAAATATTATTATAAAATGTTTTAAAGATTTTAATAACTTAATATTAATTAATATAAACTTTATGCTAAATCTTGCTTAATTAGCATTAATTAATGCTAATTACTTTAATTAAATCTTTACTTAAGCATTACTTACTAGCATAATAAATATTAATAATATCCCTAATATATATATATAAGCTATAAAAAGCAATAAAAGGAATGCTTAATAATAGGCTATTAAAAGAAAACTTAAATTACTTTTAAATATAAATATATAGGTTAAAGTACTTATTATTGTAAATTAATATATTATTAATTTTTATTAAATATATATAAAGAAGTTTAATGCTTTTAATAAGCTTATTCGCTATAAAGCTTAATTTATTATTTATAAATATATATAAATCTATAATATAAATTATAATAATACTTATAGCTTTATAACGCGTTATAATAATTTAAGATTAATTATTACTATCGCTATTATAATAAGCTAGTGGCTTTAGCAATTTAATATTAAAATAATATACTTATATAACTATTTAAAATATAATATTTATATATAACTATTATAAGGATATTAAATATTATTTAATAATTAATAAATTATTTTAAAACTTCTTAATACCCTATATAAACTTAAACAATTAAGCTATAAATAATTTAATACTTTTAAAAAGAAATTAATTAAATATTTAATAAAAATAATATTTAATCCTTACGTTTTTATTAAAAATTAAATTATTATTGCTATTTATATTAATAATATTCTTATTATTAAAAGTTCCTTTTAAGTTAATAAATTTTACATTAAGCTTATATAATATTTTAAGTATAAAAATCTTAATTTTTGCAAATACTTACTTAAATTAAAAATTATATAAACTAATAATAAGATTTATATCTTTTAAAAGGGATATGCTTAATAAATTTTAAAATGCTTTAATATATTTAATTATAATTAAAGATAAACTCTTATAAATTTAAATTTATTTCCATAATAAAAGAAACTTAATAATATTGCAATAAATGCAATAATATATTAATTATTTATTAAATTTATTAATTTTCTTATTATTAAAATAAAACTTAATCTTGCGTTTTTATATATAATACTCTTAATATTTAATGCAAAGCTTATAATTTATTATTTAAATATTGCAAAGGGAATGCTTTAATATATTTAGCATATATTAAATTATGCCCTATAATTTCTAAAATAAATATTATTATTTTAATTTACTATACTTAATATATATGTTAACGCTTTTTATAATATTAATTTAAATAATTTAAAAGTATTTAATGAATATATATAATTCCTTAATAGCGGCCTAATTGCTTAATTATTAAAGCGTTAATTTACTATTATAAAATCTATTTATAAAGCGGAATATATAATATATTTATTAATATTATTATATCTTTATTAAATAATTTAAGCATTAAAAGATTTAAATATTAAGTATATTAAATATTTACTTATTTTATATATTAATAATTAGCTAATATTAAACCTTATTTAAAATTATAAAGTTAATGCTTAATTAAAATATATTGCTATTTATTATTACTTTATTTATAAAGGAATTGAAAAAATATATAATGTTTATTACGTTATATTTAAAGATAATCTTGCTAATATTTATATAAAAGCATTACCTTGCTTTGCCCTTAAAAAGGCTTATAGGAGATTAAAATTAAGATAAATACAGGGTTTATATTGCTAGAAGGGGCATTTAAATAATTAACTGGAAATAATATAAGCGAAATATATAAATATTAAATAATATTTATATAATAATCTTAATATAAATTATAGTAAAATATTTAAACTATATTTTTAGCTATTAAAATAAAACATTTCTTATTATTATTAAAATAATGATATTTACAATAAGGGGTATATTAAAAGGTATAAGGGTTGTATGCCTATATGCTAACGCTAGCTTATAAATAGGCTCCTTCTAAGCGTTTAATAGCGGGGAGATTTCTCTCCTTAATAATCACAAAACAACTATCGTTTGCTTAATTGCTTCATCAGGAGCAATACCTGGATGGTAACTGTTAACTCTTCGGCAAATAAGGATTATACTAAAAGGACTGCTCCTCGGCCAAGCCATTCCCGTTCCATTGAATATCCACTCAGTGATATAACGCCGAAGACAGCTCGTGAAATACGAATTCTTCTACTTGAACAGCCTTGAGGCGAAGCAATATGTGGCCCAGCTGGTCATGCTGCTACCAGCTGCTAATTCACATATGTTCCAAAATCTTTTAGGTCTTAGCCGAAGGGCGAGGAATAACCATGTTACAAGTCCAGTTTCCGTCAACCATTAGAGGCTGCCGATACTCCACCACATAGCCTCCTCGACCCGATCGATGTTCAACGGTGTGAGAAAAATAACACTCTTTCAACTAGGTTCCGAGTTTCCCAAGCGATTGCAAAGTCTATTTTGAAATAAGAAATTATGAACTGTCATATGTTCATTTGGCTCCCCCGTACATAAACCTTTCTGGAATTTTATCATGAAAGAATTCAATTCCCACGGGGGATTTTTCAATGGCGTCTGACTTCATCAACAAAGCCAACCCTGATAAACTCAACCCCCGCCTGCCAATAAGCGCCAGTTTAGGTTTTCAAGGCCCAGAAGCGGCTTGACCAGATGAGCGGAGGGAGACTCCCGGCCCTGGAAGTCTCTATCGCCACTCATACACAGTTGGACAGCTCAGCATTGAGTTCAACCAGGCTCACGACATATAATCTCTCGGAGTTGTGCTACTAGAGACCGGTATGTGGGAGGACACGGTCAGCATTTACAGCAATCGTGATGTCCTCAGAAGCCTTGAGAAGAAGTCCAATGGACGACAGCCTACTTCCGAGTCGGTCAAAAGGGCAATGAGGACCTATGCCAACTTGTACCTGCCTCATAAAATGGGCGATGCGTACAGTCAAGTCGTGGATGTGTGCTTGTCGGACGACTTCCACAAAAAGTTGGGCCAGGACGACTTCGCCTTGACTTTTGAAAAGCGCGTACTTGACATGTTGGACGTGAAGACATTGGACGATTAGGATTTTCGGTCCTACTTGAGGGTCGTAAGGTAAATCATCTTTGCTTCAAGGACAAATTAGATCAGGACGATTATCCTATGGACTCACATTCAAAATGTTGGTAAATTGAGATTTTGCTTCTTTCCCTCTTGAAATCTACAAGTATCATCGCTATCATCGCTTTCTGCAATGGAATTTCTAACGGCACGTTCACAAATAGGATATGCCATCAGGTCGTAATTTCAAGCGCCATAGAGAAAACCTTCAAATGGCCGTAATGCATACTGCATTATCGCGGAGTGGCAATTTGGAAGTGAATGGGACTTAGCCCAACCTTCAGTGAGCAGTTCCAGGATTCGAGCGAGACATTCCTCATCCCTGCTAAGATCTAGGCTCTATCAAATAGTTTAAAAGGATAAAGCTACCTGCTCAGCCTTGGTTGAGGGATTTTGCAACCCGACGGTATGCAGCCGCTTCTGCATGTCGATGAGCCGGCCTCCTTGTCCGAAGAGCGAGACCCACAGTCCAAGATCTGGTATTAGTTACTCAAGAAAACTACCTATTAGGTAGTCATAACCAAACTCTTCAGCTTACGCAAGCCATCGGATGGTCTAACTGAGCCAAGAATGGTTACGGGATGTGGATCAAATTGGTAGTGCCGAGACGATGACCCGACGCCGGCCCTGAACACTCGATTAGTATTTCATTCTGAGAAAAGCCTGAATTGTGCCGCTAAGAAGATTTAACTTACATAATACTTGAGAACCACAGATCGGGGTTTGTCTTGGCAATTTTTAGACTGGCAATGATAGAAGAAATATTCGAAATCAGACAAATGCTTGCAAAGTCTTGGGCCGTTGCAACACGATTGTATGTGAGGGTAAGTTTGAATCTTTGAGCTTCGAAAATCAACTCTTTACAGTCTGCTGCACGATCTCTGGACATGTCATAAGTCCTTTGGATTGGTTTTGTGGCATAGTTGGAAGTATCACGAAAAATCTGTCACAAGAAGACACACATCCGATGGCAAAGAACAAGCATACGGAAAGATCGTGGCCCAGTCAAGATCTCGATGAGAACTAATTCTTTGCACTCTAGGCCTAAAAGTCTTGTTGAACAGCGATCCTCGGAGACCAGTCACTCACCGACACAAGCGCATCTCAAACACCGTCGGCAGGGCGTCACCAAAGAGTCATATGTGCGCAGCGCGTAAAAACTTCCTGCGTTCGCTTGAAACGTCAATACGGACCGAAAAGAACGGCCTTAGAGGTGACACTACCCGCGATGGTGTCCGTCGCGGCCCCTGGATCCCCTCGCGCTAGAAACGTCTAAAGGGAAAACCACGGAGGGACGACCCGTTCAGGACATGCGCACGGCCTCGGGATTGGAGAAACTCTTCGTGAGAAAATCTAGAGGCCTAGATTCAGAAATTTTGAACAAACGGTTCGTGAGCATGCAGCAGAAGACCTCTTGGCTACGGAAGTCAGAATGACTTCGGCTGTTTCGCCGCGGCAGTTCGATGGTGCCCACCGGAACAGATTCGAGTATAAATATGGCCTATTCTCCTGGTGGGAATAGGGTTTGTGGGATGGGAGGATAAGTCATTCTTTGAGAGAAATCACATCTACCACAAACTCAGGTCAAAATCACTCCTCCAACAGGCATTGGATTGCACTCCCGGAGAGCCACAGACTACTTGTACTTGGTCAACACTCATTGAGAATATCTCCAACCAAGTGCTCTAGATCATATCACTTTCCTTCAACCCAAAAAGAAACACATTCTCTTTTAAAAATTGAAGCGAATCTTCATCAACAAATCACCCAAAATGAAGTTCACCACTGCCATCTTCCTCACCCTCCTCACGGCCTTCACAACCGCCGCCCCCTTAGAGCCCCAGACTGTCCCATACGAGCTACAGGATAGCGAGGCCCACAACGCCACAGCCCAGGTCCTCGTCGAGCGGCGCTCGCAGACCGGCAAGATGACCCACTACACGCCAAGCATGGGGTCCTGCGGCAAGACGAACACGGAGAAGGACCTCGTGGTGGCCATCTCCAAGGGCATGTACGGGACGTACGCGAACCCCAACGCCTCGCCAATGTGCTCCAAGTCAGTGAGCATCAAGTGCAACGGCAAGACCATCAAGGCGGCCATCAGGGACAAGTGCATGTCGTGCGGCAACGGGAACATTGATGTCTCCCCCGCCGTGTTCACGCACTGCGGAGCGCTGAGCACAGGAGTTATTGCTGTGACTTGGGATGTGGTGTGAAAAAGAAAGGCGGGGATGGAGGCAGGATTATGACTTGAAATGAAAACCTGACGAGGAAACGTGGAAGGGCAATGACATCGACAATGATGCGTTCGAAGACACGAATAGACATAGACAGGTACACCAACCATAGACTGGTAAAAGGTGCTAGACACTAGAATCAAAAGTTTTTCTCTTTTTCTAGAACACAAAGCCATCCCGACTTCGCATGATGCTGGGTTAATATCCGGCTCAGAAGCTAGAGACTCTGTGCAGACGAGGCGTGTCCACATGCCGGAGTGATGCTTCCCGTGCAGAGCCCAGACTATCATCTTGCCTGGTTCAAGGCGCTCCCAAATACTCAATGACCTTCCAATTCTTAGGCACATGCCCCATTGTTTCAGCCTCTTCGAGTGAATCAGGTACATGGCCTTTATCCTTCCGTCTTCTCCTTGCTCCGAATTCGAATTCTCCGGTGGCTTGACGGATTGTCGTAAACGGGGGTTGCAATGGGATTGGCCAAAGCTCTCACATTGGCACCGCGAGCCGCGGATTTTGGGCAGCATCTAAGCCGCAAATCCTGGGATGACGGTGTAGTTCAAAGACCTTATCCGTTTGCTATTCAGGGCCACAAACGTGGCTGTCGCCCTTGCCCCAATTGTCTGACCCAACCTGTCGCACCGGGTCGGCAGACCGATCATTTCAAGGCTGAGGGCGCTTCTCATCGAATAGCAGGACCAACAGCTTGCTCAAGAAGTTTTCCTCTATCCAAAGATGGGCAAGCCTTCCTTAGAACGGCTTCGCGACCTTGCGGCTCTCGCTCAGCCCGGTCTCGGGGTCCTTGTACTCCTTCCACGTGACTGGGTACATGGCATTGCCGGCCTCGCTGACAGCCATGATAACGCCGAGCTCATTGCTCGCAGTGGACAGGTAGTAATTTGCCTGGTCACCAAGGGATATCTGCAACGCGTCTCGTAAGAATACATCCATGCATACACACACTTCACGTGGCCCACCCAGGGCCTTCCCCCCAACTTTCCAGTGCCGTAAAACTAAACAGAAAGGCACTTACCACCGACGCGCGCACGATATCACCGGGCCTAAAGCTCTCGTAGACCTTGACGCGGTCCTTCTCGGTGGCGCGCACGTCCTGCACGCGGATGACGCCCTGCCACTCTGCGCCGAGGACCGTGTCGCCGCACACCAGGATGGCGACGACGGCCTGACGCGGCGTGATGCGCGTCACGCGGCACAGCACCGTGTTTCCCACCTGCGGGAGGACCTCGCGCTGCTGTTTCTTGGCCCCTCCCGCCACTGACCCGCCGGCGCCGCGCGACACCGATATTGTGGGAAGCGCCGATGGCGCCGCAGCTCCTCCTCCCGCCCGCGAAGGCAGGTTTTGGGTGATTCTGGTGATGCGTTTTGACGGCCCCTGATTTGAAGAGGAGGAGGGCTGGGAGGTGGGCTGGGAGATTTCGACAGCGCCGAGCAGGGAGCTGTACAGGTTCGATTCGTAGAGGTGCACGCCGGGGCCGGGCTTGTACTTGGAGGCTGGGCCGAGGAGCTGGCCCGGGATTGCGAGCGTTGTTGTGGCCATGGCCGTTATGGCAGACAGTCTCTCAATTGTGTTGGTTTTGAGAGTGCAGGCGAGATGTCGTTGTTGTCGAGGCCGTCGTCGTCAAATTCTGGCGGGGCAGCTAAGCTCCGAGCTCTTCAGTGACGTTTGCGAGCCTGACCAGATTCGATGCGACGGTTGATCTGCAGAAAGTTTAGCGGCATGTTCCTGCAGTCCAGGACCAGGCGTGTGGCGCCCCCTCCACCTTCACACTCCCGCCCCGCTGCAAGGACCCCTGGACCCCTGCGCTGAGCTGACCCGAGCTCTGCTGGCCAGCAGGAGAAAAGTTTCTTTCCAGGGGTCCCTGCTGACTGTCAATCGCTATCCAATTGATCAATTGACAGACCGGGGCGGCCAGAGATGATTCGATCCGGGACCGGGCTATCCGGTGGGATCATTATTTGTCGGCGCAGACAGACCTCAACAATCCGCGTTGTCTCATAAAATATCTAGTCTGGTGCAGTCGCGTCCCACGATATTGAACTCCTCCCATAGCTGCTCACTTCTTTCTCCCTCTGCCGCACACGTCCCCAGCAGAGAAGAGTCGGACAGAGACGGATAGATCAAGACAGTCCACGTTAGAAGTCGAAACAAAGACAAGACATGGCGCGCCTCCTCTTCCTGCTCGCCGCCCTCGTCGGCCTGCTGAGCCCCGTCGTCTACCTGCTCGAGCAGCGCCTCGAGTCCTTCTACATCTTCGACACGGACCACCTGCACGACCTCTCCAAGCGCGCCATCGCCGCCCACGGCAACGACACCCGCAGCGTCGTCTCCTACATTGTCGGCGAGCTGCACGGCAAGCCCGCCCTCGCCAACCATGTCAACCTGGACGAGGAGTGGATCTTCAACAACGCCGGCGGCGCAATGGGCGCCATGTACATCATCCACGCCAGTGAGTCTCCTTCCTCGGTTTCTCTGCTTTATCCCCCTTGCGCCCAGCAACAACGACTAACAAACATAAACCCGACCCACAGGCGTGACCGAGTACCTCATCATCTTCGGCACCCCGATCGGCACCGAGGGCCACTCGGGCCGGCACACGGCCGACGACTACTTCCACATCCTCTTCGGCACGCAGCTCGCCTACACCCCGGGCAGCTACGAGCCCGAGGTCTACCCGCAGGGCAGCGTGCACGTCCTGCGCCGCGGCGACGTCCAGCAGTACAAGATGCCCGACGGCGGCTGCTTCGCCCTCGAGTACGCCCGGGGATGGATCCCGCCCATGCTCTTCTTCGGCTTCGCCGACGGCCTCAGCAGCACCCTCGACTTCCCCACCCTGTGGCGCACCACCTGGGTCACGGGCAGGCAGATGGTCGCGAACCTGGCGCTGGGCAAGCTCTGAGCGGCGGCCGGTGTGCGTGGAGGTTTTCTCATCAAGGCGGCGGTTTGGGCTCGGGGGATGACCACACTGACCCTGAAATTCTCATCGGGGAATGGCAACTGCCCTGAGCTCGTGTATGGATAGACATAGATGTCGCGCGGACGGAGCACTTGTCGCCACTCTGTTTTGTTTGAGGGCGCGTCTCCCGTGTTATATATGTATCACCAACCTTCATGTACATACACATAACCTATGCCGTGTAATGCGAAAGATAAAATGCCCCCACGTCGATGATATGTTCAGAGCTCAAAAGGCGTGAGTGTGGCTTCATTTGTCTGACATGTTGTCTTTTCTGTCGCTTTCTGTCGCTCTTACCTGGGGAGAAGGGTAGTTCGGCCGGGGGGGGGGTGGGTGGGTGAGTGGGGTGGACAAAATCTCGCAATATTTTTGAAGGAACTCTTAGAAGGAATATGGGAGGCTCAGAGCTGTTATACTGGACCCAAACGTGATTGGAAGGGAAGGGAATGTCGACATTTGGGACACGCCCCCGAAGACAGGAAGACGCTACGGGAAGGCATCCGAGAAAAGATAGATAAGGAAAAGTCACAGTGCAGACACACAAATGCCGGACACATTATCCCCACAGGTAATAAGAACCAAAGCAGATGGGCAAAAAACCGCAAAAGCAAAAACAAACACACAGAAAGAGCAAAATCGCATGTTTTGACGGATCCTCGATCGGCTCCGGTACGGGAGTGGATTCCGATTAACGGGGGATGATAACCTCATGTCCCCCAACTTTGCTTGCTTACCAACGAAACCACCCTAATTCTCTCTGATCCGAGTGGGCCGCCTATGACATGACAAAAATCTCCCTCCCTGTCTGGGTACCTGCCTCGCAGCGCAAATCCCTACCCTGCCTGGATAGCTGCTCGTTACAGCAATCAAGCGCGCGTTAGTCGGCCGTCGTTGCAGCAGCGGCATGACGGAGGCCCTGCTTCGTATTTCCCGCAGACATTCCCCGATCGGGAAGGTCAAGGCTGGCCGAGGGACTATCATCTGCTGGCCTCGCGGCACACATCTTTCGATGGATACATGTTATTTCATGCGCACCGCGTTTGCTGACACGGGTTTTGTATTAACAGCTGGCGATCTCCGTCAGAGTCATAGCTAACACTAAAAGGGCGTGAGGTGGTGGACGACCCTACGCGTCCTGTACTGTTGTTTCCCCTATCACCTCCAGGACATCATCTGAATATGATGCCTAACACCTTTTCCCGCTGACAGAACGAGCCTCCCTCCCTCCAGTCTCCTTTTCTCTTTTTTTGGCCGCCCTCATCGTTCAGATCCCACTCTTCTTGTTACCCAGTAATTTTGATGAATTTCATCCGACCCCCCCCCCCCGGTTATTTTGGAATGCTTCAGGTAAAACACATGTACAACGCAATTTTGCGGTCTTGGAAAACGCCGTCCGTGATGGTATGGTAGTGACGATGCAAGAAGTCTGCGCCATTGTTTGTGTATATGGCGGCGGCAGGATATCGTCGTCGTCAATAGATGCGCCCCTTTCAACTCCGTGAAATGCGCCCAGGTTCGCCCTCCATGGGGGGCTTGAGTATATAGGCCCTTGCTGAATTCGTCATACGCCGTAGTGCCGTCGCTGCAAGAGCCTGCCAAACTGCTGTCCCAGTAGCTTCTTGATCTCCCGGGCTGGTTCGGTGTCGGCTGGACTTCCTAGGCGAGCCACTCCTGGTCGCCTCTCGCAGGTCTCTTCATCTCCAGTACCTCATCTTCAGACTCGCTGTCCTCGTCGTCTCCAGGCTGCCCTCTGCCGGGCGATCCAACGGTCTCGTACTCCTCCTCGTTCTGGTCTTCCTCCCCTCCCTCGATGTCGTCCTCCATCCATGTCAGTCCATTGGCATGCTCCTCCAAGGGGAAGATTTCACGTGCGTATTCTTCCAGGCCTCGAGGGCCTTCCCACAGCTGGAGGGAGTCATGAAGACAGGTCGCCTCGAGCGCACTGTCGCCGAAGTACGGGGGTTGCTCTGCGGGGTCATCACCGCCCAGACCGAACAGTTTCTCGAGGGCCTCGAGTTGTATCCGGTACCCTTCGGGGATCTTCACCTTGACATCGATCTTACCCCTGACGTATTGGACCGGTCGGCCCACGCCTTTCTCGAACTGCTCGCATGCCTCGCGAGGGGATAGGAGCTCATATGCCAGCGCTATACGCTTGTCGCCCCACTTTTCCACACCATCCTTGAATATCTGGAGGATCGCCGGGCCGACATCATGCTCTGCGTCCAGCCAGGGGAGCTTGGCGTCAGGATGGAAAGGTGCTTGCCACACGAAAGAGCCGTCAGGTCGCAGCTCCATGCAAAAGAGAGGATACGGAAGGCCGGTGAAGTTGTTGTTGTAAATTCCGGTGTAGACGAAGGTGGCTGGCAGCCCGATCTGCTTCACATACTCCTCTACTTTTTGCTTGGGTGCCCATAGTGGTAAGCTTGGCCAGTCCTCGTTGTAGGTATGATGGTCAGGCATCGAAGAGTAGACATAGTGCTGAATGCCGGCCCTATTAGCTGCATCCGCCAGAGCCTCACCAATCTTGATCTCGTCACCGTAGAATGTCGTGTTGATGAAGGCGAGCTGTGCCCCTCGGAAAAGCTCCGAGATCAGCTGGTGATTCACTCCTATCCCATACATGGGTCCACTCTGGGTCACGTCTGCCTTTTCAGAAGTAGCACCTTGTCTCGTGTAGAGCTCGCCCACCAGCAGAGTGACGTGAGGATTTTGCCTAATCTCAGTCGCGATGACGCCTTCGAGATTCCTCATCTGGGCCCTCACATGGTATCCCACGGCGGTGACATATCTGATGAGAGAGGAGGCCTGCCGACCGCCAGCGTTGATGATGGCAATGGTTTTGTTAGGAGACGGCATGGAGCGCTTGGCGGGACGGGTGAAAGTAAGGGAGTTGTTCCGCGAATTCAAGAAAGAGCCTGCCTCTGAGTATGATGATCTTGAATGCTTGTGTCTCCGCTCCTCAACCGGCTTCGTCCTGATGGGGATACTCTGTGTTTGGGCTTGCTGGACAGGCCGATGAGGCAATTCCGCGTGAGGCATCTCGGATTTTGCTGAGCAAATGGCCATTCCTGAAAGAAGCCCTCCCGAGATCCTTGCTCCACCACGTTTCTCAGTCCGTCCACCGCGAGCCAAAGGCGCCCCGAGCAACGCTGGAATGGTTCGCTCAAGTGATTGCGACGATGTTGGCAGCCGACGATTGACAGGGCTGCGGTGATTTCTCGAATGCCTTCGAGCCGCCTGGTTGTGGTGGCGGTTGTTGTTGTTGACAGCGCAGTCCGGTTAAAGAAATGTGATTGGGCGGCCAGAGAACATGCGCAGAACGGGCAGAAGGCGATTTATGTATCGTTGAAGCGTCCCGAGTTTTCCAGGTTGGATCTGCGAGGGGACTGATCGGAGCCTGGAGGAAGATAAGGTTTCCCCGTCTTCCTTTCCAAAGGCGATGCGGAAAGTCACCCTACCTGGTTCCCGCTGTCACCCACACCCTGCAAAGTTACTCGTGGGTTCGTACGAGTGGCTTGTCAACTCCTGCAACCAGGCTGCAGGACAACTCTGCTTTTAGGCGCGTTAGTGGAATTGCGATGGCTGAATGAGGGGCAGGACACAGGTATTAAAGGACGAGGGCAGGGTGGTAAGGCGCGTCCCCGTGCGGAACATGGACCGTCTTGGGAATGGACAGTTGTGACACTGCACTAACAGAGGAGTAATGAGAATGACGGACAATCAGGTCAGAAGAGAAAATCTTGTTCCTTCGTGCAACGTAGTGTCGCGTTGATTTCCAGGTGACAGGCATATACCAAGATAAGACTCGCAGCATGACATGCATCCCAGGAGAATCAGAGAGGACGGCGAAAAGGGGACCAAGGGACGACAGTCACGGACTCACATATCAGACAGGATGTAAGTTTTTCGGTTATGGCTGCGACTGATTGGAGCAACGGCTCGTGCAGCCTCGTAGATCTCCCGGCTTGGTCAGGTAGGTGGAATATTCAAGTCGCAACTTGGTTCAGCGCATGTGGATGGATGTAGAGCAAGACGCGCGGTTGTTGCTTGGAACAGTCGAATTATGCCTGCGCGAGAGCAATACGTTGCTAGACAGATTTACTTGGCATCGAAGAAGCAAGCGTGTTGAAACCCCAATCGGGAATTACCACAAAGGGTGGTTGGTGGTAGCCTCAAAGAGTGAGTGGACTGAAAAGGGGGAGGGTTATCATCTGGGGAAGAGTCGCCGGCCCCAGGATCGATCGGTTCTGACAGCCTCTGCTGGTACTGGCAAACTCCGAGTCGTCAACGGCGCAAAGAGCCGGTCAGAAAAAAAAGGTCACAGGTCGCGTGCAGGAAGGTAAAGCCAGGGCTGTTGCACGATTTGGTTCCGTCCAGATGAGACTCAGTCAAGCCTAGACTCGGCTAAGGGATCCGAGAAGATAAGAGGCGAGACAGCTGTTGGCTACGAGAACCTTGTTGGCGGAATAAGGACCGTAGGTACGTGAGCGAGAGCCTGGGCCGGAGCCTGAGGGCCTGAGCCTGTGCGTGAGGGGCAACGCGACGGCGGAGAGGATGGCGGTGAAAGACGTGCCTGGACGTTGCCTTTGTTCGGATATGTCTTTTGGTGTTTCAGGAACAGACGGAGAAGGGCAAGGAGGACCATAAAAAAGGCAGAAAGAAAAGTCTGCCCGTCAGTGGTCACGACGATAGTCCCCAATGGTGGTCGGGTCTGGTGGGCTGGGTTGGCTGGCACCTTCAGACGTGGAGCCGCGGCAGAAAGTGGTGCGGTGCGGTGCGGTGCGGTCTGATTCTTAGCCCAGTGTGGAGGACAAGCAGAATTAAGCCAAGTGGATATCGGGGTATGTGCTCCAAGTTCGAGGAGGTCAAGGAAGGTAGATACGGTACGGAGTATGTACCTCTCTGGCGGTTTGTTGCGAGCAGTCACGTCCTCACTGCGCGGTTCCGCTCAGGTCAACTCAGCCCAGCACCGCGGTCACGCAATATATGAGGTGCCGCAATGGTTGGGGGGCGCAGAAGGCGCAAGAAGATGCAAGACGCCGGACGGTCGGTAGGAATGGGAACTGTTCCTTATCTGCCCGTCTGTGTCTGCCCAGGTGCCTCGTCTGGGATTTCATGTCTTGTGGCAGTGACCAGACAGACAGAGGCATCCATACAATTGCTTGATCCCTGGACCAGCCCAGGCCAGCCAGAGCAGGCGATCAGGCGGGACTAACAGTCACAATAACATCAAGAGGCATGCCCGCCCGTGGTACAGTGTACCGCGAAGTGGTGCCGCTGTGGGAAGGCTGAGGATGTACATGGACTCCACACCCCATCAAGCTCCATCGTCCTAGCCCTCCACACAGGTCCGCGTCACATCCAGGATGGACACCTGAAGACAGGAGGGAGGACGGCGAGAGGGGGAGAGCAGAGCAGAGCGCACGAGGTTGGCATGGGCTTCGTCGATTCGACAGCGAGGTCGGGCTTTGCATGGTGAGTGCGAGGGAGAGATTAGGTAAAAGATTCCTACTGTTGGCCGGGACAGGACAGGGCCTGTTGGCATTTGCCATGCCAAACCGACTTAGCGACCAAGATAAAATTCAGAGTTTTTCCTCCCTCCACGGAAGACTCGCAGACACGGAGGCTTTTCATCAGGGAAGCAGCTTGGCCGCTCTGTTTGATAGATAGGCGGAAGGCACCCTGTTGGCCCTCGATGGGCCTTCCTTCCCTGACCGGCTGGCAGGCTTGTTGTCCAAGTATGCTTGCTGCACACACGGACACGGAAACTCGCGGTATGTGTAGTGTACGTGCAGCATCCATACAAAGACTACAGTACAATATTCAGTCCAGGCGGGCTTGTGTCGGAAACACTTTCCTTTTCAGTGAGTGCAGGTTGAGCTTCAGGTCCGGGTCCAAGTCCAGGTCCGGGGCGATGCAGGCCAGGGAGCCAACACCACGAGTGTCTGTCTGCTTGCGTTTGCGGCTCAAGTGATGAAGGGAGGTGCGATCCTTGTGCCCACGTAGGAAGGTACCTTGTATCTTTTGCCTTAGCACACCCACACAGAAAGATGCTCAGGAGGGAAGGGACATCCACCCCGCCCATCCAGTAAGAAGGTGGGGCGTGGGTTCCTGCTCAATGCACGAAGCACACCAGAACTGCTCCCAGTGCTCCCCTCTGCCCCTCAGCCCCTCCATATTACCTTATGTATTACCCCCCGACTTTTGAACGGAACTTTCTCGTTTGCCATTCCTGCAGTTTACGATGGAGACTCATGGAGACGTGATATTTCCCATTCCCGGTCCTGCAGCCTGCGTCACCACCCGCACCTGGCCGCACCGGGCCATGCCCATCTCAGAATTCGCGGTGTCATCAGCCTTGCCCTGAGTCAGGTACCCCCCCGGGTGCCCAGGCCGAGCCTAGACGAGCAAGGCTGATAGCCAATCCCGCCGCTGCCCAGCTCCTCTGCTTCTTATCAGCAGCTCGCAGCTCGCAGCTCGCAGTTGACCCCGTCTGCCCGTCCGGCGAGAGGGTAGGCCAGGTACCACCAGTAAGGAGACGGATTCCGTTTCGGGCCCATTCCTGTCGGAGCACTACGTCCTAGACGGTGTCACAATCAATTGCACTTTGATTGCCAGCCAATATACTGACGCAGCAGCAATACCGTCTGTACTCCAGTTGTATGCAACATCAACGCCGACTCATCGACCCGGTCCCGTCGGGTGGGCACTTGTTGCGCATGCCTGCTCGGATGCACTATGCTGACTGGCTGCATTTGCATGTCTCGTCTTGATAACAAGTCAGTTCGGACATCATCACAGCCTCTCACCCCAGAATTCTCGGGCCTGCGGTCATCCAACGACTGATTGTACATCGCACACGGGGACTTCGTCATGGCACACTCATACACACACGCAAGCAGGTGGCCAGTTCGGAGGAACAGCCTAGCCTGTCACTTGTCCAATGAGGCTTGCAGCCAGGATGTGCTAAAGTCAAGCCGGTCTTACTGATATCGACCATCTTATCGTTGTCATCTTCACCTACTGTGGTACTGGCCTTCGCTGTCGGAGCAGGCATCAGACACCGAACATCCCAACACGCCTGTCTGGGGTCCCAGCTTGTCGGATCGACCGCGCCCAGTTGTGCTTGGGCTGGTGCTGGCACAACCGACGCCGCTGGCCGCTGGGATGGTGGGCGAGAACCGCTCGTCTTGCCCCCGCAGGCCACCTGCGGCTCGCCTTAGTCCTTGCAGGCCCCAAGCGCGCCAAAATCTAAAGCACTGCTTTCCGTTACGTACAAGTCGCCTCAGCTAACGCTGCTATGGTCAGCTATTCCCAATAGCCCTGGGGGTTTAATGCCGTCATGAGACAGTCGATGGCGCGTGTTTATGCTGCCCTTCCTGCTAATACGGTCTAGCTCCCCTGCTGATGTCCATTGCATCTCCGCGGAGGTCTTTTCTTTGCCATTCATTCCTCTGGGCGCCCGTTGGGAATGGCCCCCTTCTCTAATTAGCTTCCGCAACAGGACGACGGTGGTCTTGATGTTTAGTCCCGAAAGGCAGGGGGCGCACCGGCCTCAATAATGGCGTTGCAGCACGCAACCCTAGCCGCCCGGCGTCCTCCGCAGTCTCCCTACTGCGGGTGCTGCTGCTCGATTGCAACCGGCCCCATGGGGAAGGCAAGGCCCCCAGCGAACAAGCTTCTCCCCAGCCCGGAGAAAAACCGTCCCACTCCCAGGCTTGTCAAATCAGGGATACCCTGCTGCGAGATGTACCGTAGATGTCCTACCACGTCCCCGGGCCAAGTCGGTGCTAGCAGGTGGACGTGTTCGACGGGCCACCCAACCGGACTGGGGTGGTCCGAGGACGGCCGTGAAGTGCTCATGTGAGCATTGTCTCAATCCTACGAGATAACGGTGCTCGTCGACTAAGCCCGCCAAGTCCAGAATGGGCGACCGCGGACAACGACACGATCCTTGGAATGTCTGTATTGAAAGGGAGGGGGATGCTTCCGGCTCGTACCGGATCTAGCCCGCTCGCTCACGGGGCCGGCTCAAATTATTACAGGCATGGCCTCTCTTGCTTCCGGGCAATAACCTCCGCCGGTGAATTGCGACCGTGCGTGCCATCGCCTCGGGAAATCCCAACCCCTATGGTCCCTGGTGGTAGCTCCCGCTCCCACTGGTGAAATCAGATTCCATGAAGTTGATACTAGAATAGTCGAACGAGCTGTCGTCGCCCATCCACTGCTCGGCGCCAGACGATGGGCCAAACGTGGCGTTGGCACGGATGGCCCTTTCCAAAGAGGTCCAGTCGATCGTTTCCATTGCATCTGTCGCCTCGGGCACCCAAGTGGCTTCCATGCTGGGCTCAGCTGTCACAGGTCCTCTCGTAAAGCCATATTTACTCAATTCCGGTTGGCCCTTTAACGACGTGTTGAATGTGCTTTGGTCAGGCACAGATGACACTGAGCGTGGAAGGTCAGCCCTGAGGTTCGCAAAGGGGGCTGAGGGCTGAGCTTTGGTCCCGCGTAGGCCCACGAGGTGCTGCTTACCGTTGATACTCAAGCTGTCAAGGGACGGGTAGTAACAAGCTGGACCAGATTCCTGAGGCCTTTGTAATTCATCCAGCATCGAGACCGACTCCCTCTCCGCAGCACCGCTCTTCTCAATCTTGCGAAACATGACGGCGAGAACCTCTGGCGCCTTTTTCACTTCTGGTACAACTATAGCGACTTCCGTCCAGATGCGGTACGACCGTTTGAGCGCTTCCATAAGTTGCTTCTTGCTCGGTAAGACTGTGTCCTTTCTCGTCCAGTCAAAGTTCCCGCCGGGCTCGGTATAGTGGTCGTTCTGGATGACAAGGTAGACAACCATGGCCGCGAGCAGGAGGTCGTGCATGGCGAGGCTCGAAACGAACCATCCGTTCTGGCTAAGCATACCACCTGGCCTTGCCGCCTCGAAGACAATGTTCTGGTATTCCAGCAGCGCCAGCGCTGCCATCAGGCACCTCCGTTTCGAGTAGTTATGCTCCTTCTTAAACCCCTTCTCGACCAGGTACCGCCTGTGCAGCACGCAGATGGCCTTGTGGTAGAGCGCCGCGATGCCGAACCGCTGGACTACCTGATACGGCGGGTCAGTCACGCACTCTTCCAGCGGCCTGACCTTCATAAAGGCCGGCATGGCGTCGAACTTTGCCGCCAGCTGGCTGTCCAGATCCATGACTTCGTCGTATGTCGGCTCCGTGAGCGCGTTTGCCTGCCTCGCCACGAGGCCAAACAGCTTGCAGATCCCAGCTTTGAACGTTGGGTATGTCATGTGAGTGTACTCTGTGTCTGGCCTCCCTGGCGGCAATTCCTTGGTGTTCTCGTCAAAGTCCTCGTCCATGAGGTTCCTAGGTGGCAGGGTATCACTCTCGATGCCGTGAATCACTGGGAAAGTGTCAGCCAACCTTCCATTGAACGTTCAAACAAAGATTCAGATGTGGTCATTAACGGGCACCCCGGTTGTACTTCGACCAGTTCGATCCCGGTGCTTCTTGTATGCTGAGAATCACTCCTCGGGGCTATCTAGAAAGAAGCGAATGGACCCCAGAAACTTACTACTAGGCAATCCCAGGTGAAATGCCACCATCAGGTCGATCTGAATCGCCAAGTTCCACATCCGCCGACCCATCTCGGCCTCAAAGGGCGAGAGCGGCGACCCAGGGAGCTTCGTCGGGTCACGGTGCAGGCCCATCTTGAGCATGATCCGGATACACACGCTCGACAGCAGGTAGCAGTTCATCTGCGACGTGCGGTTTATGAGGAAGTCGGCCTCGACGTACAAAATCAACGGCGCGCAGGTCAGTGGGCCCAGGGGCGAGAAACCGTACAGGCCGTCACGCGAGGAGCACGTCAGGGCGGACCCGGCTGCGGCGCGGTACTGGCGGAAGCGCTGTATGGGCGTCAGCGGGACGTTGTCGCTGGCGAGCTCGTGCGGCGCCATGAAGTTGCTGAAGAAGATGGCCAGCGCGAAGACCATGTACAGCAAGGCGAAGAAGTCCATTTCTATGGTGGGCGAAGTCGGGTCCGCCCAGAACTCGTTGTACTGTCGTTGGTTTCTGTTAGCACCGACCATTTTGATCCCAGATTCTCACGTCGTCAGGGGTTTCGAGATCACTACGCAAGGGCTTGGGTCACGCATACTAATCTGCTGAATGTTGGCTTGTGGACAACGTCTGTCAAGCTTTGCCGTCAGCACCCTCTTTCGGGACCACTTGGGAAAATGGGGATAGCGAATAGTGGCTTGCGTACGCTGTGAGGCCGAGTGTGCATTGAAGTATCGCATGACCAATCGGTCGGCAATGTGCTTCGGTGGAAGTAGGTCCAAGAATTCCTGCCTGGTCCTCGGGGAGGTCTTATCCCTAATGAGCATCGCGGGCGAGTCCCCGTCGGTGAAGTTCTCTGGCGAGTCGCCGCTCATTTCTTGGCTGACTTCCTCGCGGTCAAAGTAACTCTTCAGGTCCTCGATCTGTGCAGCACAAATAGTGTCAGCTCTCGCGTTGCCGCCCTTCATCGGTACTTCTCATTGGATAGCACGGGTGTTGTACAAGGACGGTAGGCAGGACATTAACACATACATCACCTAACATAGCCATGAAATGCGTAGCCCCCACATAAGTGGTATTTCCTCCCCTCGCCCCTGCGCCGCGGATGACCTGGGCCCCCGAGGCTGACGAGGCAAACTTGCTGGCGTCTCTGTCGCCGTCACTGTCCATGTCCTCGCCGACCGCCGTGCGCTCCGAGGAGGGATCCCTCACGTTGCCGTCCTCGTCGAGCATCTCGCGGACCATGCCCTCCAGCCTCTTCAGGCGGGCGGCCATGCTCTTGGGCGGCCTGTTCTTGACGGGCTTGGGGGCGTACTTGCAGAGGTCCACGCGGGACTTCTTGAGGCAGTTTGTGCATGGTCTGTCGTGCTCGTTAGCATCGTGACACAAGACGTAAAGGGCGGTTGTGATACGCCGGTATATTTGGGCAGGGACGGACTGATGATTCCGTATCTAACGGCGCCTGGTTTCGTGGGCGTTGACCCCCATATCCCATGCCGTCCACATGAGAATTCAGTCTCTTCAGACTCTGAGGTGCCGTGAAGAAAAGCAAATTGCAAATGGTATAAATTAAGGGGGGAATATCTTGCGGCGGCTCGTGGTGTAAAAAATAGGTCTTACACTGCTCTATCACACTTTAACTTCGAAACCCGGCACGGCGCACACGAGAGGAGCACCCTCGACCTCTTCGGCGGCGTGTCCGCAGCGGTGCCGGCTGGCCTGGCGTGGCCCGGATTATCATCCATCATGTCCATCTTCAGAGGATCCCAAAATGGATGAAGAGAGGGGAAGTGAGTCTCGACGACAGAGCACTCAGCTCCTCGAAGATCTAGTGTCCCTCCCAAGGTTTAGGCCGTCTCAGTCTCAGGGGTAGGGAAGTAAGTTACTGAATGCCGGCGGGCCGGGATTGGCGGGGTGCCCGACTGTGCGGGCGGTGCGGTACAAGTACGACAGGTGCTGCACGGATGAGAGATGCACGTTTCTCGGGCCACTTGATCTTTGTGTGGGTAATGTTGAATATTAGAACACGGTGTTGCAAGAACAATCACGGTGACCTTTTTTCACATGCGAGATGTGAGACGCGAATCCTTGAGGCCTACCTACTGCGGTAGCGCAAGGACGTGTAACAAATGTAGCTGCATTCAGCTGGCCTTCAATCCGCATGACTAAGCTGGCCAGAATGGGGCAAGGCCAAGACTGTCTGAGAGCTGCCAGTGAAGCGTACACCCATACATCGCCAGCACCAAACCAATACCCACGCTTAATTCACATACCCAATTCATACACCTAAAACTTATACACCTAATTTATAAGTATTAGGTATTAGGTGTATAGGTGTTGGGTGTATGGTATTGGGTGTATGGGTATTAGGTGTATGGGTGTATGGGTGTTGGGTGTGTTACCGTATATGGGTGTGTAAAATAGGCTTGGTGATATGCTTCAATTGGCTGTAGCTGTAGTGCCAGTGATGTACGCGTTTTTACGGGTGCGAACATCCCGTTCTCTTTATTAATGACATTGCTCGCTAGAATAGCAGTGACCGGGCAACCCCCCCCCCCCAAACCGCCCCCCAACTGCCCTTTTGGGTATCATAACTTCCTCTTTGTAGCACTTCCACACCTCATGTCGAGAATGAGTCAGGCAGCCTCTCGATGACATACTTGCCACGGCCAACAGAGAGTATGGGGACTCCAGGAATCTTTCGTAGGCGGCGTTTCAGGTCTCGATCGTTGGTGGCGACTATGTAGATCCGGTTCTTCACACATCTGTCCACGATGCAGTCATCGGCGTACGTGCCGCTGTGGACACTATCACAAGATAGACGCTTCCACCTCTCGTCTCTTGCAATTCGGAGTGCAATTCTGTACTTGGGGCCCAGCTTCTCTAGCTCCGCCATGACGCACGACGTGATCAGGACCTCGACCTTTGCGTACAAAGCGTCCATCATGCCTTCTAGCATCTCGATCTTACGCGAAACCGTGTGCGAGAGGAAGTTGGTATCCACGATAACCTGGTAAGGCGGTACGAGAGCCGTATTGTGTTGAAAGAACATCGAAGAGGGCGCTTGGGGGATCTCGCGGACTGTGTGTGGTGTCTGTGGTCAGCTTGCAGTCGGCGGCGAAAGAGGAGGGAACGCGGCGGTCGGGGCGTGGCTGCCGGGAGTAGGAAGACATACTGAGCTCCCCATTTGCGGTGGCCTTCTTCTTTGTTTCTTGGACCTTGTCGGCCTTCTCGCGGTTCTCCTTCAACCTGTCGTCGCGTTTGCCGATGACCCGCTTGGTTTCCTGTTGGGCTCAAGTGGTCAGCGTCGTTGTCTGGAAACTGGAACTGGCAAAAAGGTCGGGACTGACAGCAAACTTTCTGGTCTTCTTTGCGACGCCCATTTTGCAGATTGTCTGGGTCGAGTGCGGGTGGGAAATGTATGGCTGAACAGTGTACGGTGGGTAGTAGATGTAGAATGCGACAGAGGATTCAGAAAATAAATTCCGTCCAGCTCTGGGCAGGCAACGGATCACAGCCGAAGACCCCGTCGCGGGGGAGGCTGGTCTGTGCGTACAGTGTAGAATTTCTGAGCTAGTGACAGCCTTGAAGGTAGCGCCGTGTAGGCCCAGGTGACAAGGTACTTGGGAGAGTACAGAGAACGGCCGGTGCAAGATGCATTTCTGCAGCCACTGGTTAGCTGCAGATGGGCGTCTCCAGCATACTTTGGAAGGCCGTGCACGCTTGTACATGTTTTTTTTCCTTTGGAGTTGCAGATGCAAGAGCACTGTCAGCATGTCAGCCTGCGAGCCCAGCGGCAGAGATCAACATTGAGCAGCAACAACAAGGCGCATTCCACGTCAACATTGGCGTCGCCTGGTTTGGGAGCACAAGGTGTTGCACAGATTGCAGACTGCTGCTTGCGCATATCATCAAGAAACGGAATGACAAAAGAGCAGCGTCGTGAACATATCACCATTCATCATTATCACGACAGTTCGTACTTTGGTTAGAGAAGACGGTGTGTGGATGCAGCGGCTGCTGCGCATCTATTTCTACTGTACCGTAGTAGCTCGGTACTGTACTTACCTCGTCGTACCTAGTCTTGCTGTACACGAGACAGGGGTGGAGATCCCAAGGGACTGGGCCGTCAATTGATCTGGCGCCACCTCACAGACACGAGCCCATTGGCGTACCATTGCACTGCCCAAGAGGAGAATGTAGACCCCCTTTTCGCCTGCACTGCGACCTGCGCCTGCACCTGCTGCTAATCCTGTTCCTGGTGCGGTGCTTCCTTCCTGCTGGCGCCCACTGTCCGAGGTCCCTTCTCTGCCTGTCGCTTTGGCTGCGGATCCCAATTCCCTCTCCACTTCTCCCCAGACCCGATCAGCCCAGGGTTGCCGCCCTGAACAAACGACGACCAGGACGAGGACCACCACCAGCACCGGTCTCCTCCATCTGCTTTTTTGGTGTTTTTGGACCCCGTCAAGCATCGTCTCCTTATCGATATTCCACTCCCGTCCAAGGCTGCTTCTTTGTCTGCCCCAGTGGGCCGCCACGACCGCCAGTCACACGCACCATCGAGTCGTCCTCCCCCGACTTGCGTTATTACGCGCCTTGCACAGCCGCCACAACCCAACCAAGATCCATTCCGACCGAACACGGCGTCACGTCAATCGCACAATCCAGCCCTTCGCAACACTTTGTGCTCGTCTATCAAAATACCACTGCGGCATCTGCGCGCGTCCCGTTCCCTCCTGTCATTCCTTAGCTCACGAGTGAAATCCGGCTGCACCGCCGCACAACCAACATGAGATCACGACTTTCCCTGAAGCGCTCGCTGCTTCTGTCGACCACCCTGACGCTGGCGCTCCTGACCGCTGGCACTTTGGCTCAGGATGACGAGACCACTACAGCAGCAGCCACTACCACTGGCGATGATACGGCAACGGCCACTGCCACTGGAACCGATGAGATGCCCACCATAGGCCAGACGTCGGCCAACGATGGCGAGTCCACGACGTCGACCACATCCGACTCCTCCGCCACCAGCGACATGCCGAGCCTGTCTACGAGTGATAGTGAATCTGGCGTGAACTCGGACATGCCCACCATAAGCACTCCCTCGGCAGGAGACACGTCCATCCCCACGTACCCTGCAGCGAGCGTACCCCCTACGCAAAATGCCCCTTACATGCAGGTCTCCACGCTGCCTGACGGGACCGTCTTCATCTGCGTTGGTGCTGTACTGGGCGCGTTCGCCCTCGCCCTCCTGCTGTGGCGCGCCATCATCGCGTGCTTGCTCCACCGCTCCGTCGAGAAGGCCGCCATGGCCCAGCATCTTGGCAACGACAAGGCCGCCTTCCCCGCGCCACCCGCCCCATTCTACAAGTACACAGACCAGGACTCGTCGCAAAACGTCAACTCTGGGCGAGGTGTGCGCAGAACCACGAGGGGCCCCATCCCGTCCGCGACACCTTCGCAAACGAACCTCTTCTTCTCGCCGACCGCCGGCGGCGGCAACCGGGACTCGGTCTATCGCGATACTCCAAACCGGGACTCATCGTACAGGGACTCGCGCTTCCTGCCCTCTGGTTTCTACGCCGCGGGCACTTCCTCCCCACAGAATGTCGAAGGCCACGGCCACAGCCAGTCAATCAGCATGACCAATTTGCGGCCCGACTCTCGCGGACACCCTCGCGCGGTATCCAGCCACAGCCCTCCCGAGTCTCCCGGCTTCGGCCCCCAGAGGACACCACTGCACCGGAACAATATGAGCAGCAGCAGCGTCAACCTCAACGCACCTCCACAGGGCGGACGGGCGCCCAGCGCCTTCCTGGACGACCTGCTTGGTGAAAACCCAGAGATGTTCCCGCCACAGGGGACAACACCTGACGCCAGGACGGGCCCTCCTAATGCCAACAATCCGTACCGGCAGAGCGGGCGGTTTTAGTCGGACGCCCCAGTCCCTTGCCTAGAGACCAAGCTGTCAAAGGTTTCGGAACAGAGCGGCGAATCTCATGGTGCTGCAGTTGCTGCCGCCGCCGCTGCAGCAGCAGCACGGGACGAACGCGAGGACCTGGCTGTAGATGACAGCGAGGAGACCTTGTGCATGAGAGAATAGATCCGTCAACACCGATATGCGGCAAGACGGAGGTTAGCACACGCGGCGTGGCTGGGAGCATCGTACGAGGATAAGAACGTCATGAGGCCTTTCAGAGTACGACGATGGCAAGAATCATGCTTATATGCCTCCACTGGCAAGGCGCAGGTTTATTGTTCCTTGAGCAAGAGTGGCTTTCTGACTTGGCATTGGCATTTGAGAACGGCGTCCAGGGGAAACGGGAACAATCAAGCATTGGCTTGGCTTGGCTTGCTTTTGTTTATGTGTATTAACTTTGAAAATATTGGCACATTCCGGCCTCTACTACTACTAATAGTATTCTTCTTCGACTGTCACTGCCCAAGTCTCGTGGTCGACTTGCCTAACCCATGCTGGATCGTCAAAGGGTGACCGCCTGAGCCCAAAGCGAGCAAAAGCATGGTGTAGCATGGTTGTTTGGTTGTGGCTTGGGCCCGTCAAGCATCGCTGCGTGATTGACACCTGCCAGATGCCAGATTGCGCGGCAACAAGCACCGTCTCACGTCGCACACAGCATCTGAGCGCATCATGGGCCCCCTTCCCTGCGGCCGTGTAACGCGACGCCTGTTCCTGTCCCTTGTAGTCTGAAATTATCCCCTGTTTGCGTAGTACCCGATTCGGGTCGCGACTGTTACACAAAAGCCAACGAAAAGGAAAAGCAACCCAACCCAACTGGTGAAGAAGAAACGAGAAAGAAAAAAAGAAAAGCCACTTTCCTGCACCTGTTAGCGCACGGTCTTCCGGTGCACCACGGACGTGGTTGATTATGGCTGGGGAAAATGATACGCGTCTATAGATTACACACGCGCACAGTCAGCGACTGGCGGGTTTGTGCTGACGTTGATGTTTCGGGGGCTGACTGGCTGCGTTGAGCATCACGACACAACCAGCTCCGATGGCAACATATCCATCCCCCCTTCTCGTCCGGACCAGGACTCGTCCGCCATTACAAATCCATGCCGAGGTGAATTATCAGTCCAGGCCGGGGTTGATGGTGTCGACCCGGGCGGGCCGGAACGTACGCACGATCTCTACGCAGTCAGTATAAGCTGTTGTTGAAGGCAAGCTTCACAGGCACACCTTCGTTGCTCACAATCCCAAACAGCTGTATTTGTATATGTATCGTCATTATATTTTATTCATTCTTAGCGAAGTGAATCTTTAAGTGCGTTAAATATCTACAGTTCGCTCCCACCGGAGATATTTTCCCAACCCTGTGGGAAAAAGGAAAAGAGGAAGTAGAGACCATGCAATGCCAGCCAGCTAAGATATGATGAATGCATGCAGAACCGCTCTCGACATGATATGTTATAATATGATGGATATGCCGGTGCGCTCATGAGCCCGCCCCAGCGGACATCACGACTTCTCATTCTTCCCCTCATCATCCCAGCTCCTCACCCTCCCGACACCCTCACCCTCCGCCTCAGCAGCCCGTATCCCCTCCTTCGCGCCGCGGATATCCTCAAGCCGGATGCCGCTGCGCTCGCACATGCCCCGGAAGATGCCGCCCTCCACGCCCCACAGCTCGAGGGGCGGGCCCAGCTCGGCGATGCGGCCCTGGTCCATGACGCAGATGCGGTCGTAGCCGACGATGGTGCGCAGCCGGTGCGCGATGCACAGCAGCGTCTTGCCGCGGAACCCGGACGCGATGGTCGCCTGGATCTTGTCGTCCGTCTCCATGTCCACCGAGCTCGTCGCCTCGTCGCACACGATGATCTGGCTGCCGCGCACCAGCGCGCGGGCGAGCGCCATCAGCTGCCGCTGGCCCAGGGAGAAGTTGAGCCCGTCCTCCTCCACCACGCTGTCGAGGTGGATGCGCGACGGGTCCTTGGTGTTGGCGGTGGGGGAGTCCGACCCGGCGGAGTCGGCGTTGCCGCCGCCGCCGTCGCTGGGCACCAGGTCGGCCTGCCGCAGCGCCGACCACAGCTTGAGGTCGTCGTGCTCGTTGAAGGGGTCGAGGTTGCTGCGCACGGTTCCCCGGAAGAGGGTCGGGTCCTGCGGGATGATGGCGAGGCGCCTGCGCAGGTCGTTGAGCCCGATGGTGGAGATGTCGACGCCGTCGATGGTGATGCGGCCCGCCGAGATCTCGACGAGCCGGAACAGCGTGCTCATGATGGAGCTCTTGCCGGCCCCCGTGCGGCCCACGATGCCGATGCGCTCCCCGCCGCGCACGTGCATGTCGAGCCCCTTGAGCACGAGCGGCAGGCCCTCGCGGTAGCACATCTCGACGTTGTCGAAGACGATCTCGCCCTTCTCCGGCCACGTGGGCCGCACCTCGACCGTGTGCAGCGGCGCCTCCTCCTCCAGCTGCGTGCCGTAGTAGCGCAGCCGCTCCACGGCGTTCATGCCGTTCTCCACCTCGGCGAGCTGCCGCACCGTGAACTGGATCATCTGCACGATGGCGAGGATGTACGACAGCACCAGGCCGCCGATGGAGGGTGACACGTTGAACCGCTCCGTGACGACGAGGATGCCGGTGGTGAAGACCAGGGCGTTGCCGATGGCGTCGAGGCGCACGGACAGCCAGCGCTGGTTGCTGAAGGTCAGGTAGTACGCAGCGTTCATCTCGTCGATGGCGACGCGCAGGTCGTCGATGAACCGGTCTTTCAGGCCGTACGCCCGGATCGAGGAAACCCCAGACAAGCCCTCGCCGAACTTGGCAAAGACGGTCGACCGAAAGACCGACTCGAAGCGCTTAACCTCGCGGGCTGAGGTTCGGTAGTAGCTCGTCGCGAAGAGGAACAGGAAGAAGAGCGGCACCAGCGCGATGGCGAAGTAGTGGAAGTAGGCGATGATGAGCGCAAAGGTCGACAGGATGGCGGCCACGGAGAAGAAGTACATCCGCATCGCGTCAGACAGGTTGTTGTCCATGACGTCCACGTCCCGCGAGAATCGGTTCGTGATCCGGCCCAGCGGGGTGGTGTCGAAAAAGGACATCGGGGCGCGGAGGACCCGCGTGATGGCGTCGCGCAGCATGGTCTTGGAGGCAGATGTCCCGACGATCGTCAGCGTGACCATGAAGCCGAACATGAGCATGGCCTGCACCGCGCCCAAGCCGGCGTAGATGCCGATGTATTGCCCTATCGAGAGGTTGTACTGGTTGGACGTCCACCACGACAGCCACAGGCTGGTCATGATATTCGCACCCTGCGAGATGACGAGCAGCAGGAAGATCAGGAACGCGTTGAACAGCGACCCCGACGCGCGGACATAGTCACCGTACACGGACCACGGCACGCTGGCCACGGCGCGCTCTTCGCTCTGCATCAGGCTCTTGCCCTTCTTCTTCTTGCCCTTGGCCTCATTGGCATCGGGCATCTGGGTCACCTCGGCGCCCTCCTCCTTCTCCTCCAGCGCAGTCGACTCCATAAGCTGCTGGAAGCCGACGTGCTCCTTCATGAGGTTGTCAAAGGTGTCGATGGCCTGGATGCGGCCCTGGTCCATCCAGATAATCCGATCACAGCGGTTGAGCACCCACAGCTGGTGCGTCGCCAGGATACGGCACTTGTCCTTGAGTAGGCCCAGGATTGCATTATCGAATATGTGACGGCCCACGTGGGCATCGACGGCACTGAGCGGGTCGTCCATGAGGATGATGTCGGCGTCGAAGTAGATGGCGCGGGCGATGTTCAACCGCTGCTTCTGACCGCCTGAGATCGTGATGCCTCTCTCACCAATCTCGGTCGCATCACCGTTGGGCAACATGTCCAGGTCAGGCTGGAGAGCACAGCTGAATCTTTGTTAGCAATGGCTCGTCCTATCAACTTGTCCACGCTGTATGGGGGGGACCTACGCTTTGATGACTTCCTTGTACCACGACCGATCCATATCTTTCCCGAACAGAATATTGTCCTTTACAGTCTATTTCATTTGATGGTCAGCAAAACGTCGACAGAAACCACACTCACACCGGAAGGCACGGCTCAAGAGCTTGGGGCCCATGAATGGAGTGTCTCAGGGGCCGCGAAGATTTACTGACAGTGTTCTGAATCCACGCATACTGCGGGCAAAAAGCCCTCGACGCACCCAGCACCACCTCGCCGCTCGTCTTGCGCATGTCGCCAGCCAGCGCGGCAAGCAGCGACGTCTTGCCGCTGCCCACGGTGCCGATGACGGCGACCAGCTCGCTGCGGCCGATCTCGAAGCCGATGTCGTGCAGCTTGAACGGCTCGCGCTCCTCCACCAGGGTGCTGCCGTTGTCGTCCACCTCGGCGGCCTGCTGCGGCGGCGTGTCCTTCTCCTTGGTGGCGGGGGCCGCCTTCCTGCCGCCGCCGCCCTGCTTCTTGCCACCGCCGCCGGGGACCTGGTTGTTCTCCTGGGTCGGGGTGCGCTCCCAGGTGAAGCTCGCGCCGTGCATCTCGACGGCGCTCGGGGCGTCGGGCTTCAAGGTGGCCTCGTCGGCCTGCTCCTCCAGCAGGAGGAACTCCTCGATGCGCTTGAGCGAGTTCCAGGCGTCGGTGACCTGGCCGATGACGAGCGGCAGCAGGTTGAGCGGCATGCGCAGGCCGTTGAAGAGGGCGAGGGAGGAGAAGACCTCTGCGGGCGCCAGGCCGTGGTTCGAGAGCGTGTAGGTGATGAAGGACAGCATCGAGGCGAAGATGGGCAGCGAGAGCGAGACGGCCATGATGGCGTTGCGGAGCGACATGAGCCGCTGGATCATGCCGATCTCCTTGCCGCGCAGCTCCGCCAGCCGCCCCAGGAACGAGCTCTCCCACCCGAAGTACTTGACGAAGCGGACCGACTGCAGGATCTCCTGCGTCAGCGACACGCGCTGGTCCGTCACCTTGTTGATCAGCATCCGCCGCCGGAACAGGCTCTTGATGGCCCTGGTGAGCAGCGGCATGCCGATGACCAGCAGGGCGAAGCCCGACAGGGCGCTGTACGTCAGGTTGACGAGCAGCAGGGCGAGCGTGATGAGGCACGACAGCGGCGCCGTCCAGATGAGGTGGAAGAGACCGCAGGCCTGGTCGATGCGGTAAGTGTCGACGCTCATCAGACTGACCACCCGCCCGTTGCCCCAGCCGATCCCGTCTCCAAGGACGCCAGCCTTGGGTTGAGCACTGGCCTTTTTCTTATCCTTCTTGCTCTGCTTCTTGCTGCCCTTCTTCTTCTCATCCAGCTTCTCGTTCCCGTTGGCGGTCTCACTCCCGTTTTCCGGGTTGTCGGCGAGCGACCTGCCTCCCGCTTTGGCCCGGCCCGACACGACCATGGACTTCTCGTAGATCAGGCTGATGAGGGCAGCTCTTGACATGCCGCCGATCAACATGCCCCTGTAGATGAAGTGGTTGGTCCCCAGACTCTGGAGTATCTGCATGGCCGTCACGCCAAAGACCAGCCCCAGCCCCCTGCCGATGTTGGGTACCGGGCTGCCCGTGGTCTGCGCCAGGTAGGCGTCGGTGGCGAACTGGATCAGGTACCGCAGGGTGAAGGGCGACATGACCTGCATGATGGTGGACGAGAGCTGGCAGGCGCCGCTGAGGTAGAACTCGAAGTGGTAGACCTCGTGCAGGGCCCACAGCAGCGGGTACTTGTGGCCGGCGGCGGAGCGCCTCTTGAAGGACGCGTTGAGTTCCTCGGACATCTTGATGACGCTCCGATCCGGGTTGACGGACCAGATGTCCTTCTGCTCCAGCGGCCGCTTGTAGCCCGTGGTCATCAGCGGGCCCTGCCAGAGGAAGAACAGCTGGCTGATGAAGCTGGCCTTGTGCTCGTGCGACACCTCGCGCACCTCGGGCACCGGCGGCACCTTGCCCCATCTCAGGGGGTTGAGCTTCCGGTACCACGGCTTCTTTGCCTTGTTCTCGTCGGCGGCGTGGTGGCTTGTGGCCTGCGTTGTGGCGCTGGCGTCCGTGGCATAACTCCTGGTCCGGTGGAACTCCTGCCGCGTCTCGGTCGTGGCCTTCCCCTTTTCCTTCTCGTTGTTGCTGTCGCTCTCCGAGTGGTAGTCATCCATTGCCTCGCCGGCGTAGTCATAGTCATCTTGATCCCGGTCAACCCTGTGGCCCTCTAGCGCAGCCTCGGCGATTTCCTTTTCGTCCTCGACTTGCTCCCTCTCCGAGTTCATGCTGGTGACCCTCGCGAGAGGGTCTGCTGGTTGCATGTCCCTATCATAGCTGGCCACGCTTGAGGCTTTCCTCAGGGACGGCCTTGAAGACTGTCTTGATGGTGCCATGTTCTGTCCGCACTGGACTGCAAGGCTGCAGTCGGACTAATTTGGCCGGCTCCCTCCCCACTTGCCGTATCTACGACGCAGAGTGGCAACTCAGTCTCACTGTGGGATTCAGGAACCCGGGGTTGCTGAAGCATAAGTGAATGAGTGCAGTAGCATGTGGGTGAGTGAGCGAGGCGGAATACGGAGCACTAGAAGAAGCAATGTCAGAGAAGAAACAGGCAGATGTGGACCGTACGCAAAGCAAAACATTGGTATTATTAATGAATCAAAGGATGAATGAATGATGATGACCCCGGAGACTTTGGGCGCCGTAGCGCGGCCGGAGTTGGGAGTTGTTGAGCCCACCGCTTGATGGCCCATCTGGCGCCTTCCCGACCGACGCCTCCCCCCTGGTCCCCCCAGGTCCCCCCCCCCCAACTGCCCCGGGATTCGCTGTGGGTGCAAAAGAGAATACGATACAATACGCAGCAATAAAAGCACATATAGTGCTGTACTCTCCTGCACGCACGGCTAGCCGCTGTTCGGCTCTGGGTCAACCGGCCGAGGACGTTGCACTAGCCAACCACAGCAGGCTATTTTGCCTAGTGTGTCCTGCCGTTGCGTCGAGTCCAGTCGAGTGGTATCCGATTCTGTGGGCCCGGGATTGGGATGGTTTTACCTTTGGTGTGATTGGACCTGTGCCCGTTCCGGTGCCGACGTCAGACTCCTGTCGGGGACGAATGTGGGGTGGTAAGAAAGTAGAAAAAAGTGACCGCCGTTCCGTTCCTGGGGTGCTGCTCCGAGGCGGAATTCGGCCGAGCTGCCTCTCTGTTTGTGACTGACGACCACAAGTTGCAGGTTTGCGGTAGATATCGGCGAGATAAAGGATGTGTCTCTGTCTATTTGTCCGTCTCCACAGCAGACACAATTTGTACTGGCAGTATTATCCTCCTGCCAGGCACAAGCAAACAAGTGGACACAGCCTGATGGTAAGAGGCGGGCAAACAAATATTCACGAGGCCCAGAGGTGTCCGAGGTTTTCGGGAGAGTTGACCGGATGGCTCTTTTGAGTGAGGCTCATGTGTCACGACGGGAGAAGCAGCAGCACACGGGACGGGTGTTTCGACATTGATATGAGGGTGGCCATTTACCAGGCCCGGAGTTGACAGCGACTCAATTGCCCGAGTTGGATTGCTAATCCAGAAGTACGGTGGTGGGCCAGGGGACCAGTCCCGCGGACTGCTAGTGTAGATACATATCCATTTGCTGGTCTGGTCTGGTACAGGAGCCATTGGGGCGGATGGGGCCGGTGGGGGGATGACCAGAACCACCCAGGCACGTAGATAGACCACGTATAGACTACGCAGCCATGATGGGTCCCGGCTTGGCCCCTGACAGGCCACTGCAGTCTGGTAGTCTACTTGTTCCTCCTGGCATTTGTAGTATTCAAGACATCACAGTCCAAGGGCATCGGTGGTGCTATACTGGGCCGACATCCGGTTAGATGCTTGTGTTTGTGGCTTCGTGCCACGGCAATCCATCATCCCAGCCGAGCCCAGCCCAGGCCAGGGAGAGTCGCAGCCCATCGAGGACAACTCATCGGATGCAGAGTACTTGGTATAGAGTGCATGCATGCATAGTAAAAGATGGTCGTCTGAAGAAGCTCCTAAGGTTCAGGTCAAGGTTCAGGGCTGATGGACGTTCAAGATTGAAACAGCAGACACCTCGGAGCAGTAAACCCAATCTGCCAAGGTTCAATCCTCGATAGACTTTGGGGGCTCCCAGATGATCCCCCCCCCTCAACCTAAAGAAAAAGCCAAGCCCCAGCAGGGACAAGAGCTCGAACAGGGGTCTGAATTGACCCAGTATCAAAGGCCCACACACGAGGGATTAGTGAGCTTGGAGAGAAGAAAAGGAAAAGAAGGGTAAAAGCCCACCATTCCGGCCTCCCCATTTGTTCTCGAAGGGCCCCCGGCTCCCGAGCCAAGCATGCCAGGAAGCCTAACAAGCTTCGCCCGGCTAGCACGGCACCTGTTGTGCTGCTAGTCCTGCCAGTGCACGGCCGGGCCTTGACGATGGAAAGTGCAAAATCGCCATGAGACGAGGCAGATCGAGTGGCACGTAGGCAGAGTCATCAAATCCGTTGCCTGCGCACGTACAGTAGAATCTCACTTCGGCCGGGCGTTCTAGATGCAGTAGGCAGCCGACACGCCGCAAACGACCCGTCCGAACCCGCCGCCTCGTCTTGCTGTTTTCCCCAAGCAGTCCGCGCTTGGCATCGCAACATTTCTGTCCATTATCAACTCCCAAACACGGCAGTGGCAGTTTCGTGGCAGGGCAGAGCACAGAAAAGAGTACACAGGCAGCTCGAAAGGTCAAGCAGATGCGTGCAACAGAGTGATGACGCCCTGACCTGCGGCGGACAGGCCTGCAGTCGTCTTCCCCCTCGTGCATTGGCTGCTGGCATGGACATGCAACATGGGGCATGGTGGTTGGTGGGCCGTCCCGGGTTTCGAGGGGGGCGCACACACCTCGCATCTAAGTCGTAATTACGGTCCAGGACCCCGGGTCTCGTGGTCTTTCCCGGAAGGGGAAGGAGCTTGCAAGAAAATGCCCTGGAAAGAAAGAAAAATGATGCTGTCGTCTGGCCGCTTCGGCACCGAGCACATCAATGAGTCAAATTGTCTGATTCCTCCTCTTCTTTCGCGCCCCCCCCCCCCCCCCTCTGCGGCACTCGGAGTTGCTTGCTGCTTGCGGCACCTGTCACGAAAGGGGGCTCGTCGAACTCCGACACACGTGTTGTAAGACGGAGGGGCTCTTTGTCCCGCCTGTCGCCATCTCACACCGACTCGACTCGACTCAACTCGCTAGCACGTGCTGTATCGTATCGCTGTGTCTTGTTTCTTCAAGAGGTGGTCCCCGCCCCCTCATACCCTGGTCGTCCTCCATGGGTCCCGGCGATAGGACAATTGCCTTCCGGGTTTCAGTGTCGGAGCTCCGCCTTGGGATTCGGGCACTCCGGCGGTTTCCGGTCCACCGGTAGATGCTCGTACAACCAGATCGATGCGCCCGGATGGTTTCTACGTGGCCGTGCGGGCTGGGATGAATGGCCTCGCTCGGACCCTTCCCTGGTTTGTCCAGACATGGGAGACAGCTGTGAGAGAGAGCTTAAAAGAGCCAAGTGGAGAAGTAGATCCTATCAATGTGGTGGGATGTATAGGACCTTCACAACGGTGTTCTACCTGTCCGTCTTGACTGGCTGCTCCCCCATCACACAGGGTGGGATTCGTTTTGTAGATCAGCATCAGAGGCGAGGTCCTGAGCGCTCATCACCATGCCGCGTTTTCGTCTTCGCTCTCAGGTAGAACGTCATTTGAGATCTCATGGCTTCAGCCGAGCATCGAGTTCACTTGAAGTGGCTTCCAACTAACCGTACTGTGCACATGAGTTATTCTGACAGGCGAATCTGGCGTCAGCAGGTGACAAGTTGGAATCATTGAACAGCCAAAAAACTCTTTTGTCTAACTTCATACATCTACCAGTCTATGAACTGATCGCTCCACATCTTCCGCCATCTTGCTGTAGAAGGGGAAAACTTCGTGTCCTTATACGGACGTGAATCCTAGGATGAATCGCCCTCTAAGGCGCGGTCTCTGCTTGCATTATCGACAGCCGAAACAATGTGTCGTCGACTGATTGCTGCAGAGACATGGCGCGGGGTCGTAGGCTTGTCTTTCTTGTCCGAATGTGAAAGTAGTCGTACAGTCTGTATCTCCATGCTTCCCTTCTCCAAGCATGTTCCGGCCAGGACACGATTATGCCACCCCATATTTTGTGCGGGCTAAAGGTGAATCACTGACCGTCGGTGACAGACGGGTCCGGTGTAAACTTTACCATGCTCAACGTCCTGCCTGGGGGCCTCTTATTGCGAATACATGCAAGCTCCCCGGCCTCTTTGGCGACAAGGACCACTCCATCTGTAACGCTAGCCCTCCTGCAACATATTCTGGCGTGCTTTCGAGGTGCTCTGTGGCTGGCTGACACGTTTCTCTATTCCGAGTCACTCACGTCCTTCCGACCGAGCATAGTAAGCTCTATGTCGTCCAGCTCTTCGTCTTCGGCGTCCCCCTCGCCATCTCCATCCTCACGGTCACTCGCTATGCCCAGGAGCTCCTTGTCTTCCTCGTTAAGGTCCTCGGCGTCCTCCATGGCCACGTCGCCATTAGAGCTGGCTGGTACGCCATTGGACTTGCTCCGGGACAAGCCCCTAGGTGCCGCCAGCAAGCTCCCATCCAGGCTAAAGCCTGTGGCGTCGAGCTCCTCTTCCGTCTCGTCGGGATCCCTACCATCGTTTGCGGTTTCGGGCCTGGCCTTCTTGATCGGAGCGATTGGCCCTACATCGGGACCGTTTTGGCGCTCCCATCTGTCAAGACGGCGGGTGGCTCGGCGCAATGCTGCCGAGTAGGCTACCATCTCCTCGCCAAAGTCATCTTGCTCGCTGACAAGAGACACCAGACCGCCGAGGCCCCGTTCCCGGAAACTAGTCTTCCTTGCAGTGACAGGATCGACGCCGGGAGCAAAGGCCGAGGGGCCAACCAACAGATGATGCTTCATCGCGCTGACGTTCTCGTCCCCCTCGCTATCCTCGAACGGGTCTTCCATCTGCCGCACGCGCTTTGCAGCTCGAATGACGGCGCCGTCCGTCTTGCGGAGACGACGTGACTTCTTATGTCGCTTCCTGATGCCGCGATCTAGAATGTGCTCAACGCGCTGGGACCGGTTGCGCTCGACAGCTATCTGGTGTGCCGTCGGTGGTCTGGGTTTTCGTGGCACTATCCCCTCGATCATCTGCGGTCCGCCGGGGGAGGACCCTTCAAATATCTGATACTTGAGAGGCGCGCCACCCCGACGACTGGAGCCACCGATGCCATCCTTGTGGCGGCCAGGGCCCCGTGGCGGAGGGGTCGAGCGGACGCTATCCATGTCGGACTCGTGCTTCGAGGGTCTGATTCGAGGCAGAATGCCCATTGTTGAACCTTCGTCACCAGCCGGGAACATCCGTGCCCTAGCAGCTCCCCGCTTGGTATTGGACTCGATTGCATACTGTTGGTCTGCCTCGATGATCTTCTTCCTCATGGCCTGCTTCTGGAGCCCGAAATCTAGCTCCTCTTGCGTATCGACGTTTTCGTACTCCATCTCCGTTCGTGATAGCGGTTCCAAACGGGGAACACCTTGATTAGCCACATCCACGCCGTAGTCGACGCCCTCACCGAAGGGGTTTCCATACAACCCTCCTCGGTGAAATCCGACTCAAGGTAGAACCACATGATCCACAAGAAAGCACGAGCCCTCGAGCCGCTGCTGGTATCCGTCTTCATGATGAGATCATGGAACTCGCCACCAGGAGGGAAGTGCAGCTCAGCAATCTTGGCTGCCGAAGCACAGATTACAAACAACAGATTGACGGGGTTGGTTCTGGGGACACTCATTGTCTTGATTGCATCCAAAGCAGATGGCTCCACGCGATCCTCTGAACCACCTTTCAGTATCGACTTGAGCCGAGGAGCATCCTGCAGCTGCTTGTACGAGTTCGGGTCTTGTCGTGCTTGAAGGGATGGAATGGCATGGTACGTCCGTAGCTGAGCCCGCATCTCTGGGAAGACTTAGAGCATAGCCAGATCAGTCATGGGCACCTGTTGCAGCAGTACGCTTGGGAAGGGAGGGCGCATGGGAGACGTACAGTTTAAAGTAGTATTCATGCGGCCGATGTTGACAAGAAGACAGACCATGGCCATGCCCTTCGCGGCCTCCCGATCACTTAGCAGTTTGTCGCGCAGGACCTTGCTGGTCTTTGAGCTTCTTGACATGGTGTCGATGTAGAGATCGGCGAAGCACTGCTTGGGCTTGTTCGGCTCCCAGCTGTTCGTGAAGACTGCCTTTTCGTTATCGAAGACAGCCTTGAGGAAGTCATGCTGGATGTCGACTCGCCAAAGTGGCTCGCCGTCGTCCTTTTTAAGATGCCTGACCTTGCCGATGGAAGGCTGGCTGTTGGCGTTGTTCCTACCCCGACGGCGGGTGCCAGGCTCGGGGGTGCCCATCTTGGAGCGGTCTTCGTCCTCGGTGACGTTGGTCATGAATGACCTCTCGTAGCGGCCGAGGTGTGCTGGAGGGGAGCTTTGGGGCTCGAGGTCAGGCGTGGCCGCCCGGGAGGTTGGAGAGGCGGCCATCGTGACAAAGGGAAGGGAATGAGTGCGCCTCGTGGCGCTAGGACGGGGTGTTGGTTGGGTGTGATTGACTGCAGGATCTGATGGTGTGTTGGCTGCTTGTGAGTCGCGCAGGAGCCCAGCCGAGTTGGCGTTTGCGGCACGCACAGTAAGACGAATGAGTGGTGGTTTCGCGGGGAGGAAGGGATGCGAGGCGAGACACAATCAGCTCGCCTGCCCGCTCGGTCAGCTCAGCTTTGACGCACGGCAGGGCCACGCAGCGCGTGAGATGCGAGCGACGGTGCGTCTGCAGTGTGTTGCGTGTGCCCGTGTGGTGTGGGAGTGGTGCAGCACGACGCAACGCAGCACCCGGCAACAAACCGCGATGCGATACAATATGAAGCTGCTGATGGGGAGGCGATGGTGGATGGGAAGGATGAGATGGGATGGGTGGATGGGGTGGATGAGACGGGTGAATGCCTGGATTGGTTGGATGGATGGATGGTTTGGGGCTGGTGATGATGGATTAAGAAGACGGAAAAGAAAACAGGTTGGCAGTCGTCAACCGTGCTCTGGCAGATCCAGAGCCGGTGGTGGTGCCGGAGCTGGAGCTGGTGGTGCAATAAGCTCCCAGGAACTTGGGAGTTCCATTTCCATTTTGGTCCTGCAGCCCAGCCCGGGCACGTCGCGAACTTGGATGGCTCTAATAAATTGGATGGCACGGCTGGATCGTCACCGAAGCTCGCTGGGCTCGTCCAGGCCTGTGCAAGGGGACGGACCAGCCAGGCAGGTCCACCTTTTTTTAACCTTCCAAGGGACCAGACCCGGAGCTGCGTACGTAAGCGGGGACCGGGAAATGCAGGAAATACCAGGTACCCAGATACCTTCAGCCTGTGCGTCATGCCTTAGAAATCTGGAGTACCGTGTACATGACTCAGGGAGCCGGACCTCAACACCAGGCTGTCGCAGCATCTTTATAACGGAGCTACTCTAGGGCACAATTAATTATCTTGATGGATCAAGAAGGTGCACATATGCGGGAATTAAATTGCAGAACTGCTTACAGTACTTGAGTGTACATACCTGTCGAGGTACCTAGGTAGGTAGACGCCAACCCTATGTCGAACAGTCTTGATCACTCCCAAGCCTATCTCGAACCCCACCAAACCGGCATCATCGCGCATGAAATTGCCCATGATTCTTTTTCGACCAACTCTGCGTGCGATCAACTCGCCCTAACAAAGTGCCCTAGTCCATCAGCTGATATCATGGCATCTGCTGCCAACATCCCTCTCATAGACATCTCCGCCTCGGGTGAAGAAGCCCAGCTCAAGGTGGCCAAGGAGCTGGTCGATGCGGCGGTTGAGCACGGTTTCGTGTACATAAGAAATACAGGCGCCGATATCCCAGCCGATGCTGTAGAGCGCGCTTTTGGACTGGTACTCTGCCGACCTTGACGCTCTACTTTTTATACACATGCTAATTGGTGAGAATCATAGGGCAAGAAGATATTTGACGCCCCTCTGGAGGAGAAGGAAAAATGTATCATCCAGGAGAACAACCGCGGTTGGGGTGGTATGAAGTATGAGACATTGGATCCCAAGAACCAGAAGGTATGTTTGACCGGCCACAATGGTTTCACTGCCGTGGTGCTCAAACTAATGTTCTCCAGGTTGGGGATCTCAAGGAGTAAGATGTCCCCTAGGCCGCCTTCTTGAAGGGTTTCGGCACCGGATGTCAAACGACTGATCAAAATTCAGGGCCTTCAACTTTGGTACCTTTGAAAATGGCAAGGCCCAGCAGCCTATTCCAGAGAGCGTGGCTCCGTATGAAAGCCAATACAGTGACTTCTGTACGTCGAAAGTCTCCGGCCATCCACCCCTCTCTATCCCCATCTACGGACCCAACAGCTGACCCGCCACAGATGAACTCTGCTACAACCTCTCCCTCAAGATAAACTACCTCCTCGGCATCGGCCTAGAAGTCCAACCACCAACCTTCTTCCGCGACCGCCACCTCCGCGAGGGCGGGCCCAGCGGCAACATCCTCCGCTTCCTGTACTACCCGCCACCCCAGTCCCTCGGCCAGGACGACGCAGCTGAGGACGTCCGCGCCGGCGCCCACTCTGACTACGGCAGCATCACCCTCCTGTTCCGGCTGAAGGGCCAGGCCGGGCTGGAGGTCAACCTGCCGGACGGATCGTGGGCGCCCGTGCCCGTCTCGCCACCCGGTACAGAGGACGACCCCAGCCCGCCCATCCTCGTCAACATCGGCGACCTGCTGAGCTACTGGACCAACGGCCTGCTGCGGTCGACGGTGCACCGTGTCGTGTTCCCCGGCGGGGACGGAAGGGGCCTGCTGAGTGGGGAAAGCGACTCCGAGCCGCGGTACAGCATCGCCTTCTTCTGCCACCCCGTCGGGACCACGACGCTCGAGACTGTCCCGAGCTCGAGGGTCAGGGCCCACGAGCCCACGGATGGCGCGGAGTGGGCGGCGCGAGGGGCGAACCCGGATGTGGAGAGGAAGGCTATCACTGCGGACGAGCATTTGCAGATGAGGCTCAGGGCGTCGTACTTGCAGATGTATGACAAGGAGAAGCAGTAGGCCGGGTGGCTGCTAAGAAACACGTGAAAAATAATATGCATTGCGGAATAAGTGCTACCTCCGTGTGCTCCCCTATGCTTTCCCATCAAGATGCTAAGTTCAGCCGTGCTAGTAAATCATTGCTGAGAGTTTCCTGGACCCATGCAATGCAAATGCCCTTCTATGCCCATGCTTATGCTTCCCAAACCCAATCCAATCCATTTTAAGTTTTGCTCCGATCTCTATCAATCCTTGCTCTCATCAATGCACCCAACATAATGCCTACTCCAAAGGTCCTCCCGGTTCGCACCTGTCCTCGCCGTCTGCCTCGTCCCACCGCCATCGCTCTTCAGGTTCCTCCTCTCCTCCTCCGTGATTGCCTCCAAAAGCCGCCAGTCGTACGCAAGGACAATCTCCGCCTGCCCGTTCCGCCTACGCAGTGGCCTGGACTCGAGCTCTCGAAGGAAGGCGCTCGTGGGCTCACTGCGGTGTCGTTCGACGAGCACAAGCGTCCGGGGTCTCCGGGTGGTGCCGACTCGGGCCCCATGCGACGCAAGCCATGACGGGATGTCGGTGAAAACGGCGTTGACTCCGTGAGCCGGCAGTATGTCCTCGGTAAGCAAAGGAATGTTTGCGATGCACGGGGAAAGGAGCACAGAGAAGCCCGCCAGTGCGCATACCCTGCCGGCATACCCGCATGGCAACGGCGACCGCCTCTGAGGCAGGAGAGAGCTTGGATCAGACAGCATCGGAGCAATAGGTGGAAGTGGTCTCGAATCCAAGTCGTCTTTCTCCTCGTGTTCTGTCAGGGCACTGGGCAGGCGTGGCCCAGTGGGCGTGAGTATGTTTCCCTGGGAGGATGGCGCCGATGTGATATCCTCAAGCGGCTGGCGTTGACTCCGCTGGCTGTTAGTTAGCGTTGGTGATGTCAAGTCGATGACCTCCGGTTCGTTCTCCCTTGGCTTCGTTCTACGCGGTGAACCCAACAATGGTTCTCTCCGTCGCTTGCGAGATGACCCCTGAGTTGGCTGTTTCGGTGCTGGACTGGAGTCCTTCAGAGGCTGGATTGCGGACGACGTGGGAGGCGTCGGCAACCCGGCCTTGACAGCAGCAATGACACTGGCGGGAGGTGGCCTGACAGGGGATTCTTCGATGTTGCGTTGTGGCGTCATGGGCTGGGAGGCGGATGTGCTCGCTGTTGTTTCCGTGGACTGGCTCTCGTCCAAGAAAGTCTCCTTCCGCGTCTTGGGCTCAGCTTCCTCTAGAGCTTCAATCCACCGCGCCAACTCCTGGCCGTCTTCTCTGTCCGGACACTTCAATTCCTCCTCCGCAAGTTCTTGCAGCTCTTGAAAAGTCACGCACTCCTTCCAGGTCCTTTCAGAGTGGACCTTTGAGACGTAGGGGAATCGCAAGCTCCAGAACCTCGTGTCGGGTTCCTTGTGGAAGGAGAAGCAAGTCATCTCAAAGACTGCAGGGTCGGTAAAGGCTATAGTGATCTTCCTTCCCTGAGCAATACCGGGTGGCACGTTGAGAACCGGCGCCTTGTCATCTCCCAACGGCACCGTGTCCATGATCCATGTCCTCCGCAAGTGTTCCATCATCGTAGAGTTGACCTCGATCTCGTTCACAACCACAAACTCCGGCTTCGCATCCCACCGTTCGACGGCCTCTTTGTTCGTGAGACAGCCGAGATAGAAATGGGTGAATTTGACCGTTGGCATTTTGAGTACTTTGGCCTTGGTAGAGCAGTAGCGGCCGCTGACCACGGCTAGATCTCCGATCTCTCCCATCCCCTTGATAAACCCCTTTTTAAGCTTCACACAGCAGGATGCATACCTTCGTTTGCTGCGGCCGAAGCTGAAATATGGCTCATCAGGCTTGATCACAAGCCCCTCCTCTCGCCTGACAATGCAAGATGCAAAGGCTTCTTTGAGGTCATCAGCAGCGACCCGTGACGAGAAATTGATGATCTGCCGCTGGACGAGCGCCGCTCGCCCAGTCTGACAATGCACCAATTGGGAGAGCCGTGAGAAACGTGTAGAGTGCCGAACGTTTAGAAGCGAATCGTCATCAACGCGGAGCAGATCGAAGTAGACAATCATCAAGTGCTCCCACTCGTGAGCCTGACTGTCCTCGCCGATGAATCGTCCGGATCTGCTAATATGCTTTCGTATTTTGTCGAACCCAAGTATCTTTTGTTCCTTATCGCTGTACACTACCAGCTCTCCCTCGAGGATGCAGCAGTGCTTGAACTTACACCAGGGAGTGCCCAGCCCCAAAGAAGCTTCGATGGCACTGTGAAGCTGTTTCTTATCTTGAGTGCTATCCTTGCCACTCTTCGAGAATATCTGTATGCTGTTTGAGCCCTTAGAGAGGTCAATATGAATCTGGCAGTACTCGCCATCCAGTTTTCTCTCAACGCTCATGAACCCCCTGCCCATTTCAAGACAATGCTTGATGCTGCGGCCTTTGAGCCACGTCTGGCGGCCGACTTTGACACCAATTTGAGGCTTGAGCAGTCTTGGTAGGTCCTCGGGCAGAATCTCTCCGAATGTCACACGGCGGCGCTCTTGCTCCAGCAAACGTGTTGCAATAGTGAAGTCATCGTGTATCTTCATTATGGTAGGCAAAAGGTGATGGCAGCGAGCATACACCAACCATTCCGGGATAACGACGGGAAGAAAGTTCTTGAGAATCAGTCTTATGGCCCATTTTGCCTCTCTTGCGGTCAGACAGCGGAACAGTGTCTCAAGAGATCCATCATGCTTCGAACTGGAAGGGCCGGTGGACGGAATTCCCGAAGCCCTTACTGACGGTGCACTGAACGAGTTTTTGGATGCCAAGGCATGAAGCAGGGTGTCGATCTCCTCTACCGTGACAGTGGCTCTTCGCACGTTTGGGGTTTGCTGGACTATCTCCTCGGCGCATTCAGCTAGGTCAAGGGGAGACCCCGGGACTGTCCATCTGCTCAACTCCTTGACCCTCGAGTGGCCGAGTCCACATGCTCGGGCAATCTTTGGCTGGAGAGTCTTCTCCTTGATGCCGAACACACGATCGGTGCGAGCCTCCGGTAGCAATGTGGACAGCAGAGCGCACTTGTCAGTGCCTTCGTCGTCCAGCTCTTGTCGATATCGCGCAAACCAGTCCTCGATAATCGCTCGTTCCCCTTTTTGGTTTCGTCTGCGCCTCTGGTCGTTTTCAAGGCTCTGGAGCAATTCGCACACAATAGAAAACGGGAATGTCATGGTTCGAACGAGGCAAGAGTAGTGAGAAAAGGGAAGAGAAAGAGAGCTCGGGATTCATCAGGCTGACGGGTCCGATAGCGAGATAACTGGCTACGCCGTGTCGAAAGCAGGGCAGGCAGCCAACAGGGTGGACAAAGAGAGGGTGGGTTGAGTGCAGCTGACCCGATGCCTCCTCCCGTCCCGGCGGGCGAACTGGCGGGCGACAGCTTCATTTCGAGGTCGCGTGTTCGCTTGGAAACTGTACTAATGAACTCGGGATGCACATGGCTTGTTCCTTCCCGTCTTTTTGTGACGCGATGGGACCGGGATGACGCGCCTTCACTTGCGATTCGCAGGGATCCCAAAGGTCTACCCAGGTTAGTATCCAAATGCCCCCAAAAACCCACACGCAAACAGAATTCAGGTTACCAAATGACAGTTCATTTTTTGTAGACTTTCATGTTGCAGTCCATCCCATAGTAGACTGTCCTGGAGCAAGTTATCCCATAACAGGTTATCAAATAGCACGGCATCGCGTAGCAGACTATCCCACTGAAGCAGCACGTAGTACCAAGTCTAGACCGGCTCAGAGAGAGGTGTGCCCGTCGGGCCTCGGCCTTCTCTCGGCACCGATCCCAGTCTATCTTATCGGCCGGTCCGCCTCCGGTCCTCGGTCTCAGACTGGCGCTGCGATGGACCGTGCTGTTATGCACACTACGCAAGTCAGGGTCAAGTGCGATGCACACATGCTGCCCAAGTGCTGGGAGGTTACCAACATAAGCCCATTCCTGATTGATGGCCATTTCATTAAAAAGTCAGATTCACGGGTCAGGGTGGCAATGTGTATGTGATGGAAGCTGAGGTTTTGGCTCCTGAATGCTGACTCAGACGACCCTGAGGACGGTGACGGGATGGTCTCATTTGAAATCAGAGGGGCCCCACCAGCAGACAGACAGTCGTCATCTTGAGAGACGGGTGGATTGGTGTTTCGCGAAAGTTGCCCACCAAAGTGTGACCTGACTGACCCAGACCAGGGAGAATAGGGCTGCCCCATTGTCAACTAGCATTCCAAGTATTGTGTGTTCCTGGGAACGGTCTCGCCCTGGCTGCTTCCTTTTCGATCATGCGGTCAACAATGTGTCGTCTCATCTATTGTTGGCCTTTCTGGTGGGGGGGCTTATCGCGCTTAAGGCCGACTGGGCCCGGCCTTCAAGGTGCGGCGGGCGCGGCCCCTTCCTGCCCTGATCTGCAACGGCGCCTGCGCTGGTCCAACCTCTCTTAAACCACCATCTCTGCTCTTTATTGTTCTCCATCTACATCCCCCAGCCCCTTCCTCCCACTTCTTGCGGCAAGGAGTTCTTTCACTTCCTCTCTCTGCTGAATGCCATTCACTTTGTTTCGCCTCAACACCCAGCCACCGCCCACTCGTCTTCCGGAACTGCCCATTGTCTCCCATCAACTGAGCCATTCTGGTGACTTCCGCCTGCATATTCCGTCACGAGTCCCGTCGAGTCAAATACTCCCGGCCGCCTCGACCACCGAGACCACACTAAAGAGCCCAACACACCTCACCTCACCTGACTTCGGACAGCGCCGTTCCCGGGACTCTTGCCCACAATAAACACTCTTTCCAGGTCTCGACGCCTCCACCGCCACACCCTGTGCTCAGCGCGCCAAAGGCCCGTATCATTAATCATGTCTCCCGACAAGCCCTCGCCCGCGGCGGCGAAGCAACGCATCATGGGTGATCTCAAGCAGGTGTCGTCGGAGAAGTGGGTTCGAGTTGATGTGGGTGGAAGCACGACCCCTCAATCCACCATGGCACGCAGCTGACAAGAACGTACAGGCCGACGAGACGAACCTTTTCCGCTGGCAGCTTGCCCTGATGGTGGTCAACCCCGACAGCGCCTTCAATGGTGGTTATCTCAAGGTTGGTTGATTCTCGCCACAACGAATTAACAAATGTCTTCGCCAGGGCTTCGAGCCTATGCTGACTTGACCAAGGCCGAGATGATCTTCCCCCACGACTACCCCTACTCGCCACCCAAGTTCCGTTTCTTGAGGCCCATCTTCCACCCCAACATTTATCCCGACGGGCAGCTCTGTATCTCTATCCTCCACAAACCGGGGGAGGATCTCATGTCGGGCGAGAGCGCGACCGAGCGATGGTCTCCTCTGCAAGGGGCAGAGTCCGTTCTGCGATCTATTCTGCTCCTCCTCGACGACCCCGAGATAAACTCCCCAGCCAACGTCGATGCTGGTGTCATGTACCGAGACAACCGAAAGGCCTACAACGAGAAAGCTCGCAAGACGGTGGGCGACTCGCAGAAGGACATACCCGAGGACTTTGTCATACCGACCACGCTCGAGCCCGAGGCCCCCCCACCAAAGGCCACAGACGATGATTGGCTGAATGAGAGTGAGGAAGAATTCGACTGGGAGGCGAGTGGCTCAGATGACGATATGGAGGATGCAGAGGATGACGAGGATGATCTTTAGGCATGGCGCATCATCATCTCTCGCCTTGCCTTGTACCTCCCGCCTTGAAGAACTAGCGGAGGTCGCTCATGCTTTGGCAGGCAGGCCTGTATCAGGTCTGCCCCGCCTAGCAGGTTTTACCTGGCATGGAACACTCGAATTATCTGCATAGCGCGCGTTTATGACGGTCGGTTGGCGTTCTGGAGTTGCACACGGCCCAGGATGGGCGGGCTGCCCTTCACCTCTTGATCGGCATCAACCGCCGAGACTCGCGGGAGTCCGGTCTGAAGAGCTGGCCGTGTGAATGGTCCAGTTTGACTTGGGGCCAGGGGAGAAAAGGGCGCCAGAGCGGAGGAAGGAAACAGGGAAAAGGCTGTCTTGCCCCTCATAGCATCAGGTCATGAAAGCAAGGCTGATTTTATGGTGCAGTGAGGGATTGGGACCAGAGGCTAGGGGTCAACCTGAGGACTGGTCTGTCTAGCATTTACTGCGCCTGCTAGAGACCAGGCTCATCTTTGAACATAGAAAGGAATACACACATATTTACTGTAGAAATCGGCAGCCACTGAGAATTAAATGATGAGAAACACTGTGAGCAAAGAAAAAGACTGCACAATGGGACAACCTCCAATAAATGAATTGACTACAAGACAAAGCTCCTATACGATAATCTCTAAGGACAATCTTCCACTTCAATAATCTACAGTGGGACATATCGCGTGGGATGAACTGCTATAGGGTGCCTTTTTACAGCCTGTGGAATAATCAGCTGTAGGATAACTGCCCAAAGGATACCCTTCTATAGAAAATGCTACCATGGGATAAGCTCCTCTGTGACAGCCTCTTAATTCCTGTAGGGCACCCTTCTGTGGGATACTTGTAGACTCTTGTAGGCTACCCTCCTGTGGGATAACCTCCTTTGCAACAACCTCTTCATTCCTGTGGGATATCCTCCTGTGGGATTTCTATCTCTGGGATAACCTCTTAACTCCCCTGGGATATCCTCCTGTGGGATACCCTCTTAATTCGTGTGGAATATCCTCCTATGGGTTATTGTCCTGTGGGATAACCTCTTAATTCCCGTGAGATACTTGCTTAATTCCTGTGGGATACCCTACCGTGGGATAACGTCCTATCTAACAACGTTGATGCAGCATGTTGGTTGCTGAAGAATGAGCGTTGACAGGGGGGTTCCCCGGAGGCACTACTACCGACCGGGGGGAGCAAGCTTTGGGCCTGCCGGAAGCAAGCGTCGGGACTCTTACGTAGCTGCATACCTTGTCTGACAGTCTCCCACTTGGCTCTGTACGCAGCGCGGGGATGAGACCTCATTCCAACGAAATCAAGAGACCAGACCTGCGAACGCATCACGACCACGACCACGATCACGACCACGAAACTACCTGTTGGGGAGGGTTCAGGCTGGAACCTCGAGGGCGCCCCCACTGAAGGAGGTCTCTCTGAAGCCCTCTGGACGATCTCTGTCCCCCTTCGACTTGGCCCCTTTCAAGCATATCGAAGCTTTCATGGACGACAAGCCAAACCGAAAGGCGTGAAAGATTCGAGATCCCCCACCCCCCAAGATCTTTCCTGCCAACAGCCTGTGATACATCGGTCCCGGACGGCGGGCGCAAACCGGGAATCGGACGGCAGCCATGGCGGACCCTACTGAGGCAGAGATCGACTCTGTCTGCGAGATGCTGCTGGCTTTCGATACCAGAGACAGACAAATGTTCTCCAGAGCCCTCAAGGTCCGCAAACGTTGAACCCATGATGCACATCATTCCATGGCGGTTGACTGACACCTTGCTCTCAGGCCCACAACAACAGCATACCACAGGTTGTCAACGAATACTTCGAGGGCCAAGATACGGTACATATGTCCTTTCACGAACGAGGCGGTAGCAAGACAGGCGGAAGCGCGGTGCTGACATACAGAAAAAGTTCAGGGCCAAATACTCATGGGACGAGGGGCAGTTCATGGCAGACCGAGATGGCTCGAGCTTACCAAGTGGGTTGTGTATCCATCAACATCTCTTCCGCCGTGGTTCTGATGTTCCTCACCCCAAGGTTTTCAAGTCCAAGGTCCCGATCAGTTCGATTCCAGTGCCAACGCATGGGACCAAACTGGCACCCTTCCCGCGCCGTCGCGACCGCCGTCCAGAGCGCAAAACAGATCACCTCTGGGTAAGATGATAGATTGGACGACGAACTACACAGTTGGTACTGATATCATGCTTGGTTCTGATATTCTGCCTTTCCAACTCCCTGCCGTCCTACACAAGAACATAACATACAGGCTGAGAGACTAACGTTGGACTAGGTGCACCAACGACGCAGCAGCAAGCGGACGAAGACCTGAACCGAGCCCTTCTCGAATCCACCAGCGCTGCCGCCACCAGAGGCGCCACTCCCCAGGAGAGCGGTGTCATCAGCACCGACACCAGCCTCCCGTTCTTCGGCCCAGCCAACAGGGAGACTTACCAAGACGACCAGTGGGCCATGGTTCGCGTGGACAAGGAGGCGTCTGACCCACCGCCATCGGCGAGACAACGGGACCCTTCGGCGCCAGTCTTCCTCCTTTGCCGGCAGCAAGGTGCACAGAGACATCGCCTTGGTCCGCTCATGATGATCAAGCATGACATCCCCGCCGCGAGGAACTTTTTCTTGTCTTTGGACGCTTTCGATCCACCTGGGTCGTATGGGCATAATAACTCGTGGTGGAAGGGCGACCTCATCCTTTGTACAAACAGCGAATCAACGGAAGACTTGCCCGAAGCCTGGTCGAACGACTACCGAAGCGTGAAGTTGGAGGATGAGATCCAACGGCTGATGGCTTTCCTTGATGCGACACAACGCAGCTACGGAACCGCTGACTCTATGTGCGAGAGCCCGCTGATGAAGAGCACTTGGGGCGACCCCGTGGTACAGTTCTATCAGAATTTGTACCTCAAGGCCGGCTCTCAAATTGTTCGCTCGACTATGTGGACTCTCGTGCGTTTCGAGTCCGGGGCTGATGAAGTTCCTGCGCCAATGACGCCGCCCACGTCTGAGTTTGGCATCATCGAGTTTAGAGTACCGAATGAGCTGTCAGACGTTCTGCACAGTCTTTACAGCTCATGGGATGCTCTGTTCTGGATCAACCAGGAGTCCGAGCTTTCTGGTTTCCCGCATGAGGAATCAGAGCGGACTGCGTACATGGAAAACCCAGCCGAGGTACTGACTATGCGCATCAAGCTGGAGGACCACCGTATCGAGATCCCAGAGACCTTCTACATCGACAGGTACCTTGAGAAGAACCTCGGCACCGCCCGCATTTTGAAATCGCAGATGTTCCAGATCTGGCAGGCGCTGGCGAAGAGCAAAGACGCAGAGAACAAGATCACGAAATGGAAGGATCCGGCAGATGTCTGGAAAGAATACGACAAGATTGCGCTGACCAAAAAGGTCATCGCGAAGGTTGAGAACCAAATCTGGAAAGTCAGGGCGAACGCACTGTGGAGGAAGCACGAGCAGTCAGTTGGGACCGAGGATGAGATCCCGTTTCTCCCGACCGACCTGAACCACCTAGCCGAGCTGAACGAGGAAGAGGACAAGACCGTGAAGGTCTTCGAGTCTCAGATCGACCTCGCGAGGCGCAAGCTCGAGAATATTGACCAGCAACTAGCGCGTAAGTCTCCCACTCGAGTAAAAACTCTGCTGACATCGCGCTGACTTCTTCAAAGGCCTTGGGCAGGAGAAGGAGGCATGTTGCGACTTACTTCGGCGCATGGCCGAGGTCTTGACAGTTCCTAGCGAGGAACCAGAGATGGACCCGGTACACAAGTACACCTTGCGAGGAGTCATCACATCGCCCGATATAGTGTACATGTGCAGGCGAAGAGAGGCCGAGCCTCCTGAGACGGAAGCTTCAAGCGCAAAGGTTGATCAATGGTGGCGTTGTGCTTGGGTAGCTGGCGATGAGAATCCTGTGAGGCAGGAGGTACGTACAGCGCTGGTTCCAGCCTCTCCGTGTGATGCTAACCCCAATTCGGCAGGCAACGACCTTTGACAAGGTTCGGGAAGCAATATTCACTGAAGTTGACACTGATGGCTCGAAAGTGCCAATCCTCGTGTATGCGACAGACAAAGCCATGAACGAGGAGCCGGCACCTCTGTCTGATGCGCTCAAGACATTCGTTAAGTTCGACAACCGCCTCTTCAAACAAGAGCTGCTGGAAGAACCTACGCCCACAGACAAGAAACGGAACGCGCCGCAACTACCAGAGTCTCCACTGAAGAGACAGAGAAGCACTAGCGTCGATTCGATGGCTACGAATCGAGCGTCTCTTGGAGATTTCAGTGATGTGGAGGAACGAGCTGCACTGCTAGGGGACCAGGAATTGAGAGACGACCCTTTTCAGTACGGCGACGGCACAGCCCCAATGAGCACAGAGATGGAGGACATGCGGCCGATGGGTGCCCCACCGTCCCCTCCCATGTCGGCTAGAGACGAAAGCGACCATGGGTCTTCCTCGCCTGGGATCAGAAGGTCAAGTGAGAGGCTTGCCAGGATCTCCTTGGACGGAAAGGGCCAGGACGGTGGTGATACGATGAAGATGGAGGTGCCGAGGGCCCCAGAGATGGCCGAGCGTGCGTCACCTGTGTCACCGTTTATCGTCCGGCGGCCCAACGGTACTATCGATAAAAGGGCCTCTATCATGGACCAGGCTATGGAAATCGACGGCAGCATGGAGCTGCCAGCGGTGGACGGGAACCCAGAGGACTATTACAAGTAGAGGATGGCCACTGATCACTCGCACGGTGTCAAGGGAAAGCGATTATGGGCATCGAGTGAGTCTTGCACGTACAACCCGGTATGCAAGTATACTTGATGGCTTGTTTGATGGGACACGGACGGGATGGTCCCCTGCAACGGCGTTGGGCATAGATGCGAGAGGGCCATGGGCACATAGCATCGACAGCATAGCAAAAAGGAATAGATACCCCCCCGGTTGATCTCATGGGGTTGTTGGCGGTGGCCTCCCGGGACTTGAACAATAGGACAATACTCTGTGGGATGACATGTTATAGGATAATCTCCTATGGGGTAATCTCCTATGGGATAATCTCCTATGGGATAACCTCCTATGGGGTAGTCTCCTATGGGATAAGCTCCTATGGGATAACTTGATATAGGATAATAGCCCCTAGGGGATATCCTTGCGTGGGATAATCTCTAGTGGGATAACCTCTTATAGGATACCTTGGTAACCTCATATAGGATAAATTGCTGCATACGGTGAGATAACCCAACCTGTGAGATAATGTCTCCTGCCTGGGTAGATACCTAGGAAGGTAAATTTGCAGGTAACCATGTCCCTCCGGCTGTTCACCACTTCAAGATTTTGTTGTTGGTCCACCTTCCGCAGGAGGCATCTTGTGATGGGCAGTGGGTGGCTGGTTCCTTCCTAGTGGGGGAAGGAGAGACCCTCGGTGGTTCTTGCGCTTTTCGAGTTGACATTGTTGACCTCTCGTGTTGCTCATCTTTGATCCGGGATCAACACTCCTCTCCGCAACCACATGGGTTATCATCATCATCACAAAGAGATCCTAGGCATTACTATAAATTCCATTACCACTCACCATGTCAAACGACGAAGACACTGCACAGTCAGGGGAAAATGCTGAGTGGATGAACGACTGGTTCGACTTCGAGGCTGCTGTGGATCCGAATTACGACCAGGCTCAGCAGGATCAGGACACCAGCCCTCCAGCACAGCCTTCGGTGGAGGGCTTCGAGAACAGTCAAGTCCAACAGGGCCAAAACAACGCTGAGAGCACCAACTTCCTCAGCCTTGAGAATGTCCAGGATCAGCAAGCCCGAAATCCTCCAGGAAACATTGATCAAGGAGGGACATTCCCCATTCCCTCGGTCATTGATCTAATCAAAGATCAGAAAGAATGCATTTTCTCCAGTAGTAACACGCCATCCCAGGACCTACTCCTTCTTGACGCGAAAGTGAGACGTCAGATCCAGCTGGGCCAGAACTCTCCCAACAACAGCAACCCGGGAGAGAGACGCCCGATCCCATCGATCATTGGCATGGATCGGGGCCGATCCGACGGACCGTACGACCCACACTAGGAGCCGCTCTACACGGTACTGCACACGAGGCGCAGCCGCACAGAGGCCAAGGATCTTCGCGCCCAGATCCGAACTCGCGGCTTGGACGTTTTCTCTGAACCGCAGTGGGAGCCCATCATGCAAAGCACGGGATCAGGATGGCAATTCAGACATCATGTTGGAAGAGGAATGGAAACCTTTACAACTATCCGTCGTGGCAACCGGAAAGGCTTCAATGAAGTCCTGCGCCAAGATGGCTATCGGAAGGCGAAGCGATTAACGATGATTGTGCAGCAGGACGGGGGCGAGGTGCTCGTGGAGGGGATCATTTGTGAGAATGAACGCAAGTGTTCACGCACGCCTACCTCCACTTTACTGGAAATCTTCGAGGGGTTCGAGGTGTGAGTGTGTTCCTCACGGTTGCCTACCCTTTCCCCACAATAGCAAACTTACCACAACCCAAGCCTTGGAAGAAATATGCTCCTTTATTGGCCTTGTTTCCCACGACCCCTCACCGTCCTCCCATACCACTTGAGCTGACTAGTCTACGACAGGGCGTCGATATACCAGTTAGGGGCGACTGAGCCCGCTTCATGTCTGGTCGAATTTGTGAAGCCTGGTGAGGCAGAGCGAGCATGTCGTTTCGCAGACAAGTTGTAGCACAACAGCAGTAGGTTGGTATGCAGGGTGACAGAGCACTCACGCGGGTTTCCTGATTTTGGGCAGCTTGGAGTGGGATCGGAAGACCATGGAGGGTTGGAGAAAGCCCAGACAGGCGAAGGATAAGCGGAAGACACAAGAGTAACGCGTGGCTGGGGTTGCAAATTAGAGGTCGTAGTACATCCATAACTGGGAGAACACAAGGCATATCTCCTGCACAGCAGACCCATCAAAGTGCATATCAACGCAGCAGTTGATCTCAGTCTGGTCCCTGCTTCCTCTTTCTCCTCCTCACCCACACCTCCCTCTCCTCCTCCTCGTCATCATCAGCCCCAGCCCCGACAGCAACAACCCCAGCCGCCGGCCTGAGCTCGACGTCCCACACGCCCAGCTGGTACGCGCCGCGGTCGCCGGCGCCGGTCGTCAGCTCGAAGGCGAAGCTGTGGCCGCGGCACCTGATGGCGTGGCCGAGGGTCCTCCCGCCGGCGTCCTCGATGTCGAAGGGCACCCCCCACGACAGCGAGTACGAGCGGTGCGGGCAGGCGTGGTCCACGGCGTGGAAGGCGCCCTTGTACCGGAAGACGAGGACCTGCTCCTTCATGAGCCACGCGTCCTCGCCGGCCGCGGCGTCGGCGTCGATCTCCTCGACTGAAGATGCCGCCGCTGGTGTGGGCGAGGGCTGGGCGGTGGTGGCGGCCTTGGGGTGGAAGATCTTGCAGCCGGGGACCTTGGTGGTATCCGCGGAGACTCCTGCTGCTTTGCACGGCTGTGGCCAGACGAGCTTGAAGTGGGGCTCGCTCGAGTTGGTTATGTTGGGGAAGGAGGACGCCAGGCCGGCGAAGAACCAGTCGTCGCCTGGGCGGGATGAGCGAGGCGCGGGAGAAGAGCTCGGTGGCGCTGCCATCGCGATACACTCCGCAGAAGGTCTGCCTCGAAGTGGTGATGTGGGACCGCTGTTGACGATGGGTTCAGATTATCGGCTTAACGCCCGCCGCAGGTCATTTCCTCTCGGGTAACAAGGTATCGACAAATCTCATGAAGCCATGGCGAATTAAAGGTCATAGGCCTCATTTTTCCGACAAGGAAGTCACTGGGAACTGATGCTCATCTTGAGGTCTACGAGACTCATATACTTGGCCAAGGCACGAAGTCGGGCAAACCTACGTGTAAGTCGGAGGACGGGGACAAAACGGCAATGTTCGCCGATTCTTGCCCGTATACCTGTAACGGTAAACCGCCTTGGAGCAACGCCTGTCTCTGAAGACACAACTTCTGGATAGCCGGCCCATCCACGAACGAAGATGTCCCGTCTACTGCTCTGTGGTTCGTTTCAAGTTGGAATCTCGCACGAAATCCCTACTGAGCGGAGATGAGCAGGGCTTAAACGGCAAAAGGGGTCGTCATCTGTGTACTGCTGAGATGCACTAACAATTATCTAGCTACTTTGCTGTTGTCTGGCCCCCCACGTTATGCTTGGAGCTGAGCTCCCAAACTGGGTCCATGATCGCCAACAGCTCCAGCTCCGGAGAAGCTGTTGCTTGCGTCTTGACATTTCTGTGAAACTGCGGCACAGCAACCGCTGCCACAGATGGGAGGATCACAATGATGTCCTACAGTCTGCACACACAGCTCAGAACACAACCCCTCTCGTCAGTCTGTCTGTCTCTCTAGCATACAAATACTCCAGAATTGCCCGTCGACAACCACCGCGACAATGTGGAAAGCCCGCCTGTTCCAGGCCTTCCAGCCCCTCTGGCACAGCCCGTCCCAGACGCCCACCCCCCTCCGACAGACCGTGAAACGCTTCTCAAAGCCCACGAGGCGCCTGAACAGCACAAAGCCCCCATCAACGTCACCGTCACCGTCCTCGGCCGAGACCGCCGCCGCGGCCAAGCAGCAGTCCCGCGCGGACCGGATCCTCTCGCGGCTCCCGCGCCGTATGCAGGGGTACGCGGGCCGGCTGCGCAGCGCGCCGCTGTCGCACGTCGTGGCCTTCCTCGTGCTGCACGAACTGACGGCCGTGGTGCCGCTATTGGGGCTGTTCGGCCTGTTCCACTACGGCGGCGCGTCGGCCGCGCCGATCGGGTACATGACGGAGCACTACGGGGGCTACGTCCGGGACGGGACCGCCAGGTTCGAGCGGTACTTTACCAGGAAGGGGTGGTTCGGGTTCGGGCGGGAGGGAGGTGAAGAGGCCGCCGGGGGCATCAAGGGCGATAATGGGGATGACAATGCTGCCGTCATGAGCCGGTGGGAGGGCTCGGATGGGAAGTACAGGATCGTGGTCGAGGTCGCGCTCGCGTATGCCATCACCAAGGCGCTGCTGCCCGCCCGGATTGTGGTCAGTCTGTGGGCGACGCCTTGGTTTGCTGGTCTAATGGGCCGGATACGACGGGTCTTGCCTCTGGGCAAGGCGCAGAAATAGCGTGCAATTGAACAGGCTTGAGTCTGTCCCGTCAATGTAAAGCAGAGATACGGGGCAAGCTGTTCCTTTTAGCTCGTAGAGGCCCAGGACTACGCAAAGAAAGGCCTATTTCTGCCTGCTATTGGCACGGTCTTGTTTGACAAGGCATTTGCGCAAACTCTCAAGTGATCTTGCGTCTCAAGTGATCTGGTGTCGAAGCTTTTGTATTTTTTTCTGGTTTCCTATCGCCGCTCTATGTGACAGATCCCGGGCCGGTCATTCCCTCATTCTTGAGTACATGGTCCAAGCCCACGAGGTTCCAACATGACTGGTCGTGTTGCGAGGAAGCCACTTAAGGCTTCTCGTAGATCCAGTCGTGCTGGGCAGACTTGTAGCTGACGAGCTCACCCTCCTTGAACCAGAGGGCAATCTCCTTCTTGGCGTTCTCGACGGAGTCGGAGCCGTGGCAGACGTTGCGGCCGACGTCGATGGAGAAGTCACCACGGATGGTGCCGGGGGCGGAGGCCAGGGGGTTGGTGGCACCGAGCAGGACACGGCCGGTCTTGACGGCGTCACGGCCCTCCCAGACCATGGCGGCGATGGGGCCAGACAGCATGTCTGAAGGGGCTCAAAGTAAGCTTCGTCCGCGTTTGGAAAGCGGCCGAGGGCCGGGAGAAGGGAGGGGACAAGGGAAACGTACAGGAGAGCAGACCGGGGAAGAAGGGCTTGTCCTTCAGGTCAGCGTCTGTGTGAGGCGGTCAGTAAAATGTTCGGCCGAGGGGCTGCACCATGGCGGGGTAGCTCCGCGAGCAGCATTTTCAGGGTTCTGGACGGTAGACGGGGGTCACGAACAGTGAGCCTCGAGGTGCTCCTTGCCGGGAGTGACGAGCTTGATGGCAACAAGCTTGTAGCTGGAGGGGAGCAGAGTGTCAGTCGAGTGTCCATGTTCGGTAGGGAGTCTCAATGGTATCAATGGACACCAGGGGGGGAAGCTCACCCGCGCTGCTCGAATCGCTGGATGATGGGACCAACGAGGCCACGCTGGAAGGGGTGTTAGTCGTGGCAAAGAGGTGAATGAGGCCCGAGGTGTGCCAATGCTCATACCTGGACGCCATCGGGCTTGATAGCAATGAAGCTGCAAGTCGACTACGTTAGCAACCTGGCCGAGAAGCGTGGAGGGGTGAAGGTCGAGGCTCAACGCTCAATGCCAACGGCCTGATCTGGGGCGGAGACTCACGTCTGTTCGGTGGCGGACATGGTGTCTGGTTGTTTGGATGGCTCTTCTGTATGAACAGGAAGGATGTCTGTGTTGATAGAGGCGGGAGAGTCGACGGTAGGATAGGAGAGGGTTGTGGTTCGGGACGTGGAATAAAAGAGATTTCTCGAGAGGACAGCTACGAGGGCCGCTAAGACCACGGCAAGCAACGGCAGCAGTGGGGTCCGCCGTGTGTTTGGGCCTGGGCCACCGCCGCCTGCAGGCCTCCGCTGGCCCTGGTGCTGCTGGTGCTGTTCGACTTGGCGGGGCATAATCATGCAAAGCGCGGGGTGCCAGCTCAATAGCTCCCCCGTTCAGTGGTTCAGGGCCGTTGGAGCCCGGGATCCCGCCGTCCCCAGACACTTAATGCTTATGATAAAGGGCCGTGGATATTGAATATAAAACTGTTGAGAGGACCAATAGACTAATTGGACGTGTGTCAGGTCTTGGTATGCGCATTTGGTAAAGCAGTGGCTCTCTATGGGTAGAGAAAAAGAGGCAGGGCCTTTGGAGGGGACGAGGTTGTTGCAGATGGAGCAAGGCAGTGAAGCTCCAGCCAGGGAGACACCTCTCACCGCCGCCAGTCTGTGAGCATTAGCTGTCCAGAACTCGTGTCAAAAGCTTCTACCATGACAAGTCAAGTAAGGTCAGATGACAATCGTGCAGAAGGTTGATAGTAATGACTGACTATACTGCCATAACTGGAACTCTATCTGTGTATATTTGTGCAACATGAACGTTGGTTGAGGCACAGAAACAACCTCGCTTGAACATTGCTTGGTTGCACGTCAGTCGGAAGGAAGCTGGATGCTCTTGGAGAGCAGGGGTCTAACAAGAAGGCATTGCCTGCCGGGTCGCTTACACCCACGCCCACTAGGAGCAGAGGAAGCTAGGGGCCAGCTTGACGTTTCGGTGCTGGGGACTAGACAACCGACCTCGAAACATCAACAGACTTGACAGTTACACACTTCGACCCAGCAAGAAGACTGGGAAGTAGTACCGCACACAATTATCCGGCGGGCACTCCACTGGACAATTGAACACCACAAGAGCCCATGATACACATCGTCACATAGCCTGTTTCCCCATATACTTGCTTTCTCCTGGTGTCAACAACCGCAGTCCGCAGCCCAGAGGGCATCATCTGCCTGTCATGCACTCTCAATGGCTGTCCCAGAGATGGACAGCCTACTTCTGCTTCCTTTCCCTTTTGCTGTCTCTCATTACTCCTGCAGGTAAGGCTCAGGCATAATCCCAGCCATGCTTGCCACAAACACGGGCACATTCTAATTACCCCCTCACAGTCTCGGTCAAGGAGAACGACTTCAAGAAATGCCACCAGTCCGGCTTCTGCAAACGCAACAGAGCCTATGCTGATAATGCACTTGCATCGAATTCTTGGGAAACACCATACAAGATCCTGCCAGAGTCAACGTCCTTCAAGGATGGCCAACTTCAGGCTGTCATTCTCAAGACCATCAACGAACAGGGCGAAACTGTCCGACTCCCAATAACCGTCTCCTTCCTCCAAGCAGGCACCGCCCGAGTCACTGTCGACGAGGAGAAGCGGCAAAAAGGAGAGATCGAGCTCCGTCACAACAGCCCGGTCCGCAAGGAACGCTACAACGAGGTCGACAAGTGGGTCATCGTTGGTGGGACAGCCCTTGACAAGGATGCCAAGGTTGTCTTCGAGGACAAGTCCCAGACAACTGTTCAGTATGGACCGGATTCGAAGTTTGAGGCTATCATCAAGTTTGCACCCTTCAGCATTGACTTCAAGAGGGACGGCAACACGCAGATCAAATTCAACGACCGTGGCCTGCTAAACGTGGAGCACTGGAGGCCCAAGGTTGACAAGGTCGAGCCCGAGAAAAAGGAGGGAGAGGCCGAGGCAAGCGCAGAGGCTGAGGCCGAGAAGAAGACCGAGGAAGAACCTAAGGGCGAAGACGAGAGCACTTGGTGGGACGAGTCCTTTGGAGGCAACACTGACTCCAAGCCTCGTGGCCCCGAGAGTGTTTCTCTGGACATCTCCTTTGTCGGCTACGACCATGTCTTCGGTATCCCTGAGCACACCGGCCCTCTGTCTCTGAGGGAGACTCGTGGTGGCGAGGGCAACTTCGAGGAGCCGTACAGACTGTACAACGCCGATGTCTTCGAGTACATCTTGAACAGCCCTATGACCCTCTACGGAGCCATTCCTTTCATGCAGGCCCACAGGAAGAACTCCTCGGCTGGTGTGTTCTGGCTTAACGCTGCTGAGACTTGGGTCGATATCACCAAGGCCAAGGAGACGAAGAATCCACTGGCCATTGGTACTTCTGCCAAGACGAACACCCACTCCCACTGGATCTCCGAGAGTGGTCTGGTCGACGTCTTTGTCTTCCTTGGACCTACTCCCCAGGACCTCACCAAGGCCTTTGGCGAGCTCACCGGCACTACTGCCATGCCCCAGGAGTTCGCGCTCGGATACCATCAGTGCCGTTGGAACTATATCTCCGATGACGACGTCAAGGACGTCGATCGTAAGATGGACAAGCACAAGATCCCATACGATGTCATCTGGCTCGACATTGAGTACACAGACGGCAAGAAGTACTTCACTTGGGATGACCACATGTTCAAGGACCCCATCGGCATGGGCAAGCAGCTTGATGCTAGTGGCCGCCAGCTGGTGACCATCATCGACCCTCACATCAAGAACGAGAACGACTACTCTGTTGTTTCCGAGATGAAGTCCAAGGATCTGGCCGTCAAGAACAAGGAGGCAAACATATACGAAGGTTGGTGCTGGCCTGGCTCATCCCACTGGGTTGATTGTTTCAACCCTGAGGCCATCAAGTGGTGGAAGTCGCTCTTCCGTTACGATGCCTTCAAGGGCACCATGGAGAACACATGGATCTGGAACGACATGAACGAGCCCTCGGTCTTCAACGGACCCGAGGTCACCATGCCCAAGGACAACATCCACCACGGCGGCTGGGAGCACCGTGACATCCACAACATCAACGGCTTGACCTTCCACAACGCCACCTACGAGGCTCTTGTGTCACGTAAGAAGGGCGAGTCGCGCCGACCGTTCGTGCTCACTCGATCCTTCTACGCTGGATCGCAGCGTATCGGTGCCATGTGGACCGGAGACAACCAGGCCTCGTGGGACCACCTTGGGGCCTCGATCCCTATGATCTTGGCTCAGGGTATCTCCGGTTTCCCTTTCGCAGGTGCTGATGTCGGTGGCTTCTTCGGCAACCCGGAACAGGACCTGCAAGTTCGTTGGTTCCAGGCTGGTGCTTTCTACCCGTTCTTCCGTGGGCACGCCCACATCGACGCACGCCGTCGGGAGCCCTACCTGATCGGCGAGCCCTACACTAGCATGGTCACCTCAGCCCTGCGCCTGCGCTACAGTCTCCTGCCTTCGTGGTATACAGCCTTCTATCAAGCCCACAAGGAGGGCTCTCCTATCGTCCGCCCTATGTTCTACACCAACCCTACCGATGAGGGCAGTCTTGATATCGACGACCAGCTCTTCCTGGGGAGCACTGGTCTTCTGGTTAAGCCAATCGTTGACAAGGACCAGGAGTCCACGGACATCTACATTCCGGATGACAGTGTGTACTACGACTACTTCACCTACGACATCGTGCCGACCCAAAAGGGCAAGAAGGTCACTGTCTCGGCGCCACTGGACAAGATCCCCCTGCTCATGCAGGGCGGACACATCTTCCCGCGCCGCGACCGGCCGAGACGGTCCGCAGCGCTGATGAAGTGGGACGACTACACTCTCGTGGTCACACTGCCCAAGTCAGGCGGCCAAGCAGAGGGCGAGTTGTACGCTGACGACGGCGACTCGTTTGACTTCGAGAAGGACCAGTACATCCACCGCAGCCTCGTGCTCGACGGCAACGTCCTGTCATCCAAGGACGCCGAGGGCAGGGACACCAAGAAGATCAAGCAGGGCGAGTGGCTCAAGAACATGAAGAACGTGAGCGTCGACAAGGTCGTCATCATCGGCGCGCCGGCAACCTGGGCCGACAAGAAGGAGGTCACGGTCACGGGCGCGGACGGCAAGACGTGGACCGCGCTGGTGGACTACACGCCCGGCAGCAAAACCAAGGCCGCGTTCGCGGTCGTCCGCAGGGTCGGGGCGCCCATCGGCGAGGACTGGAGCGTGTCATTTGAGTAGACTCTTCTACTTGTCTCTCACAAGGGGGATATAGTTGGGTGGCAGGCAAGCCAAGCGAAGCGAGGTTGGACGCAAATGTTTCGGCGTTCTTCTATTTGTCTAAGTTACTTTGTACAACTGAGGAGTGCCCTTTCCCCACATATACTTTCTTTGTACAATAGTGGTGGCCTGAAGCTACCCACTGAAAAGGCTGGGAAAGTACGATGGAGAGATAGATGTGCTACGTTGAATTGAAACCGCGCGAACAGCGGGCGTCTTAGACATGTGTGAGCCTCCGTCGGCCCTCAGGCGAGGTCGGGCAGTCGGACAGTAAGCTTGTGTGATCCGCTACCTGTGTGAGTATAGTGGGGGCTGAATAACGTACAAATGTTGTTCCTAAGCGTGAGGAATTGCTCTGAGATCGGGAGTGATCGAGATCAGTCGGCTATCTGGGCTGCTGATGGTGGAGTGGGGATGTAGACGCCACAGGTCAATGTAGATCAGGTCGTATATGCACGTGAGCTGACAACGTAGACCAGATCATGGACTGTGCTTCCATATGCGCGCGGGAGCCGTGCCACTTGCTTGAGAGGGATTGGTCGTTTGGGAATTTGATCTTCACCAGCGCGATTAGACTTATTGCACGTCACAGCAGGGCGGACGGCGACGTGCATTCGCACGGTTGCGGACTCCCCGGCTCCCTGCATGCTGAGCATGCTTGTTCGACTGCTTGTGAGAGCGTCCATTGCTCCTACTGCTTGTCGGGCGTGGCCTGGTGGTGGTAGTCACGCCGGATGACAGAAGGCTGAATCCGGGCGGTCTTCAACCCAGGCAGGCCGTTTTGGACAAGCTCGGTGTCTTCTTCAAAGACGCCCCCGTGTGTGGAACATGTGTTGGATGGCGTGTCCCCGTCGCACGGCCGGGCATTGATGTCTGTTGTTAGACTCGAATCAACTTCCCGAGCCCGACGGGTTCCCATCTTCTCGTAGCTTGCATTTTTTCTGGTGGACGCATAGCCGGCTTTTCACCTTGGCCGTAACGAATGCACGATACGTGTTAATGTCACAGAGCGCTTTAGAGTTTCCGGATAGGCCTGCCTGACCTTTGTGGACCGCCATGGCGTTTTTGCGCGCCTCTGGTCGAGTCAAGACTGATGCTGCATTCCTCTGTCATTGACCGTCTCGGACAGTCTGTTTCCTGTCCGGCTTCGTGCCCACTTCTAGCATATACCGCAGCATTGACCATGGAGGTGACTGTTTTCAGCTAACAAGGTCTAGCATGAAAAGATCTGGCACCCGCGCACTCACTGAAGTTGCCAATGCGACTACATGGTAAGAGCAGCGCGGGAAGTCCGTGGTGAGATGCCACGGCCGCATAGTGGTGGTGGTGGTGCCGGCGGTGGAGACCGGTAATAATCCGGGGAAGACGGTTCGAGAACGATCAAGGGCTCAAGCCTCAGGGCGGCGCGGGTTTGCGAGTTGATGCCGTCAGCCTGGGGACCCCAGACCAGAGTTATGGAGCCCTCGTGGGGCGGGCGATGTGTTCCTGGGATATCTTGGTGGTGATCGGATGGGTCCCAGGCGGTGAGGCTGTGAGCATGAGGCTTGGTCTGGACGTCTTCTTTTTTCCCGCGTGATAGTGGGGTGAGGGCGGAATGAAAGGGTTGCCCGGTACTTGAAAATGGGCACTCTTCCGTGGTGGGCTGCGGGCGTTGCTTGTGCTTGCAACCTCCGATATAATTTTCCAACGACGTTTTCTCTGCGTTTCCGCCACGCGCAGGCGAGAATAGGAGCGGCCGAAGCGCCGGACGACTAGCAGTCCCGAGAAAAGGTGCAGCTCCCGTCCCGGGTCGCTTACCTAGGTAGCCTGACTGACGGCCTAGTCGACGGTCCAATTTGGTACTAGCGGCTCAAGGAAAACAGCGCAACCGCCGTCGACTCTGCTAAAGCTGTGCTTGACGTCAGCCATGGGCCGCATACGCAATACGGAGCAAAACCTTCGTCACAGCAAGAGTTAGACCGCTTGGGATGATGGCCGGGAGAGGTGAAAGAGCTCCGTGACAACTCATCGCTGGCATCATTGCCGGGTGCGCACAAACCTTGATAGATGATAGAACTAGGTGATCGATGAGACGACCCTGGCGAGAGAGAGACGCGTCGTGGTGGGTTCGTGTCCGAAACTGAAGCTTGCTTGTCCCTGCGTCGTTGCTGCAAGCCACACACCTCACCCTGCCGCCGTCAAAGAATTCCCCTGTCCATCACTCATCTCGATCACCGAGACTTGTCTCTGCTTGTGGTGCCACCATGCAAGCGACCACATTGGCCACAGTCGCTTTCACCGGGCCATTCGGCCAGTCAGCTCGTCTAGTCCAGCTCTGGCAGGAGGGCGGCCGGGAATGACCTTGACCATGGCCTGGTTGGACCCCCACGGCCCAGGAACTGCTGGCCAGGACTGCCGCACTGCGATGGCGCGCTCCCGTTTTAGGGCCATGCCACGGCAGCACGGGCAAGCCACCAGAAGCCAGTCAAAGTGCGTCACTCGGCGGCTGTTCGGGTGGGAAACGCCAAGCCGGGCCTTCGTACTGTACCTGCACCAGCCGACCCAGCTCGCGACGAAGGGTTGATCCAAACTCGATTTGTTGCGCGGGTGGGCTGCGGGTTGCCCAGACAGCACTTCCGCCGAATTGGGTCCCCACCCTGCCAGGCCATCGACCAAGGAACGACCCTCCATCTCGACATCGCCGGCAGCTTAGCCCAGAATTTTCTGACACCGTAGACAGCCCAGCCCGGGACTACAGGGAAGAGCTCTCAACAGGAAAAGAAAAAAGGAAAAGAGGGTCCAGTTTGCCAGAATAGCCCAATTCATTACTAGCATCGTATCGCAGCAGAATTCGGGGGGGAAGGGGCTCGAAGGGGGCGAATGCGGAAAGTACCACTGTACTGGATTGCTTGCTCCTGCTCCAACTACTGTACAACCACAGGACAGGACAAGACAAGCTACCTAGGTAGGCAGGGCAAGAAGGACAAGGCTACCACCGGAGGCAAAGATCGCCTCGCCAGGGCAGCACCCGCGTTGATCTCGCCAACAACCTGCCCATGCTTGCCCACCCGCCCACCAGGGTCATATCAAGATAACAAGAACAAGGTACTGACTGCAACAAGGTTGGCCGCCATCTCTTGTCGTCTTCATTTTCGCGTCCCTGCACTGCTCTGCCAATAAACCCAGAGTACTAGATATCTACTGCGCACAGTATCCAGCAGTCTTTCCTTCTCATTCCTCCGAGTCAGGTTCCCGATTCTCGACCCTGCATCGCCCTGTCCTCTCCCTCCACATCTGCCTCCTCCAGTCTCTTTTTCTCATTCTGTACCCATCGCTATCTCTGCCATCGGTCCACGCATCCCCGTCTCCGTTTTTTTCTTTTCCCGTCTTTCTAATAGTAGGTACATGATCGGCCCTGTTCCTCCGCTTTGACCCAGCACTTCTGCTGCATCTTCCTCGTCGAGGAACACCACACAGTATCGCCCCCAAAGTTCAGTCACTTTGCTGCTCTCAGCCCGTACCTACATGCTTTACACACCGAGAGACTCACAATTACGATAGCCCATCTGTAAAAAAAATTCAATCTCCTCGTCCCAAATATTCGGCTGCCTATGGCGGACATTCCCACCCTACAGGATCCATTACCCTAGTGTGGACTGGACGGATTGGCTCGATCTCTCTCTCGTCTTCCCAGGCCGAGGGACGCGAGCTGTGGAGCCCACATCTACGTCACGTCCTGGAGCTCAAGACCCTTATTACCCAATATCAGCCTCGCCTCTGTCACATATATCTTTCTCGACCTGAACCGACGTGGAGAACACTGCCCGGCTGTGAACAAACAGGGTCCTGGGTGCCGTATCGGATTCAGTGGTTCTAGATCCCATACCCGTCCACAATTCTCCCGCGCCCGTTCCAAGCCAACATGACGTCCCCTGTACATGTCGACACCAGCGAGAAGGCTGACCCAAATCTCCTGGCTCCCGGTACGTACATCAGATATTTGTGGGCTTTTCCCAAACCCAAAGCCATACATTCCTTGTCTGTCTTTCACCTCGCATATCGACCGCCAAAGGTCGTGTCACCTCGAACTCGGCTCTTTGGCTTACTGGTCTCATCTTGGTGTCTTGAGATACTATAACAACCCCGCCGAGGCTCGTCAACATGTCTCGAGACAATTCGGCTGACCCTTTCCATACAGACGCAGCCACCCTCAGTCACTATTCAGACTCGAGGGAAAATGCGAACCGACTTATGGACGATCTTGAATTGCTGCGTGTCGAACGTCAGGTCAGCAACGCGGAGAAGGAAAAGGAAAATGCCTCCAGACGCCGGTCAAGATCGCAACAACACCATCCCCATGACAGGCACAAGCCTGAAGCCCCGCCAGAGGACGCCTTTCACACCCTGACCGAACCTACCCAACTACCCCAGATCTCAGCAGGACCAGAACCGACGGCCTTGGGCAAGCTGTTTAAGAAACTTAGAAGGTTTCCCAGAGTAGTGCGCTACTTCGTCTATGTATGTTATCTGACATTGCGACCCACCTGCATTTTCCTCCCCAGATTCGACTGTTGTCATGTTACCATAGACTGACTCCAGCGGTACAAAGGCTATACCAGTGGCAGTCGTTCTCCTGACTCCAATCTTACTGGATATTTATGCATTCACAGGGAGCGACAACCCCGTGGGTGGCCCAGGCGGCCTGAGGCTCCTCTGGTTCGGAATCTGGCTCGAGATCGTATGGTGCAGTCTCTGGGCGAGCCGGATTTTGGTTTCGATGCTACCGTTCTTACACGGCCTCGCGGCAAAGATGGTCGGCTCCAGCAACCACAAGAAATGGAAGGACATCGGCAGACAAATGGAAATGCCAAGCGCCGGTTTCCTATGGATGTTGGGTTTGATTGCCTCGTTCAAGCCTATCACGGATGATCATCGGAACCCAGGGGGAAACTGGTCTGACGATGGGGATCCGCCTTACATTACCTGGATCGATATTGTCTGGAAAGTCATTATTGCACTTTTCGTTCTCGCTGCTAGTAACTGGGCGGAAAAGATTTTGATCCAGTGGGTTGCGACGTCCTTCCATTCCAGGACATATGCGTCTCGAATCGAGCAGAACAGACTGGAGATCAACTTCTTGGTCCGACTTTACGAGTTCAGCAAGGAAAAGCTGGCTCACGACGACCCGGTCTGGATGGACTCCAACGGCGGTCCTTCCGGCTCCAAGACCCCCATGAAAATGGTCCAGGACAATGCACGGCAAGCCTGGACTCAGATAGGCAAGGTTGCTGGCAAAATGGCTGGAGACTTTACAGGCCGTAAGGTTATGGCAGCTGGTCACCCCAAGAAGGTCGTTTTGGAGTTGCTTCGCAACCAGCACAGCAGCCACACATTGGCACGGCTGATTTATCGAACTTTTGTCCGCCCTGGCGAGGAGACAATCACGCTCGACGACCTCAAGCAGGCATTTTCCTCAGCAGAGGACGCCGAAACTTGCTTCGGAGTCTTCGACAAAGATCTCAACGGCGACATCTCCATGGAAGAGCTCGAGCTCGTCTGCAACGAGATTCACCTCGAGAAAAAAGCCATCGCCGCCTCGCTGAAGGATCTGGACTCGGTGATCAAGAAACTTGATACGGTCTTCCTGTTCATCATCTTCATCATCGCAGTCATCGTCTTCATCTCCATCCTTTCAGGCTCGGCGGCTGCTGCTCTCGGCACTAGTGGTACCACCATCCTCGGTCTGAGTTGGATGCTCCAGGCAACGGCTCAGGAATTCTTGCAGTCAATCATCTTCGTCTTTGTTAAACACCCCTTTGACGTAGGCGATCGAGTCACCGTATACGGCAACACAGGGTCACTCGGTACTGGTGATGATTACTACGTGCAAGAAATCAGTTTGCTGTACACTGAGTTCAAGAAGATGGAAGGCCATATTGTACAAGCACCCAACTCTCTGCTCAACACGCTCTTCATCCTCAACCAGCGCCGCTCCAGTGGATTGGCCGACCCCATCGAGCTCAAGCTGAAGTTTGGTACATCGGCAGAGCTCATTGAGGAACTCAAGAACCGCATGCTCGACTTTATTCTCGAGAACAAGCGCGACTACCAGTCAAAGATCATAAGCGAGGTCCGCACCATTGACGAGGTTTACTCGGTGACCCTGAACTTCATTTTCTTCCACAAGTCCAACTACCAAAACGAGCTGCTCCGACTTCAGCGCCACAACAAGTTTGCTGCGGAGTTGATGCGCATCATGACCGACTTGGGAATAGAAGGACCAAGGAAGATGGAGCCGGGCGGAGCCCAAAACTTCCCTTTCTACCTCGCTTACCCGCCCGCTCCCAGCGAGAGCGCGCCGAAGGAGAATGCCATCAGGGACCAGCGCAGCGGTAGTCTCCGGACAGGGCCCGGCAGCGTCCACCGCGACGACGCATCATTACGTCCAACAAGCCCACCCAGCCCTGACGTGCGACGACGTAGGGCGGAGTCGCAAGCCCGAGCACAATTTGACCGCTTTCCGGACTTCGGCGATGTCTTTGAGGGCCGCAAAGACCCTGCTGCTGCCAACCTGGCCCGCCTGCAAAGCCTGAGGGAGGAAGCCGCTAGTGTTAGCCAGTCCTCGGGCGTCGATCGGTTTGGACGGGGCCCAAGTCTGGACAGGGTCGGCACGATGAATAGTGACACCACATCGAGGCACGGCCGGGGTATTTTCAGAAGGCCTCGGAGCTCCTCGAAGACAGTTTCGAGCGACAGAGGTGGAAACATGGTATAGCGCGCAAGTTCGGACGGGCGGGAGTTCCACCGGCGACCAGAGACTGCCGGCATACAGCCGACTACCTGACCGCGAATTGATGATTTACTAGAGTATAGACTTTAATACCCATATAGACCAAATAGACTGGCCTTACAAGGCAACGGCAAATTCAGGAGAGATTTCCAAGCGACCCGAAGGCGTTCAATGTTTGCTCAGATCAGGTAAAACGGGCGCGCACAGGGTACCGAAACCTCGAAGACACTGTTCTGAAGTGGTGTCGGACCTATTTACAACACACTCCAGGTCGAGGGTTGATTACTCGAGCGCCGTTTCTCTATCTGATTGGGACCATTTCGAGGGTGGCTGGATATGTCTCACAGAGGGGACTAATCACAGGCGCACATGGCCGTCCCGAGAGCAGCAGCGGCTGACTTTGTTCGCCTCAGCCGCACAGGCTAGGGCATGAGGGTCCGCGAGGGACTCAGACGCAACATTTTCGAAGCTGGAGAACCCTTTCTTATCATGTCTGACCCAATATTTCTGGAAGATTCTCACCGTGACGGCAAAACGGACAAGTCCCCGCTGTTCTAGGGTTGATCGTCACTCGGCCTCACCACACGAGACGAGACCACAGCCTGTTCCCCCCCCCCTTTTTTTTACTCAAAAGTCGATCCATCAAATCGCGAAACGGACATCCGAGAGACCAGAGGAGGTGGGGGAAGAGAAACAAAGGAAGGGCGGGACACAATTATGGCCTCGCTTCCCTCTGGCTGGAAGGCCGATTACGACGGGAAGCGCTGGTTCTTCACCTACGGGCCCACGGGCCAGTCACAGTTCCAGTTCCCGCGGCCGGGCGACGAATTCCCGGAATTCTGCTGCGCGGGTGCCGCCTTTCTCCCTGCGGTGGAGCTGATGCCCGAGGAGAGGCTGGAGAGCGAGAGGCAGGTCCGCAGGCTGTTGAATGCCAGCGGGTCCAGGGCCGCAGGGAGCCCGGGGGAGGGTGTGGACGGGACTGGAGGTTCGCCTGGGCGTGAACGCCCTAGGCGCGAGGCAGGTTCCGATGGAGGACGTAGTGTCTGCTTTGAGAGTTTTGCCGCTGTGAAGTCTTGGGGCAGACAGGGGCTGGGCGGAAGTTGTGAAGTGACGAGGACCGCAGAGCAGACGGGACACGGCGCTGGCGATGGGGTCGGTACACCGGCACCGACGAGCATGGCTAAATCTTCTACAGAGTCGACTGGCGAGCCAGCATCCGTGCCACTTGTGACTCGAGAGGAACATTCTCAAAGCAACGAGCCACCATACCAGGCGGTGGACACAACTGCGCCTACACCGATCATGAGCGAACCGGTTCTGGCGGTCGTCGAAACCACAGCTGCTGCTCCGTCACTCGGCCACCAAGGCCAACGCCCGTCCCCTGCCGCAACGCATTCATCATCTCCCGAACTACCGATGTTAGATGGCCGGGCGGTCGACTCGGCACATTCGTCTCTGCTCGCTCTCTCTATTGGGGATGTTCCGGAGCTCTACAGCGAATCGACAGCCCTGTGTGAAGACGAGATCAACCCGCCACCCGTGGAGCTTCCTGTTAACGAAGGAGGCTGGAATGGGCAAATCACAATTTCGACTTTTGTGATTCAGGATCCTGTCGAGCTCCCGGCGTGCGAAGCACCTGGAGCCAGATTGGGCGAAGGAAACCGTGCCGTTGGGCTCGGGTCGAAATCCCATTCGCCGGTGACCTTGACCGGTGATTCTGCGGCCCATTCGAACGCTGGGCGGGGAGAGGCCAAAGAAAAGAGCCGTGGCCATGACCGTGCTGGCTTGCCTTCCCAAGCTTCGAGGATGTCTTCCAAGACAACACTTGATGAGACCTCGCTCCGCGATAGTGTGAACCCTAAGCCGGATGAAGAGCCTTCACCCGAGGACTCTGTCCAGCCAGTCGAGAAGTTCGGAACAGAACGAAGGGACCTGTCGCATTGCCCGTCCATCCTTCGGCCAGGCCCACGGCGCTCCGGCCAGCTACCGCTTCAACAACAGCCGCGGGCGGTGGCGCCAGCTCCTGTCACGAGCACGTCTCACGCTGCCCGTGTCCGGCTCCACCAGCAACAGGAGCAGCAGCAAAAGGAAAAGGTTGAAGCAGGTCCAGCGTCCCAAGAACAACCTGCCAGGATGCCCGCCATGCCGCCTGCACTTCACCCACACGAGGTGCCAGCGCCTGCCTCCACAGAAAGCCACGAAGCACCCCGTCCTGGCGACCTGAGAAAGAATCGCCTGCCTAGTTCAGTCAACTTCGTGATTCCCATAACACATCTTAAACGTCGAACCCAGCTCCGCATCAAGCATTTCTAAAGCAGACTCGCCAAAGTATCACGTCAGCGCCTCCTTTGCATCAGCGAGGCCCTCTGAGGAGCCTCCCAGGGCAGGAGGGCAGGCTGGTGGGGGCGGCCCAGGACTTCTACCGGGCAAGAAAACGGAGTCGTGGGGCCGGGCTGCGGAAGACGAAGCTATGCGGGCTCATCATTTTGTGGGTGACAACTCTGCACCAGAGGTGCCAGAATGGGGCTGGGGATATGCCAGATGAGCACGAACAAGCGCGACGGTGCGGCTTGCCATCCAAGAGCAGGGGCGAAGTACCATGGAACCAATGTGTTTGATTAAAGTATTGCCTGTCCGAGATGAGAGAAAGCAGCCAGTAGACATTGGGAAGTGATGGACGAATGTTGGTGGGACCCACAGGGCAGCAAAGCATAATCCTGCAAGGAAGAACACCACAAGATGATAGAGACCAGGAACAATATGGCTGGGGACATGATTGTTGATAAGATGGTGGGTCTGAACAAGTATGCTAAGCTATTATTATCAAGCTTTGGGTATCAATGACTCTCCAGGACCGCATCCAACAAAGCCTCCTCGATATCTGACTCTAAGCCTCTTCGGCCTTGACCTTGTCGACCTCGGCGTCCTCCACAACCTTCTCGGCTTCAATCTCCTGCGCCTGAGTTTTGGCCTCCTCCGTGGTCAGGTCCAGTTTTTGAACGTGCGAGTTCTTAAGCTTGTCGTTCTTCTTCTTGTTGCCCTGCATCATCTCCCTGCGCTGCGCCTTGCGGGACGCCCGGTCCATAGCGCCGATGGTCTTTGGCGGCTCGTCGCCCACAGGCCACCGGGCGGCGGCGGCAGCCTCGTCCTCCTCGGTCCACTCGCGCGGCAGGACGGCAAACACAAGGTACGACGTGTGTGCCTTGGTCTCCGCCTCGGGCCGTGTGACCAGGCGGCCCTGCAGGAAAGGCTTGACGGCCGGCTCCTTGGGGCTACCCTCCTCGGCATCCTTGGGCTGCTGGGCACCGCCTTCGGCGGCTATCTTCCCGGGCGGAGGAGCGTAGTCGTCCATGTCGTCGTCCTCGTCGGTCTTCTTGGCCTTGCTGATGCCGGCAAACATCTTAGCGTTGTGCTCGGCAGCCTTGACCTCGATCTCCTTTAGCTTGGCCAGCGCCTCCGCGACGTTCCCGGGCGCTTGCTGCGCGCCTCGGTCAGACACGACGTCGAGGCCAATCTTCTCGCGATATACATTGATGCGCCTGTGGGCGATCTCCACCATGTCGATCTCCACCCATCCTAGCTTGCGCATCTCTGAGACTGTACGGGTGACCTGCTCGATGCACGGCGAGAAAGTGCAGATGTAGGCGCTCCTCTTGGGATTCAAGGGTGATATCCACTTCTCTTCGTCCTCGCCGTTACCCTCAGCCCCGGCCTGTATGCCCTCCATCTCATAGCCGTTCTTGACCCTGCGCCTTGACAGGTGTGGTAGCGCAAGCCAGGGGGCAGGCAGGTCCAGGAATACTGCGTCGGCCTCTGGGCTCTTCCCATCGACCAGGAATCCGTCCTTGTAGACATCGCGGTGGTTGATCTCCACTATCCGGCTCAGGCCATGCTCGCTGATCTCCTTCCTCATCTTCTCGAACCTCTGCTCGTGGAACTCGAAGCTGAAGACCTTGCCGGTGGGGCCAGTGCCGTCGTGGAACCCGGTCTCGCCATCGTAGACTGCCCGCGCCGAGGCGTGGGTGAAGCTCCCGCTGCCGGAGCCGGCCTCGATGAGCCTGGAGCCCGGGCGAGCTCGTATCCTCTGCAGGACATAGCTGTAATCGGGCGTGTAGACGACTTGTGTGCGGTGAGGTAGGCTGCTTGTCCAGATCTCAGGCGTTGGCGGAAGAATGTAGACGAATCCGCTCCTTGCCGCCGTGGTCGTGGTTTTGCGTTGTTTTTGAGGTGGTCTCGACGATTCTGATACTTGCACGGCCTGATACTTTTGCTCGCTCTCGATTTGGTCCTCGACATCCCCGGTCACTGTTGTTTCTTGGGCTTGTTCAGCGGTGTTGTCCTCGATTGTAGTAGCAGGTTGGCCAGGTGTGCCCTTGACTCGCTTCTCACCCTCGTCGTTGGGACCCCTCTTCCTCTTAAGGCTTGTGGCGTCTTCATCCACAGTTGCTTCCTCATTGACATCTGTGGCAGTCTCCCTGGCGTGCTGGTTCTTCTTTTTCCGACCTCGAGACCCTGTGTCGACGTTTGAGGCTCGGATTTGGGAGCCCCATGGGGCGCCGATCAGGGTGGAGTGAGGAAAGGATCCGAATCGGGTGTTGAGGACATGCCCCTCCTTGTAACCATCGTGCTCGCCCTCTGTATCTCGCAGGTAGACTGGGACCAGGTCGTCCTTGGAAAGCTGTATGATGGCGAGTTGGTTGGCCCTGGCCGCCGGGCCAGGATTGAGGAAAGGCGAGTCTTGACGCAGCATTGTCTCCGCTTGCAAACTGTGAAGATTGATCTTCAGTTGCCTCAATCACTCCAAAGGCAGGACAGAGTAGCAAGCAGCTTGCATACGTTTGCAGCCCACCTCAGCTTGATTGTCGCGAGTGTGTTGCTGAAGGCCTTCGCGAGCTATTGGAGGGCAATTTTCTGGTATCGATAAGCTCAAACGGAGGACCAAAAAACGGCGGCCTGCCCCACCCGATCCGCGGGGGGCCGGCAAGCAGCCGCTATGACCATCAGAGCCCGTTTGGAGCTTCCGTCTCGTCCCCTGTCCTTAGTACCGTCATCTTTGGTCCCCTTCCCAGGACGCCTCACAACGCGGTTTCATGCAGCTGCATCCATCGATTGGCTTCCGAGGGAATGGTAGCGGGGTCTCACACATACTAGTCAAGCCACCGATTTCCAAGCTCAACCGAGCTCATCCCCTTTTCAAGTGCCGCTCGTGCAATCACGAGAGGTTGTCCGTCTGAGCGCCTTGGCCGTTGCTGCAGGGCTTCCAATGGACGCCAGCTCGTCGTCAGCTCGTCCCACGCCACGAACATGCAAACACGGCCCATGAAATTTTGCGCGCCCGACTGCGGCAACGGGTGCTGCGTCCTGGGCTCCAATGAAGCTTTGAAACTCGGCCACGAAGCCTAGTGCATGCCAGAGGCGGTGTTTGCCCGGCGCACCACGAAGCGTCAACCAGGTCTCAACATTTCTGGTTCGCCCAAGACTTGCAGGATCAGTCCGCGGCTGGCACCGTCTGAGCAAGAACCCGCGGTGGCACGCCATGCTTCTCAATGCTGCAGATCAGTCATTGCATTTATGATCTAATAAGGGTTAGCAACACCTTGGGAATGGGGCAGGTCCAAAGTGCCAGCGGTGAGAATCTCTGACTTCCGAGCTGTGTGGCTTTGCAACATATCTATCTGCCTGTCAGACTACAGGTCGCAGTGCTCACCGTGAGGCCGGCGCTAGAATGACGTCGGGGAGATTTTGCAAGATCGAATGGGGGCGATCTGCGGTTCATCGTCGTCGGACCACGTTGCAAAAGCTTGGCCAAGGGGCCAAGACTTGCCAAGATGCGGGAGGCACCTGTCACTCCAAGCCGTTTGCCGAATTTTGACGACAGCCTCAGACTGGGCTGCACAACACGCATCCGATGTGGCCTGTATCCATCTCATTATCGCGTATTGCTGGCATGAGTCTGACGACCACGTCTTCAGTCCTTCAATGCCAGCAAGACTGTGCGTCGAAGCACTTGCGCAACCGGTCCAATGGCAATTCTGCGCCCGGACAAGCCCTTCACCCCTGACCGTAGCCGGATCTCCAGCACTATGTAATAGAGCGTTTCGAGGTCCCGCCAATCTGCGATACCAGTGCAGTCGGCTGTACAGTCCGCGGCTTATCACTACAGTGAAGACACTAGGTTCCAAGAGACACGGTCGGAGGCCTACATTGGCCATGTGCTGTGTCAATCCACCGTGTCAACATCTGTTAGCATGAGAATTATGTCTGGGTTGCACCCAGATTGCGTCCATGATGCTCAGCATGAAACGAGATGCCGCAGTGCTTGAGCTGACTGGCATGAGTCTCACCCCAGGGCCACATCGTGCCGTTTGAAAAGCCCAACGGGAGTACTCGGGAGCTCCTGTGGTGGACTTCATGAAGTCACCGCCTTTCGATGCCCGAGCCCAAGGCTCCACGAACCTGCTGCGCCATCTATTCATATGGATCTCGGTCGGGGTGATCACCAAGGAAGGGGCCCGCATAGAGAAGCTACCAGGCCACTTATGGCATAGTACACGATGATTGGTTTCACTCGCTCACGATTAAGCTTTGATTTCCTTGATTATCACACCTTTGCATGCCTTGGTGGCCGAACCCTGGCTACCAATCATGCATCAGAGCTGGTTTGGCATGTCTCGTCTCAATGCCCTCCCCTCCTCCTCCCCACTTCAATGGGACAAGTCAGATTTGGGCGGTAGGATGCCGAAATGCCGACGCAGCTGCAAATCGGCCGCCAGAAGCTCCTCAGTGATAAATATTGACCCATACCTCCGCCATCTGGGACAGGCTGCCTCTGCAGGGTGGGCGTCTCGAACCTGACCCTTCGATCCACATGAGCTCATGTCCGCCGTCATGCTCGTACATCGGACGTCAAGGCCCTGCTTGCACAGCTCAGGGGTCCCGTGTGGTGGGGTGACTGACGGATGCCTCAGCAACTGAAGCTACCCCTCGATTGCCGGTGTCTTCCGTGTCGCTCACCTCACTTGGGATCTGAAGCTGTGGATGATGCCAGCATGTTGACTTCTAGGTCCTCACATTGGACAAACCGGGATCTCGCCCTCCTCTGTCCACTCGACTGACACCGCACCGGGTGGTTCACAAACGTGGCGGCACATATCGGCTGAACGAGAATATGGTGCTATCTTCAGGAAAGGAGGGCGCTCCAAGGGTTGCAGGAAACCCAATGGCTCCTGACTGAACACGCCCTCCGAAACGTGTACATCAAACGGAAACAAACCAAGCACCGGGCAACCAGTCGCAGAGAAGCCAGCCCTGCCCTGTGCCCTCTGTGTCCGTCGGCCGCGTAAAGCACGCTTGCACGAGCTGTGACGGCCTCCACTCAGCTTTCAGCTGCTACGGTGTCGCAGGGGGGAGGCATGCGGGATGCTTGAAATTACGTAGCAGTCCAGAGGACAAGCTTTCGCGATCGACCAGGGGTCCTCAGACGCTCTTGTTCTCGGACGGGTAAGTGGCTGTCATGGCCCCCAGTCCATTTCCCTAGTCGCCGGGATGACCAGGGAGCCCCCCCAGACGTCACCATCAAGGTCCCGGGAGGGAGGGGCAGTGCTGTCCCTCGTTCGCATCAGTCACGGAAAGGTCAAAACTCCACTTGGGCCGTCTCGACCATGGGTTGGGGCACATGTCAGCTAGGAAGGGGGCGATGCACAGGAAGCTCTTGAGCATATATAGCTGCTTCCTCCCTCCCTTCATGCTCCCCGTTGAATCTATCCTCATCATCAAACACTTCCACAACTTCCAAGAACATCAACAAAGTACACACTTCTTACAACCACTTCCTTCTCCTACACACACATACACACAGTCAAAATGTTCGGCTTCGGTAAGCCAAGTCCTCCTTAACCTCACAGACACTCTCCATCTACCTACATGCCGGAAGCTTTTCCGCACGCACATGACTGACAGCCTTCCCCAGGAGAGGCAAAGGACGCTCGCGACGAGGTCTACGACGGCCAGCCCCACGAGTCCAAGATGTCCCACGAGCTCCTGGGCTCCGCCGCCGCCTTCGAGGGCATGCGCCTCTGGGAGCAGAACCAGCGCAAGGAGGGCAAGCCCGTCGAGCACGGCCTGGCCAAGGAGATGCTGGCGGCCGCCGCCGGCTTCGAGGTCGACAAGCTCGTCGAGACCAAGGGCCTGGACTTTGTCGACCGCGAGAAGGCCAAGCACCACGCCAAGAAGCAGGCCGAGGAGCTCTACGAGCAGCAGTACGGCAACAAGGACCAGTTCCACCCGTGAGTGAAACCCAACTACCCGTTCATCCACCCATCCATCCGCCCGCCCTTCTTCACTCCCTACCCACTGGAGACATGGTGCTGACCACGACTGCTCTTCTCGCAAGTGACTACGATGCGCCTGAGCACTTCAACCAGTACTAAGCTTGCGTACTCTCAAAATCGCCGCCGGGGCGAGGTGGGAATCCTCGCTGTCCGCGGCGTCGGTGATGCGGACGCGGGAGGGCTTGTAAGGGACTTGGACCTGAGAATGGCTGGACTTGGATAGCACCGTATAGCACACCGGAAGCAGGTAGACGGAATACAGAATTGTTCTCTCCCTGAAGCCTTGCCTCGCCTTTCACACTTTTACACTTTCTCCCAGCTGTTTCCATAATTTTACCAAACAACGTTGAAGCAAGAGAATATTGTCTCAATTGGATTAGTAGCTGAATAGCTACCTATCAGTTGTGTGGTTGGAAAACCAAGGTCTCAGATAATAGTTGCAACTAAGACATTGATTAGACGAGGACTGACTCAACTCATGAACTTGGTGCATGCACCTGTGGAGAAATCAGTACCAACACTAACAGATCATCAGGGCGTTGCATTTCTTTCCTCTCTCCACGAGGTCTTGCAAGTGTCATAGTGCACCAATATATGCAGACCGACTGAACTACGGACACGATTTGATTTTGATACATCGAAACCAATGTTTCCAAATGGACATTCATCTTATGCACTCGGTCTGTGTGACACTACTGTAAAGAGTGGACGCAATGACTTCGATATTGAGGGGAGGGGAGCAGGAAAGAGAGCATCCCAGACTTTCCTCGGAACACCATCTGGAAGTCTTTCAGCGATGAGAGCTGATTGGGACAATTGAGGCATCAACGACTAAAGCCATTAATCACGTATTAGCTGTTGACTGACACTATTATGAGAGATGTATGAGGAAATAGTTCATTTGGTAAGAATAGTCACCCACAATTTCTTCTATTATGATGAGTAGACGCAGATAATGAAGTAAGACACCTAGGCTCCAACCCCGGAGGCGGTAGCCCCTCCCCCCGGCACCTTTTCCCCTTTTCTCTTTTTAGTGTAGAAAAGCAGTGATATTCACCTCATAATTGATACTCCACACTACATTGCTTTGCACTCTGCAGAACATAATTCGCACCCAAATAGTACTTGCGTCTCGCTCATCTCCAAAATGTAAACCAACTCTTCTTCGCCTTCTGACAATTCGCGCAGTCACCCTTGAGACGTGGGTAGTCCAGGAAGTTTGGCGTCGCGCAGTGGGCACCAATGATCTTCCTGCCCGCGACGCTCCATGGGCCGTGTATGTCGTTGATATGAATCATTGAAGTTTCGTCTACTAGCGATTTCCCATTGACGGGCCTCAAACCCTTGCACCTGTCGATCTTGCCTCTGTGTTCTTCGCACCGGTACGCTTTCAGATCCGAGTTCTTGCGAGCGACATTCAGGCCCTCATAGAACTTGGGGCAGCATTTCACGACCTCGTGGAACGAGTGGCCGCATTCATAGTATCGACCGCGGACTTGGCACATCTTTGCTTGCGGTTGTCAGGCCAAGCCGTCTTGTGGGGATTGTTTGGCGACTAGGAGAGACGTTGTGAGAAGCAAAGGATTTTGACAAGTTTTGAAATCAGGGCAGCTTTTTGTCTTTGGCACGCTGAATAACAGAACCATCAGTAGCTGTTACGATGTCCAATTTTATATTTAACCAGACCAGGTTCAGTGCGACAGGGGCCTTTCCATCTGCCAAGGTTGGCTTTCAGCCCCAAATTGTTGGTGTTTCCATTTTCCAGCAAGGCCCACCCGTTAGCCACGGTTGGTTCTCAGATCAAACCTGTTGGTGTCCTCATCAAAGCAAGATATGCTGCCCCTGGGTCCACAGGAACAAGTGAAACGGGGCGGCCTTCAACAACTGCTGCGATGCCGCGGCCGTTGGGAGCTTTGTTGGCCTTTCAGACCAAAAGGACTGCGGCCTGCACATGTTGGCCTGAATCCGTCCAAGCGAAAGCATTGCTCTGATTCCGAGCGCTTAGGGTAAGGTGTGATCCTCTATGGCGCTGAGGATCGGTTGGATTGAGAGATGCTGACAGGCCGGCTCTGCTGAGCCGTCGTTGCCAACAGCGAGTCGCCCGTGGCCCCCGCGCAGCAAATATCCGACCTACCTTCACTTACGCGACCCAAATCGCAAACTAAATCTATAATGCACAGAGTATATGTCAGCCAAATGCATCATGAAATTTGGTTTGTGGCGGTCGAGTGTATACTGGGATTACTGCACATTGTTCAATTGGATAAGCTCAAGCGAGGACCCCAGATACATTGATGGGACACCAGCCGATACTATGAGCGCCAAAGAAGCGAACAGTGCTCGAAGAAGGGGGGGGGGACGGGGACTGATAGTGTTTAACGGAAAAGTTATGCACTCTTCATGTATTCAACCTTAACCGAGACGAAGACCAACTGGCAGTCACACCGATAGAGAGAATCAACATCGATGGATTCTGCATTCACAACATGTGAATGTTTCAAGTACTGTCGAGGAGGGAGGCCATTTACGAAAGACCGCTGGAGGACGAGGCCGCATTTCTGCATTTTTGAATTGGCAAGTGTCGAATGTGGTTTAGATGCAACTAGTGCCTGTGAACCAAACTCTTTCCGTTTATTGGACTGTGGCACTGTTCAAATATCAAGCCTCTCACGTCAATTGCATGCCTAGGTACACTGCAAGGCGCACCCGAGGCAAGTAAGCGGGGCGGTGTAGCTCTTGGCCCCCCCTTCGCTGGCAGCACTGCCGCCTAAGGCTTTCGAAGTCGGAATCAGTAAGCAGAAATGGGCTCTTGGTAATCCCGAGTCAAATTCACAAACACTTTTCATTCACTTCTCCTTCTGAGACCCGAGGGCATTCTCGTAGATTGGCAAGTCATACCAGCAACATCATGGATCCGCTGACAGCCTTTAGTTTGGCTGGAACCATTATTCAGTTTCTAGATTTTACTACAAGCCTCGTCCGGACGACTGTCGAGATCCATGACTCCATCAAGGGACTATCATCTGAGGTGTCCAGCCTTGAGGAGGTCTACACAGCGCTCAGCGAATTCAGCTCTGAGCTGGAAATGTCTAATCAGAAGAGCCAAGGTGTTCCTTCCGAGATTCGCGTTCAAATAACTTCCTTGAATCGCCTCTCGACCTCCTGCAAAGAAGACTGCGATAAGTTGTTGAAAATCGTTGGAAGATTGGCATCGGGTGGATCTAAACGCCGATGGAAGAGTTTCAAAGCAGCAGTGTCCTCGCTGAGGAAACAGGATGAGATCGCCATGTTAGAAAAGAGAGTTGCTAGGACTCAAAGCACACTTACGCTTTGTATCTGTGAGATTGCGAAGTATGTTATTTCACTGGGAGACAGCCGGATTAGATTGGCACGCTAACGAGTCGCTTTCGCAGTCAATTTCATGCGCATCATTCGCAAGAACTGAGGCAGTTGAGAGCCGAATGTGGGAGGCTGCAACTCAATCAGGCGCAAAAGCTCGACGAGGTCATGAACGAGCTGCATGATATTCACTTGGCTGTCAAAACGAAAAAGTCAACATCCGGCTCAAAGTTTTCCCAAGACGAGATTGCCCAAATCCAGTCCGAGCTGGCCAAGATGATTGCTGCCGAACGAACCGTCTCCCTTGACCAGCAGTTCTTGAAGAACCTGGCCTTTGACCAGCTTGAGGAACGACACATGTCTATAATCAAAGCCCACGAGGACACCCTGGAGTGGATCTTCGATCCTGCAACCGATTCCACTGACGGGAGAAAGCTTCTGCAGTGGCTCAAACTCGGAAAGGGCATATTCTGGGTGTCCGGAAAGGCTGGGTCTGGAAAGTCGACACTCATGAAATTCGTGGCCGGACACGAGAAGACACGGTCAGCCCTTGCACAATGGGCCGGGACCAATGAAATCTTCATTATAAGCCACTACTTTTGGTGGGCCGGAAGCCAGATGCAAAAGTCCCAGCAGGGACTTCTACAAACTTTGCTGTTTGGAATATTCCGACAGTGTCCTGATCTGATACAGGATATATGTGAGCCACGGTGGTCCCAAAGTGCCACTGTTCACCCTGAAAAATGGACCTTGGACGAACTCCGCTCAGTGTTCCAGGATATCTCCAAGCGCACAAGTTTGAAAGTCAACTTCTGCTTCTTCATCGACGGCTTAGATGAATATGACGGCGACCATATAGATATCTGCTCTGTCCTTCAGAACCTTGCTAATGAGTCGCCTCACTTCAAATTCTGCCTTTCCAGTCGCCCTTGGAATGTCTTCGAGAACATCTTCGGCCGTCAAGCGTCCCAGAAAATCTACGTCCACGACTTGACTGAGGATGACATCCGTCAATATGCTCGCAGCCGACTCTGCGAGCATCAACGGTGGAATACCTTTGCATCACAAACGCTGGATACCCAAATTTTGGTAGCCAGAATTACAAAGAGGGCAAGGGGTGTTTTCCTGTGGGTCTTTCTTGTCACACGCCTCCTCCGCGAAGGGATGAGCAACAATGATAGTCTCACGGATCTGTTCAGGAGACTTGACAGCTTTCCGTCCGACCTCGAAGCGTTCTTCAAGCATATGCTGCAATCGATTGACCCCTTCTACGCACCCAAAATGTCGACGACTTTGCAGATCGCTCTTGCCGCGACGAAAAAGCCACTATCGCTGCACATCTATGGCTTTCACGAGGATGAATTCGAAGACGCCGAGTATTCACTCAAGTTAGACGTCCGTCCCTTACCAAGAAACACGGTTCAGATTGCTCAAAGAATCAATGGATGGTGTCAAGGCTTGCTGGAAGTGCAGGGCGGGACCGTCCACTTCCTTCACCGGACCGTCATAGACTTCCTCAGGACTCGCGAAATAGTCGATTTCCTTGCGCAAAAGTCGCCGTCTAACTTTTGCGCCACTCGTTCGTTACTCAAAGCCCATCATGCGTTGCTGAAGTCTTCGAACAAATTCCGCCCCAAGGTACTAGATCACATATTAGAATACGCATGCTGGGACCTAGACACTCCGCAAGCCACAAACCCTACGGAAGAGGTCTTCGCGATACTGGACGACACTGATTCATGCCTAAGGGAGATGCAAGAGCAAGGAAGAGCTCGTTTCAGTGGCACAGCACAATATTACTTTCGGTATAAGCTGATCGTATTTAGCGTCGCTCCTTATCTGTCGAAGAGAATTCCCCAGGAGCCAGAGTACTTTCTTGGATTTGACAAGTCTGCTCTGTCGTTGATCTTGGATGCCAGTCACAGTTTGGGAACGGAAGATGACGAGCAACAGTGGCAGAGGAGGTGGCTCAACACAATCAAGTGTCTTCTCGAGAACGGGGAAGATCCCAACGCGGTTTGGGGACACTCGAAATCGCCTTGGGAAACTCTGCTATCGCGTACATATACGTGGCCTGGTGGACAATCTTTCACCCGAGTTGAGCCTAAAGACGCGTTCTTACAATTCGTGGAGGGCGAATTGTTCTCTCTCTTCCTCCAATATGGGGCCGATCCTAACGCTGGCGTGACTTGTCACGGAGAAGGCGGCAGTCTTCTTGTTTCCAGCGCCTGGGGGCTTTTCTTGACTCTTGGGGCCAATTTATTGGCTGGGAACGAAAGGATACGGGCTCGATATCTTGAGGAACTTGATGCTTTCCTTCAGCACGGAGCGGATATGGAAACACTGGTCAGTGGAGATGCTTTCTCCGGAGACACGACAACAAAGTGTACAACTTCTGTTCATGAAGCTTTCAACTCAGCATGTTATTACCCAGGGGTACCTACCACTCAACACAAGCGTTTTGAGCAATTCTTAGAGCGAGTCCGCAAGAGGCTATCTTCTGTAGCCAAGGTACAGGAAAGTGAGGGGATTTCTGACTGGGAGCTTGTTATAATGCCACCTAGTAACATACCTAGATTTAGAAAGCTTGTGTAGTTGTTTTTTATGATCGCAGTTCTTTCATTTATACCTCTTATCATAACAACATGCTACCGATTGATTGGCCAGAAATGTTTAGCAGAAACTTGTGCACATGGGCAACTACGTGCCATCACCTGGCACTTGAGATGTCGAACTCCCATCCATGGGACTATCAGTCCCTTCATCTCGGCGGCAGGTCCTGAAGTTCTATATCATTCTCGACTCTTGGCTTGCTCCCGCACCAGCAAAAGTCGAACAAATCCATGCCGCATATGTAACAGTTCGTCCTTGATTTGTTGTACACGAATATGTCGAAGAAGATGCAAACCAGGAAAATCACGGCGCACAGGCCGAAACCGCCGAGGAACAGAGCTGCTCCGTCACCACCACTCAACATTTTCTTTCGTGTCGATAATTCAGAGAAGGGTGTCCGACTTAGCCGTAAATGGCAGGGAGACTGTTCTGTGAGGCTGTGGTGTGACGCTTGTTGGCCCAACATGGATTTCAACACTGAGAGCTCAAGGAGGCAGGACTGGGGTTTAAATAACATCAAGGAGCTCGAAATAATAGTAGCTGTTTTCAGAAATTTCTGCTTCAAATTTCGAAGAAGCTCACGTGAAATCTGTGGTGTCAGAGCATTGGAACACAGAAGCAATTGTCAGATGAGCCTGATTGAACCTTCTGAGTCCTTACTTGCTTCCTTGATTTTCCCAAGGTCGCACAGAAGGGTCTTCATTTTTTTCAGAGGTCTGTGATCCTAATCACTTCGACTCAAGAAGAGTCCGAGATAAAGTCTCAACATGCTCAAGTGCAAGCTTTATGAATCATCCCCTCATCACTGTCATAATGCAGACAACCCTATCTAAGCTAGAGTTTGAACCACATTCAAGGTTGATAAGGACGACTGGTGTTGAGGCTTGAGAGGTGCCAGCGGTTTTCAAACGTCGATACAAAAGAAACCGTGAGCAACAATGTGCGTGCATGGGGATTTTGATGTGAGTTGTTGGCAATCTGTCACAAAAGCAGATGACTCAGTCTGAGCCAAAACACACCCCATGTTTCATATTAATAAAATCTTATGAGATGTAGTTAGTATATTATATTAGATGTATCCAATCAGCTTTGAAGTTGTTAGCTGTAACGTTTGTCGAGCTTTGCAATGTGATTATCTGCTTCAAACAGTGTTTATGTAGTATTTTCTCAAGTCCACTGGCGCACCGCGTGCGCTAAACCAAGGCAACATTCCTCCCGCTACCTATTATTTTGGGACAGGTGATGCACATACATTTCATGAGGTCCTGTAGATGATCTCTCCTGCCCCCCAGCCTCATACACAGACGCAGGCAACGTAGACGGGCTCTTGTAATCTTCCCTCACAGGTTCTGGGGCGCTACCTCGACCGGCAGTGTGGTTTTTCTTCCGGGAAATAAGCCAACCCGCCGCGATGCCAGCAATTACCGCAACGGGGATGCCAACGCCGATGCCGACCGTTGTCGCCGTGTCCAAGCCGCCCTGGCTTGTACCTTCAGACGACGACGGCGGCGGTGACGTCGAGGTGGATGCGCTTGCTGCGGATGGGTTGGTACCGGTGATCAATGTTGACGCGGCCGACGGAGTCGTGGACGAGTCTGAAGTGGTTGGCGTTGAGATGTTGAACAAGACGCTCTCATCATCGGAAGCCGTTTCATATGTCTTGTAAAGACTCATCATGAACATGTTCGACACCTTGAGATCCTTCCGCGTTGTAACGCTCCAGGGAAACGAAGTTATATTCCAGTGCACGCCCCCTGTTGCAAAGCAGGCTAGCGATCTGGTCATCTCCCACTGCCCACCATGGGCCGGGGAAAACAGCGACTAACTGGTAATGTATTCAAGGTCCCCGATTCTCGGCTTATAAGGGGTTAGCTTCGTCGAAGGCTGTCAAATTGATCTGCCAAAGGACTATCGTCGAAATTATGCCCGCCGTGGCCCCAGTCCACTGAATAGTAAAGACTGTTTGTTGAGAACAGACACTGTTCAGATGGCGGGTTGACGAGATTCATGTCCGCCAGGACACCACAAAACGCCCCGAGGGCTGCGGCCCACGCCCCAAAGTACATATTGGAGACCAGCAGAGACACAGGAAGTCTGGAGGGGAACAGGTTAGAAGTCTCAAAAGAGGATCGAAAGACCAAAATGGCGGGAACTGGAGAGGGAAGCGCTTGAGACGGGTAGACCACTGCACGCACGCACCCATTTCCCAGCTGGAATGGAGAGATCTAAGTATCGGGGCCGCCGCGACGGGTGAGGCCCAGGCTCTTGCCTGTCGTTCCGTCCACAGGCTGATCTGAGTTGTCGAGCTCTCTCTCTCTACTCTTACCTGCAGCGCAGACAGTAATTTCGCGCCGCCCCCCTGCGCATGCAAAAATTAGATGGCGATCCAATCGCTCGCGGCCACAAACCTGAAATGGGCCTCATGGGTCGCTGTAACCACAGAACATCACGACACTTGTGGGTCACAATCGACAGGTCCCATGGCTCGCCGGGGCGAGTTTGAAGTTCAGCTTGCGTGCGAGGCAGATTTCTGTTATTGCCTGCGCTGCAAAGCTTTGTCATTTCTCTGGTGATCAGCGTGCCCAGCTACTGACCCCAAAGCCGCCAGCAGGGTCTGTACCACTCACACAGCGTCTGAACTCCTATCCATGAGGGTCGCACAGCAGAGGCGGAATGGTGGTCGGCCTAATCCTTTTTGCTAGGCCTCTCAAGTAGCCGCAATGCGGACCAGGCACTTGGACGGAGAATTATGAAGAGAGACGCAAGGTGGCTCTCAATCCAAAGTGATGGAGACACTGGACCTTACGGCTGATAGACTCTGTTCGGGGAGACGTTGTGAGGGCGGCTAGCTACAGTACATATAGCAAGACGAGGTCCAGCAGGACGCATGCATGATTAAGCTCGTCTTTTCCTTCTTGTAAAAGTTATTCTGGTGTGTAGCTTTTTGCGATGGCCGTTGTGCCTGTAAGCCACGTGCGAGTTCTCGCTGCCTCTGCATGAGGTGGACCACGTCTTCAGACACATCGGTTCATTGCGAAAGGCCTCTGGAGAGTTATGCTAAATAGCCGAGGGCTATATATGGTTGCTTTAAGAGAATTTGGGGGTGTGTTGCGGAAACGATCATCCTGCGGTCTGCGAAGCGAGGGTCGCATTTGAGATGTAGCTGGCACTGTAATTAAATACTGTCGGCTTACCTGCAGTGCTTTTTGTGATCGCAGTGGGAGTTAGAAACCCTCGTCACAGCGGCACAACTATCAAATGGACTTGTATTGAGTCTTCCAGGGAGCGCTTACGTACAGATAGGCGGGCAGGCAGGGCAGAAATGAAACTGGTCCTTCGCGTAATACAGCAGCGTCCTTTGTCACCGCATCAAATTGCAGCCCAATGAGACCGAGCAAGCAGCACAATTCCCAAGGGGCGAAAAGCCCCTACGGGAACGAGCGGTAGGGCCATAATGCTGGCAGGACTTGTACACTGCTGTGGTCGTGGGGGCAAAACCTGCGTGTCACGTTCCAGTGGTGAACGGAGGCAACATACGTGCCGACGGGGGCTATCTGTGTATTGCCCCCATATATTCCAGTAGCAAAAGGTACGGAGCTTGAGCAGCTGTATGATTCTCGCGAGGCCTGGGCTGCCATGCATGATGACGGCGATCGAGGACATCCTGCAGAGCCTCCACGATGTCACCGCTAGGAACCACGTCACGATATCCAACGTGACGTTGGCCATGGCTGGAGTTGTCGTCGACTTCACCGGCCCTCGACGGCTGACCCGAAGTGTCTTCAAAGCACTGCAGAAGGCCCTCAATGCGACAGATCCCGAATTCGGGTCAGCCAAGGAAAGCACATGGTTCATTATGAGGCCAAAGCTGGTTGCCGATGTCTTGGTACTACCTGGTTTCGCTTTCGCGTCGTCGATGAACACTCACGAGAAGACCGACGTAGTGGGACCACAGTTGGTCACGCATCACTATGTTGGCTCTTGGAAAAATGACCACGGTGGCGAGCGTGTCTGAAATATTGACGGCCTCTGGAGAAAAGGCTCTAAAGCCTTCATGTCCCCTCTGTCAAAATATTTCTCGCACATATCTTGAAAGGTATTGCGCCAATGAATCCTCACCAAGAGTATCAACAGTGCAACCGCAGGTGGGGGAGTAGTAGCAGTGCGCATGGGAAAATTATTTTATAATACGAGGTCTGGGTGGTGAGAAGGGAAGGGCAAGCTGGTGGTTGAGATTATTAGCCCAGAGCGCACACCCCGGCTTCAACTTCTCAGGGGCTTCCAAACAGGCTTGGCCATTGACACTCACCTCGCGCCGAAGTTATGGTCACAACTGAGAAAGGAGTCCGTCAGATATTTTTCGTCAGGTCAGATCTCATATTAGGGAATTTATCCCCTCAGGCAAAATAGAGGACCAGACTTCAGCCCTACTAGTAGTGCTAGCCCGGTCGAGAAGCAGTCCCAACGTGCCGACTTTATCCGCGACGACAATGCGGTTCCATTGTCTGGGGTATATAGACTCCCACAGAGAAAACAGGAGAGGAATCCAGGAAAAACTTGAGGTTTCACCGAAAGTGATCGAAGTGGACACGATGCAAAATCCTGTTTTGCTTGACCGTCAGATTCACGAACTCGAATGAGGAGGACCTGACAGAGTCACAGGTGGGCAGCTCAGCTTTAATAAAAGGATTGCAGGAGATCGTCGTGGACATGGAGAAACAAAAAAGAAAGGATGGGTGTGGCCCATTATTTATAGTCTCAGATACAATTCCGTCATCTGAAAGAGTCAGTCTCACAGTCCATCGCCCCGTCGTGCAGGAACCACTCGGCACACAACGTGATCGCGCGGAAGGCTCAAGGAGCGTCCAGAGCGCACACCGCGGCTCCAGGTTTTCGCTTGCTTGCCGATATATCCAACAACAACCTGTCTCGCTCCGGGCAAGTGGACATAGTCCCGATCTGTCCGTCTGCCACGAGGTGAGAGCCCAGGCGCGGCCCCCAAGCTCGAAGGTCCTGAGTCAGAGCCAGACGGATCGTCGTGCCACGCCGTCAGGCAGCGCCGGGCCAACACCAGCAAATCGGCGGCCCAAGACGTTGAAACGAGGACCTCTCTGGCATCGACGGCGAGTAAAACACGCCGCTCAACTTCCTCACTGGGCGCCCACGGGCCGCGGTCTTGACTCTGCGCTTCCTTGGCCGCCCACCTCACCGCGTCCACGGATAGCCTCGTGGTGGCCTGTGGCCCCCACAATCTGCAGGAGAGATGTTTCGAAACGCTGCGGCGTGAGACTTGGCTGGACAGGAATAGCAGCACAACCAGGGAGGCGTGAGGCTGATGTCGCCTTCCGGGCAGGATTTAAGCTTGGAGGGCGGCGTCGGCGCCACAGAAAACAGCCTGCCATGTACCCACATCTCTATGAGAAACACAAATCGGTGGGGCGATGGTGCTATGGGCTCTCTTGGGTTTTTCTCTCGTTGGCTCCACCGCGTGGCCCCGGTTTTTAGATAAGGTCCGCCTTGGCGATGCTTGGTTTTCTCCCCCCAAGTGCCGGCCACCTTCCTTCCTTGCTTCCGTCGCGCATAGTCCACCTGCCTGTTTGTCTTCAACCTCTGCCAGCCCTGTGTTATAGTATGCGGCTGAATATGACAGGGGCCAAGAGATACAGGGTAGCTTGACAATTGAAAGTGCCGAGCCGTATACTCGTCAATGCTTTAGGCACCTGGATAGGAAGTTACGGAACTTTGCGGCTTATATCCGGAAGGGAAAAGTCCACCAGCAGTAGCTTTGAATAGCCTGGCCGGGCTCTTCGTCTTGCTATCAACCCGCTACATGGAAAGCCGGAAGCGATTACTCCGATGCTCCGACTGAGTCTGTTGAGTGAAGATCCCAGACACACGTGCAGATAGTTGGAGACACCTCTTCGGTCTGGGTGGACGATCGCTGACATCTAAATGAGGATCACCACCTTATCGACTGGCATTTCTTGGTACCACTCGCTTGGCGACCCAACTTGACAGCTCCTGAGTCGTTTAGCCATGACGGACCACCGCTACTCGTGCTCCGCTATGCGCCCCCAGCCATCGCGAGGGAAGCCCACAGCGCTGGAGCCGCACGACGACGTGTATAAAATTCCTGTCGCCGCTCGTCAACGGTGAACTGTCTCGTCTCGCTCATCCCATCCGCCTTCCACAAGCCTTCAAGGACATCGACACTCGTTTTTGTCGCCCTCAACACAGAGCAACCCGTCGTCCTTCACTCAAGACAGTCTCTGCGAAATCAAGAAACAGCAAAAATGCTCTTCACGCCCGTCATCGCATTGGCCGGCCTTGCCGCCGCCGCCCCCCAGGGCATCGTCTACAGGCGCGCCACCAATGATACCGTGCCTGCGGGCTTCAAATTCTCTCGCTCAACCCAGATCGTCAACGACACCGCGCCAGCGGACATCAAGCTCTCCCGCTCGACTCTGAACGGCAACTACACCGCGCCGGCGGGCGTTAAGCTCGTCTCTCGCTCGGCCCAAAACTTCAACACCACCTACACCCCGGGTCTCTCCGTCACCCCTTCATCATGAACGGTGGAAGGGTGGTAGCCCAGAATTTGTTGAAGGATTTTAGGAACCAGGGGCTGCTGTTTTAACCGGCGTTTTCAGGATCTAATTATGTATATACCACGAGATTCAGACTTGTAAATATCGGGATGACGAATTTGAACCATGCACCAGATGAAGTTTGGGCCCAACTTATGACTCCCTTTTTGAAGCTTGCCGAGAGTGCCTCGAAACACCGTCTCTAGTCTCTTTGAAGATGTCTTGCTCAACTCCAGTGCCAGACGTATGAAAAGCGGTGTGCTCAGGGGATTGGGAAAGTCAAAACATGCCAAAACATAGCCCAATCCAGAGTGAGGAGGCGAGCACGCTGCTGTAGCTGACATGCAATGACCAGAGAATGTAATCAGATTCCATCGTGCACCTAGGCATCGTTGGTGGCCAGATCGATTGTCGGGCCTCACCTCCGTACTGTCCTGGGGTCTGTCGCCAACTCGGACGAGATAGAACCCACGTTGAGGGAGCGGTCAGCCAAATCCCCACGAGACTAGACAAAGCCATAATGGCCGCGATGACGCGACGAGGACGCTATCCGTACCCGCTTGGTCGGTGCGGCCCTCTTTATTTCCGAGCAGTCGATCGCAGAACTCAAGAAGACGTGCATCGCATAGTCTCTGAGCCCGACAAAACTCCACATGCCGTGCCCACCAATTGTACTGGCAAGGGTGAAGGCTCATCGAGCTTACTGCAACGACAGACTTCTGACAAAGTCGAGCCCAAATTGTTGGTGGACTTCAGACGGCTTTATGTGATCCGCACTTGCAAGACCATCTTCAACCTGAGCTTGGTAAAATTGTTACCGTATCGGGCTGACTGAGGATCGTAGCAGCGCAAATACGACAGTGACCATCAGAAACATCAATGAGTAAAGTAATGGGCCAGTTCCCATATAAAGATTGAGTTGGTTGGAGGGATGGAAGTATGGATAGCCTGGTGAAGATCTTGGTATTCCCAAAGGTAACATACTCCACAAGGTGCTAAACCCGGTGGCTGTGTACACGATAGAAAAGCTGTCGGCGAGGTCGGCATCCTCGGGACATGTGAATGATGGGCGTATGAGCACCCAATCGGCGAGACTGGCCCGGGAGATCCGCGTTGTCGGGTGGATGGGATGGGCACAGCGGTACCGGAGCCTCTGATCTACCGTCCCGCAAGCTGGGATGACGACGCCGACCGAATGAAGTGAGGAGATGGGCCAAACTCCTGGGCGGGGATATCTCGGCTGTCAGATTAAATAAGCATCCATCACCAACGTGGAAACATGGGACCTAGGAACGGGAGAGGTGGTATCGCGTCTGAAAATTGACTGATGGCTCGTGGGACGTGAGAGGCTACACTGTCGGCCTGTGGTTGGGAGCGCTTCTGGACAGGACAAAAAGGGTAGTCGCATGAGATCTTCCCGGGCGCCGCGCTGGCGGGACGAAGTAAGCAGGGACGCTGCCGGCAGATGGGGTCCGCCGCCTGCCGTCATGCTCATGCTCAACGCGCATGCTTGTGCCTGAATGCCCAAGGTCACCGGTGTTTGGTGCGAAAAAGGAGGAACTGATATTGGGGCGGCGGGAAATCTGCATAGCAACGCTGGTGGAATGGCAATGCGCTGATGCGTGGGTGTGGCATTGAGCCATGCGGTGGGGTTGAGCGTGCAACGGCTTTGGACTGCAGAGTCCTCTCGCTGAGGTCGTGGTTGTGGCCACTACATAGTCGTGGGTTGATAATGGGAGCCTGTAGGTCGATGGGGTAATGCGAGATGAGATTGATGTGACTCCCACCTCCCAGCGTTGTCCTGTCATTGTCGGCTGCTGCCCACCATCTTCTAGGTCGGTAGCAGGTGACATGGAAGGCAAATGTGACGGGTTACTGGCGGTGAGCGAGCAGCTTTTGAAGAAGCAATTTGACCACGCCACCGAGCTGTGGGAGAAAATAAAAAGGAGAGGCATGGAGGAGGCGAAGCTGTTGTCTCTCGTCTTTTAGCGCATTGAAGCAATAAACTCTTCATCAGCAAGTGCACTGCATCTGCAACTCCGCAGTCTGCTGTGTACCACAAGTCGTCGTCGGCTCGACTTGAATGGAATGGGTTGAGTGTGGGAGAGAGGACTACGCTAGGATGTGCCCAGGCGTAAAGTTAAACGGGAATAAGCATCACTGCATCGGTTCTTGCACTGTGTGCTTTGTCCCTGCCTTCCGCTCAGAGCGCCTGTACCGTTTTTAGTAGCAGCAGCAGCAGCGCACCAGGAGCAGGAGCACCAGGAGCAGGCGTCTGATTGCTGGAAGGCGCGGTCAAGCACGCAGTCAGCCGGTCCAGCATACCTGGACCTGGCACCCCTGGCAGGTTGTCATCAAGTGCCGAGTGGGAAAGATCGACCCTGCAGTCCCGCCCAATGATGGGTGCTCTGGGGCTTCTGATTTGCTGCATGGCCGTGGCCTGGGTGGGCCTGCGGCTCTAGTGGGCCGATGGCTGCAGAAAATTGAAATGCGAGTCGGAATTGCTCCTGTTTCTTTGGGAAATGGAAACGCTGGCCGTCGTTTCTGACCGTGGATTGAAGATGCTATTCCAAAGTGCCCGCCCGGTCTGCTAGCTACTGTGTAAGTAGGTGTCATAGCATGCATGCAGCCCAGCACAGACTGTGATGAGTTGCATTTCCTCTGCCCTGCATGTCTTGGCGACGTTTGGCATGGGTGAAGAAACCATGGCTCATGGCTGTCTGGCCTGACATTTTCTCATTCTGCCCGTTCTTTCCCTAGCAACATCAGAGTTGGGAGGCGGTAAGTGGTAGCCCAATAACAACCGGGAAGCGCGGTGTGAGGCGTGCGAAAGGCAGGATCGCGATCTGTCGTCCACTTCTCCAGATTCCAGGGTCCCCGCATACCTGCATACCCAAACAGCCTACTGCCGTCCTGTTGTCAAGACTCATGCGCACACGCAGGCGGCCAGGCAGGGCTGCTCGAGATGCGACGACACTGTAGGTAGCACAACACGACATGATAGACAGTCAGCACACACACACACCCCCACACAATCAGACAATCCGATGCACTGGCCGCCGCTAGTGTGTAATCAAGGGTGGTGCAAACGCCGTGGAAGATTTGTTTGGCCAGTCGCGGAAGAGAATAATATCTGTGAAGGTTAGCTCGACACCTTGTCTGCAACGCCGAGGCAACGCAACGCTTCGCAGCACAATCGCATGATACCACCCGATAGTCCCGACATGTCGATGCTTGCGCTCCCAGCCCCCGACCTGCAACAATCAAATCGTGGACAACCAACCCCGCTGCCCTGTTGGGGGCGAGGTGACATGACCTTATCGCTGATCTACTACTGTATCTGCGCTGAAGCAGGGCGATTGAAGTAACGGTAGCACTGGGTAGCACCAGCAGCAGCACCAGCACCATCACCCAGAGAGAGTGTCGACTTTTTCTGGTCTCGTGGCCCGCCACCTGTAAGGTCCAACCATGGTAGCAGGACGAGACAAGACAGGCATGCCTGCATGCATGCTGCGTGCTGCATGGCAGACATGGTTGGGGCCCCGAGCGAGTCCCGTTGACCGCTCAGTCATCGGGTCTGCTGCCGACGACGTCTTTCCCCAGATCCTGGCCGCCGGACACACAAAATGCGTGCACAGTACATTGTAGTCCAGGCTAGAATATGTGCTTCTCTTTCATCTGCGCCAGCTTTCGATCTTGCCACAGAATTTGCAGTCCTCTAACCTGCAGTGCTGCATAGTACGTGCTCTATTACAATACATGAGGGATGAGGAATGAGGCCTCGGCGGGAAACGAAACATGCTGAGCCTCCCTTGTCCACGAATCGCCGGAGCCCCAGGCAGTTGGCCCTGCTGGCTTGGCCTCATTAGCCGGCATTTATGCTTTTTGCTTGTTCCCCCGAAACTAGCGGCACTAGCTGAGCCCTACGCAGGACCGACAACGCCAGTGTTCCTGGGCCAGGACTACAGTACAAATTGCAATGTCCTAGTCTGCTACTCACGCTACTGCGTACGAGTGTGATGAGGGGCGTGAACAGCGACAGGCGGGAGGGGTGATGCTCCGCTCCAAGGGTAGACCTGTCAAGAATCTCGTCCTCGACCTCGATGACATGACACCCTCTCGCACCACGCCAGCCACTGGACAAACCGTTGCTTTCCTCTAGCTCGTGCCCTTGGAGGTTAGGCTCCACGCCGTCTACGGGCGAGAAGCCCCCAGATCAACCAGTTGCAGGGGCCTGGACCGACTGTTCCAGTTCCAAGGCTTCTGGTGCATAGACTTCGTCAAGCCTGATGTCAGTCCTAGGCAACGGTGGCAGGTCATGGTGAAGTGCCAAAAAAGCTTTTTTTTTCTGCCCTAAGAACCCTTGCCGTCGAAACGGTCCTAATGAGCGAGCCGCTATAGGCTTCTGAAATCTGCAGCAAATTGAAAAATAGACATCAGTTAGTATTTAGACTACCCAGGCACTCCCCGTATCGCGTGGAAAAGCTCTCTGCACGGGCGACCAAGCAGCAGTTGCAGCATGGCAGCATGGCGATTCGAGTCATGGGCCCATGGCCTTTCAAAGCAACGGTATTGTTCGTGCAGAGGACCTGGCCTCAGCTATGACCGCCTCGCGCTGACTGCATGCGGCAGGAGGTCGCGGGCGCTTGTTAGCCGTCTACCTGTGCGCTCACAGTGTCGGATGCGGCCGAGGGGGGAAAGAGGCACCGTCTGTCGCCCACATGTTGCCAGTCAGCGTGCACCACATGGCGGGCATGATCACCGTCTTCATCAGCATCCTGTCCGCCAACTGCAAAACCACATGTGCCCGCCCACGAACAAAGCAAGTGCGTCCTCATACAGATCACCTACAATACCACCTCTGCATGGTGCATGCAAGTAAACAGTAGTCTACACATTCTACAGCACATGTAGAAAGCCCGAAATGCGGAGAGGAATGGACCAAGATGGGAGGCGATCGGCAGAGGAACAGACAGACCCCAATCCATGGCCAATATCTGAATGGACGATGGCCGACCAGGCGGAAATTAATGGGGCGTGCTTGTTGCTGTTGGCCCCCGCTCTTGGGCCCCGGGCCCCAATGGCATCGCACACATGGTGCTGCACACTGCGTCTGCTCGAGCCCTCGGCCCGCACTGTACGGGCCAGGTGTACCCGTGTACCCCCCCGGCCCCCCTCAACCCCGTTCTCTCTGTCACAGGCGACAACCTCGCCTTCTTGGTTTTTCTGCCCTGCACGCACCGAGCCTGTGGTTCCTCTCCTATCCCAAACCCAGCTGCACTGCACCTGAGAGGCACCCAATCCTCCAAAATCTTAGCCGCGAGAGGAGGAAGCAAGCCTGCGCAGCTGCATCGTCGCTTCACCCACCAACAGCATACGGACCTCCCCATTATTACCAACCCACCCTTGCTTACCACCATTCGACACTGTCGCTTGCCGCTCCTTGGCCTTGTTCCCTCGTTTTGCCTCCTCGTTTTCTTCTTCAAAACACCCCCCTCGCATTCACCAAACTTGTGGACCGGCTGGCGACGGGACCGACCTCACAGCCCAAACACCGCATGTCTGGCTCGCACAACGCCCAGCACCACCACCACCCTCCTTTATGCTAGTCCGGGCCTTCGAGCTGAGGTCTAGCGCCCAATAACGACCGCCCATTCCGACCGACGCTGCTGGGCTCTGGGCAGGCGCGGCGACAAGGAACGCTGGAAGGGAATAACAGAGGCACGAGTGGCGGAGGCCTGGTGTCGAGCCTCTTGTTGCTGGTGAACTTCTGCTGTTGTTGGTTGGGTTACTGCATTGCCTTTTGCTGGCCTCGGAACTTGTTCTGGGTCCAGTGGAAGAGAGGGAAACATCGTATGCCTCGCGCCTCCTCGGCTAAGCGACAGCAGGGAGCGGCGAACAATCGCGACACTCGACACGAGAACGGGCTTGTAGGTCCAGGAAAGCGCATCGTCAAGGAAAAGAGCAGGAATGAGATCAGATCCGATGGCAGCCCCCGGCCTCACCCCCAGTCCTCGTCCTCCGAACACGCCGCTCCCCTGCCGCTCCCCTCGCCTCTGCCTTCGACCTCGACCCCGTGTGCAAACGGGAACGGAAATGGGAACGGCTACCTCCACGGCACCGACGACATGTCCCTCGACACTGCACGCCGGCCCTCGGTAGCCGCCTACTCCGAGACCTCATCCTCCGAGTCCGTGTCTCTGTCGACCTCCCAGGCTGCCGCAGAGGATGCCCACCGCCGCATCGACGTCAACGCTGCCAAGAACAACAATGTCCACCGCGACACCGGCTTCGTCGACCTCGCCTTCACTGTCCTCCGATCGTGCCCCCTGCATGACACCATCGCCATCCTCATCATTCTCATGCAGCTGTCCCCCGTCGCCCTGTCGAGCATCTACATGCTCTTCACCCTGCTGACCTTTGTCCCGCCCGTCACCACCAGCTCCGGCCTCAGCCTCACCGAGATCTTCGACGGCCCTGGCGCCCCTAACTTATGGACTCTCGTCGGGTTGGACCTGTTCTTCCTCATCGTCTTTGCCTTCATGCCTCTGCAGGATCTGATTCTGGATTTTGCACAGGTGGTGATTGCCATGACATTGGGCGGTGGCGCAAGCTCAAGAGCAGGCACCACACACAACATCTTTCTTTGTGCGGGGATCGTTCTGTTCAACCATTTCGGGCACCACCAAGCAATAAACAGGTACTCTAATTTCAAAACCTTTTTCGGAGGCCACTGGGGCACCTTGGACGCCGACGACTCCCTCAAGCCCGTTTCGATTAGCTATGAGAGGAAAGGGCCGAAGGGACTCTTCCGGAGCACGTTGGCCATACATATTCTGGTACAAGGGCTTGTTCGATATGTCAGGGAATGGTATCTGCGGCGCGAGAAACGCGATTTGCTATCCCAGACTCAGTCTGATCCAGAAGTTGGGAAAACGCCCACTTTTGCGGGGGACACAGCCGCTGACGGAGGGGGATTACCCCCTCCGGATGTGTCTGAGGCGAACAGACAACTGACAAGTACGACTATTTCGAATAAAAAAAGAAGGAAACAGAGCCATCAAGTGCGCATTCGACAGCCGCTTTGGGCAGCCTTAGCGAGCACAAAGATTGTTATGGTGAAGGAGTATGAGCTCTCACATGCAGCAACGGAGTCTGCAGGCTCCAATGCGACAGACATTCACAACCTAGGGAACGCGCCCTTCAATACGCAGCCGGAACAGGTTTGGATTTGCTATGTTGGTTGCGATACTGTCTGCTTCAACACAAGTCCTTTCCCAGACCAACCTCCAACCGAGAGCACTGACCAAGACAGCGATGGGAAGGGGCCTTCATATGTTGATACCTCCAAGCCTTTCTACGTCAAGGTGAACAATGCTATCTGGCAGCCGACGCGCATCATGCCGATAGACGACGGGGAGGAGGAAGGCGTCCAAGGAACGAGATGGACAGGCGACATTTTCGGGCTGACACCCATGTCTAACTATGAGTGCGAGTTCGTGAGCACTCGAACCGGCAAGGCCATCTTCTCGACCAGCCTAAGGACGATTCCAGCCAAGATCAAGGACAATGATGCATTGAAAGCCCCGGCCCCTCGGTCTCAGTATCGTCACCAGTCTCCTGCGACAACTCTGAGAACTTCGATCGCCGGCCTGGAACAGAAGTTGAACGACGAAAAGGCCAGGCTCAAGTCTTTGAGGAGGGATAATAACCGGAAGACGAACGCGCTCAAGAAAGACATTGACAGGCTGACTTCAGCAGTGCAATCGGCTGGTGGCAATGACGAGAAGTTGAGGCAGAAGATCGCGCAGAACATGACACAGCAGAAGCAGGCAGAGCAGGCAATTGCAGAACTTCAGGAGCAAGTCAAGGAATTGCAGTCTATCCCGGAGGAGGTTCTGGCAGACTATCGGAAGAAGCAGGGCCAGTACAACTCGGAGAAAGGGCAGTTCGACCAGGCCAAGGGCGCGTTCAAGAGCTTCAAGCACTCCGTCGATCAGGACGCCAAGGCCCTGGACGACGAGCAGACGAGCCTCCAGGCCAAGCGGACCAAGATCGCCGCTCGGCTCAACAAGGTTGACGGAGAGCACGCGCGCATAACGGATGCCAATGCTCGTGGGCTCGACGAGGCCGACCGTCGTCGACAAGAGACTGCCGCTTTTGAGAGTGAAGCTGCCCGCAGAGAGAAGGAATACGCTGATCGTCTGTCAATCGCGCGCGCCCACAATGAGGACAAGACGCAAAACGCAGCCAACATGGCCACCATACTGGAGGGCATACTCAACAGCTTCAACCAGGCCGAATATGCTGCCTTCTACGAGCGCCAAGAGGCCGCCGCCTACCACAATGCAGCCTCCCAGTGGCCGCAGTACGCGCAAAATCACACGTGGTCCCCGGCAACGTCTGCAGCACTTCCCAACTCCACGCTCGCCACGGCCCCGGCCCCGACCGCGCTGTTCTCCCACGGCACCTTCCCACAGTACCAGCACCCGTCGCATGTGCCACTGCCTCGCAAGTCTAGGGGCCGCTCCTCGTCCATGTTGAGCGACGTCTCTGGCTTCACGCAGTCCACGGACGACGAGAACGACGGCAGCAACGGCTCAAACAACAACAGCAGCGCTTACATCAACGCGGCCACAATGACGCGAGGCAGCAGCACCATCAACGCCACCGCCGCGCCCTTCCTCCCGCCTGCCCACAGCCACTCTGCGAGCCAGAGCCCCTTCGGCCAATACGCGTACCCGGCTGGTGACATGCGGAGTCCTCCGGGGTTCCCGCCAATCCCGCCGGGCGATGCTGCCCGCAAGGTGTCTGGCTCCGGCTCCGGCTCAGGGTCTGGGTCCGTGCGGAGTGGTGATGCGAGCAGCGAGGGAAGCAACAAGGACCCGACTAGCCCGTATCCAAAAAGGCTTCCGTTGAGCGTCTAGGCTGCTGTCCTTGTGTTCATTGCTGTCTTTGTTTTTCGTTGGGTCTTGCGTTCGGCTGCGACTGTCTAGCGCGGTCTCCGGCCCGCCAAAAGCCATCGTCTCTCACTTACCCGTTGACTCGGCCGATCTGTTCACGCTTGGACAAATCATTCTCAACGTTCAACGGGTCCGTGAATCGTGGAGGAAGTGGGTCGAGCATCGCGCCGTCAAGCCCTCCTGCCTGCCTGTTACTGCTGCGTCTTGGTCTATCTGTGTCTCGTCCGAAGGGGCTAGTGCCGAGTCTTGTCTCCTCATTGGATCTTCAGGGCCTCAGTGGGCGAAATGTATCTGTTCATAGGTAGTTTCTGGATCCCGTCAGCTTAGCATGTGGATGTGGTTGTGCAAAGTAGGTTATGTCGAATGCAATCGGAAAAGTTTTCTTGTTCTCCTTGTTATAAACCACTTGCCATCTTCTTTACGTGTAGTGACTATGTGCCCGATGTGTGATGTCCTCTGCCTCGTCTGCTACTATCAAGGTGATGGGCTGGTTATCTGCCTTGCGTCCGGCAGCTTTCTTGCCCGGCTAGCTACAGGAGACCTTGGCCGACCCCGACTCAGATCCTATAGCAGGTTGGAGTCCTGCTCGTGGTTATTCCATAGGAAGTTGTCCTGTGGAAGGTTATCCCATGGCAGATTATCCCAGGGTAAGTTATCCCATGGTAGGTTATCCCATGATAGGCTATGCCAAAGGCGGAAGTCAATTCACCACAGGTTGGCATCCCGTGGCAGGTTGCAGGTAATCGTTGCGGTAGTATCCGTGCTCGTGGTGGCCCTGCCGACTGCACGGTACAAGGCAGTAAATGGTGATGTGTGGTGTGATTGGCTATGTGCATGGCTTTGGGCCGTCTCGCCTGGCATGTTGAGCATTTCTTGTATTATATATAATCTTGTCTCTCGTGTAGTATTAAACCCTTGGCGGACCCATCGTGGCTGTTCCCTCACTGCGGTCATGGAGAGTTGTGTTGCATTTTAAATATCAATAGGTTTTTGCAGCAGCTTTGCCAGAAAGGCTGGCCTTTTTTTTTTTCAGTAGGAATACAGTAAATCTGTTAGAATCTATAGATCCCACATGCAAACGCTTCTCAAATAAGCAGACATTCTAGCTTGCAGGATGAACATCTGGCTGTGAAGCTGGGATATTGAATTAGCAGGGATAATTTCTTGACCCCCATGTACATTTTAGTTAAGAAGTTTGTCTTGCCACACGTAAATTCAAATTACTATCTTAGTAACTTGAGTCTTCCCGCAGTTCTTATTGCTTCTACTGATTTCCCGAATAGGCTCTGCTATAGCATCTTGGGGTGTATGTGAGTGAAACAAGTGTAGAGGAGTCGAAATATGAGACATGAGACAAAAGGCGCAAAACTCTTCCAATGCGGTGTGCGGCTTTGCCGTTTTCACTTCTCCGAATACACAGGGCTTTGTCATGGAGATTCATTGCTTTGTCGGCGCTCCGATTGTTGCCAGCTGCTACAAGCTAAGACAAAGCAGCGCCTCCACTTGCGGTCATGTTCGTACAGTTGCAGCCAGGGCTAATCATTTTCTCCTAGCTTTCTCTATTCTTTAGATAAGCTCTTTTAAAGAAAGTAACAGCACAGTGGCACATTTAGGAAATCGCCAACCAACCTTGATGTCGGTGACTATTTTCCTTCTTTTTGAAAATAGAGTGGCTCCCCTGGTCTCCTCTTCTCAATTGAGGCAACCCTCCCCTGCGGTACAAGTCGGGAGCCATATAATAGAGGGGAAAGCTACAACAAGAACACGAGCGAAGAAAAATGACACCCCAAACTTTTTCTCGGTCCCGGCGCCAGAGGAGCTCGTGCCCCTCTTTCTTCTGGATCTTGGTCCTCGCCTGGGCGGTGCTTATGGTTGGCTCTAACATTCAAGTTGGCCGAGTCCTCGGGCTCCCGGAATTTTTCGTACGGACTGGGCCAAGAGAGGAGGTTGCGAAGGAACCAAATTACTATGAGATACTGAATGTTAGTCCCCTGGTAGACGACGAGACTCTGAGGCAATTGCGGAGGAAACATCTTTTGGAATTGCACCCGGTAAGTGAACGGTCTGGTTTTATCTGCCTCCCATTCCTTTCCGTGGTGGAATAACATTGCGTCCTCCCTTTTCCCAGTCTGCCTCATCGCTGACACGATCCAAATTGTAGGACAAAGTAGGTGACGACTCGAGGGCCTTGAACACCTTCCTCATCTTGCGAGAGGTCTTCGAGACGCTCACAGACGGAGTGCGGCGCTGCGAGTACGACGAAGTGCACCGCATCAAGGGGAAGTGGTCCGTGCAGACCTGCCACGACGCATTCCGCGAGGAGTACAGGAGCAAGTTGTGGAAACAGATCCTGGAGGAGAGATCGAAGCGGGCCTCGGCAAAAGAACAAGGTGATAAACAAGAATCGTCGGATCCGGAAGGCGAGCCGACGTCGCCGCCACTCAAGGCCAAGCCGCTGAAGCCCAAGGCCGGAAAGCCATCCGGCCGGAGGTCTGACTCTCACAAGGCGTCTCGACCGAGAAGCGAGGATAAGCGGCCGACGAGTCCGGGCACCCAGGCGGGGCCGGCAGTGACGGTGGTCACGGTGGAGGTCGAACCCGAAGCGAAAGATGCTGTCGAGACCGTCACGTCGGCAGTGGCTGAAGTATTGGTGGGAGGTGCGGGACTTTTGGCTAAGGGCTGGGGTTATGTCTGCCATTACAGTTCGGAAGTTGTCTCGTTCTTTGCAACAGCTGCTGTCGGGCTTGTGACATATGCATGGGTTTTCGGAGGATAGGAATTGCACTAATCTCTTTCATTTGTCACTTGCGGACTTTGATAGCTAGGTGAAAGTGTGGCCAGAGAACATGAATATCATGAAGATAAGGGGCCTTTGATTGACTGGAAAATTCCCCAGTTTCGACAGATTTGCAACTATTCGGCTCTATAAATTATCTCTTTCCCTGAATCTCCTGCGATGAAGCTTCTGTGCCGTGTCCCAGCCGCCGCTCCCTTTGCTTGTCTAGGCCAGAGGCACACTCTTGCCAACCAAAAGTCCATGCTGGTTGACGGAACTTGATATACTTGATGGCTGGTTCTCAGTTCAGGAAGTGTCCTCTGGAAATCTTTGTGGTATTTTGAGGGAGACTTATTTGAATCACCGGTGATTTTGTGGCTGTCCATTTGCCACCGCCGCATTGTGGCAAATGCATACATCGCCTGTAAGTAGCAAGGCAATCCTACGGCTGTTTCCCATGAAAACATGCGCTGGTCCATTGAACAGGCCATTGTGGCATTTGGTACGCTGAACAAAGATGTCCGCACATGGCGATAGATAGAAATATGCTTGTATTTCAAGACGGAGTACCTGCCCGCCCAACAAAGACGACGCCTCCTAGTGCTCGCATCTTGCAGTGCGACTCCGTAATATGATATGATGAATGATTGTGAAACCGACACCCGAACACCGTGGCTGGTAGGTATCATAAAATAAGTGGTCATGACTTCGTAAGCATCATCCCGTCGTGGACACCTCCCACCGCCAGGTGTTGTTCTCAGACCGTGAAGTGGCACCAGCCTCTCCCTCAGTACCCCTTCGCCGTGACGGCCCCGACTGCCAATATCTCCAGCCGCCCAGCATACAGTTTCATCATATGGCACACAGGATCGCCCCAGATGACACCACGCAGCTGCTCATCCGTCGCCATCTGCGCCACGACCCCCTCGTTCAGCCGCTCCTCCACCGTCTTCTTCCCCTTGAGCCGCGCCTTCTGGTCCCCAGACCTCAGCACCACGATCCTGCCCGCGTTGCTGAGCGGACTCGGCGGGACCTTCCAGACCGGCCTGTTGCTGGCGGGCGGTGGCGAGCCCGCGGCCCGAGCCCTGGACGACTTGGCGGACCTGCCGGACTTGGCCGAAGCCAGCGAGCTCTTGGAAGCCTTCTGCTTCGGGCACTCCAGCAGCGCCATCTTGGAGGGCGGCTTCGCGAGCACCGCGGCTGCGGCGGCCGGCGCGGGCGCGGGCGTCGCGAACAGCTCCAGCAGGCTCCGCACGTACGCCTTGTCCGCCCTCGCGACGGGGTCGCCCTCGCTGACGAAGCTGAGGAAGATGCTCTTGCGCAGGTCCTGCCGGCCCTCGGGCTTCTGCAGCGGCAGGAGGGAGACGGGCGGCGCGCCAAAGGTCACGCAGTGCACGCGCCTGAAGCAGCCCGTCAGCGAGCTGAGCTCGGACTGGGCCTCCCGGGACGCCGACAGCATGTGCGCGTAGAGGAGGGCCGCGACGGCGCCGCCGGCCGAGTGGCCCGTGATGAGGAGGCTGTACGATGTGCGCCTGGGGTCCTCCTGGAGGAGCTGCCGGAGGCGCGCGGCGACGGGTTGGACCATCTTGCGGGCGGCAGTGAGGAACCCTGTGTGGCAGTAGTTGCCGGCGTCATCCTTTCAAGATGTGTGTTAGTATTGCGTGGCCTGTTTGTCAAGGCTGAAGGGGGGGTGTCTACTTACCAAGAACCCGGCTGGAGAAGACGGTGCCGTGTTCAAGTTCACAGCCCAGTCCATGAAAGTCGCTGTTCCTCTGATCGCGAAGACGATGGTGTTCATATGGTCCATAGGAACTGACTTGATCACCATGGCCCGGGTACCACTGTGGTAGTTTGCGCCCACCTGAACGTCCTTCTCCGCACCTCGAGCCTTCTCGTAGACTCGGTCAGAGTACTGCGCGGCTAGACATAGCAGCGGCCAGGTAGGAATGTACAGCTTGAGTGGCGGCAGATCCATAGGCAGCCGGGAGTTGGCGTATAGCTCCACCTTTGCGAAGTAGTTCCCGGACAGGACACTCGCAGCCACGGCTGTAGTCTGGCCTTTCGGGGCATCGTGCCCTTTGTGCTGGGTTTTCCTTGGTTTGCCCAGCTGGCCTCTTGTGGTGATTTCCGTAGACGACGAGTCTGAGGCCGAGTCCGGACGGCAGGCAAACAATTCTCTTTCATTTCCGGCATATCGGTCCCGGTCGATCTGGGTCATCACATCGTTGAATCGATCGCCAAGCTGGTTCAATGCTGCGGCTCCCGGGCCGGTAAACTGATTGCATTCTCCACCACGGAGGTTCAGGCCGTCGTTGAGGAAAGCGGGAACCACACCAGGCATGAGTTGGTCGGCGAGATTAACCGCGGATCCGATGATCATCTTGGACAGAGGCACAGTATTTCCTTGGTGTGCTTGGAAATCTCCATTCGATGGCGGTGGTGCCAGCATATAATAGTGCTGGTTTACCACCACTGGTGCTTGCTGTGATTGTTGCTGATATGGGTACGGTGGAGGTGGTGCAGACCCTCCATTCCACCCAGGGGGAGCAGGCGGGTAGCCAGCAGGCTGGAAGCCGGGACATGACGAGTCTGAGTCCGTGATGCCCGATGTCTGCGGGGCATGAACCTGTGCTGGAGGTAGTTGGCCTTGGCTCCGCGGCGCATCGACCGGTACAGGGAACGGCCCTCCAGGCCGTGGCGGCAACTTCTTGGTCTTATTGCGAGAGAACCAACCCATATTGATGATCGTCAATATTGAGTTTTCAGTGTCTTAGCATGAGGCTGGCTTGAAGGAAAAAAGCTCCGAACATCTCTATCATGTATCACCGGGGGCAAACTGTCACAAGATAAGGACATAGGGTGTGGCACCGAGGCGTACACGCGTGTTCACGGGTCTCTCGGTCCTCTGTCGTCGGGTATGACGACGACTCTTAACTCGACCCAGCTGAAGAGGAAACACTAGAAGAGGGCATGACACAGCCCAAGGTGTTTGGACATGGAAACGTCCTCGTGGAAACCTTTATTAAGAAACATGCCAGGAAGGGAGGAGAACCAGGGGCTGGTCCTTCAGAAAAAGGCAGCGAGCGGCGTCGTCCAACAGTGAGTAACCCTAATGCTGGGCTCGTGCAACTAGCCGCTTTCAAGCCAAAAGAGGCTTGGCAGGCACTGCAAGCCCCTGTAGTGAAGCACCTACAGGCCATGATTCGCTGGAAGGCCTCTGGCGCCGCCCCAATGGGCGTCCTGCGCACGAACACTCTCTCCACTCTCGCCGAGGTAGGACGGCCTGGCGAACCACGACGGGAGCTTGAGATAGATTGAACGCGATGTTCTTGCAGGAGTGTGACCCGGGACTTGTCCCACTGGGGCTGCGATGCCTGGAGGGGTTTCACCCAGGCCAATGTGGGCCAGACTGCCTGCAGGATGTTATCTGCTGGCTGATCGAATGGTATTCAGGCCGGTCGAAGGCTATTTGATGATGAGAATGCGAGTGGCTGGTGAGGCATTCACGCTTTGACGGGGTTGAGTCAAGTTGCCTTTGTGTTCCAACTCAAAGCAACAATCCTACATGATATGCAGGTCGGGCGACCACCCGTTGCCGCGCTTACTCTGCACGTAGCCGCCCGAGTGTGTTGGGTAGTGGGGGACCAAAGTCAACCTTGTTGCACGCGGGGAGCTTTCCGTAGACTGCACTACGCTGGCTGCATAATGGCTAAAGGCTAAGCCCTCGTAGTAGGCTGGGGCTTGCCCATACTGCTCGAGTCTAGCTGAATGTGGTCGTCGTTATGCAAGAACAAAGCTTTAAGAACAAAGCTTTGTGGACAAAGTTGCAAGGCTTCTTGCTCATTCGATACCTCACTCGCTCGAGCCTTTGACAGTTGGCAGACATGAGATACAGCCGACAGAACATGGCCGATCTTCAACCACTCTGCATCCCTGTCGAGATACTGTCAACTCCGCTCAGAGGTTTGAACACGGTCTATAAGAGCCTCACAGTAAGTAAGAAACTGTAGATGAGGAAGGACGTCAGCCATGCCATACTCGGCACTTTGCCCAAGTCAGCGCGACTCAGACTTTCAGCCGTTTGAGGCGCATGGGCAACAAGATCCCAGCCTTCCCTGGCCTCTCGACTAAAGTGCATAGTCAACGCATGCGCATCATCGCGTATGAAGGCCAAGAACCGGCCAGTAGAGCCCATCGCAGGCGTAAGCTGGGCACACCAGCCTGATGTTCTCTGGCGTCAATCATCGAGAAACGTAGAGAAATACATCACGCGAGACGCCGCGTGCACGAATACCATACCATCACTGTCAGAAAGCCGCGCACGAATCCGATGGTCCAGCTTGATGGGCTATCACGAACAGAAGCGACGAGCTTATCGACAGACACTCCTACCCAGGGACAGACCACAATGTGGTTCTGTTGTACAGCCGATGGCAGTACGCTGACCCCTGGGGGCGTGAACAGATCCATCCAGGTTCAAACGAGCGGATGCCATGTAGCTCTGCGAACCAAGTCTTCGGCTGACCGGCAGGCTAGACGGTGCATTGCTGTCCATCGTACTTGGGAAACACCAAGCTCGAGCCCAGGAAACGGCCACATGATGAGCCAGACAGAGTCCAACGTGGACGCCCTGTGGACAGAGGTGTGATGTGATGCACAAAGTTGATGGCTTGGACGTTTCTGTGACCTCTGAGGACCGTCTTGGCGTGAAGTAAGTATGAATCGCCCAGGCTGGCCCTTTCGGGTGATTTGACGGACGCCATGGTGGTGGTTTCCTTGGCAAGTTGCGAGAGACAAAGGAACAGAGTGGCACGATTGGGCAACTCCTGTCGATACCATGGTCGCTATCTCCCGCTGTAGATGAACCTCACGGGGGAGACATTTAGGCACAGACGCTAGGTGGACGCACAGGTCGTCCAGATTGAGGGGGGGGGGGGGGGGAGATTGTCCTCATACGTTGACCCAATAAGAACATCGTGGCGCTTGAGTGAGGCCCACTGTACCGTGCTTTTCGCAATGGTGGTCTCTGACCTCTGGCACGTCCTCGTCACCGGGCCCAAATTGTCGAGGAGTGGAAGTGGAGTGTCGACCCTACAGCACGGCGCGCCGTATGCACTGAGCTCTTGCGCATTACGGCTGTAGCCAGACTTGATAATGCCGCACAGGGCTGGCAATGAGTGTCGCTATGGGCAAGGCTGAGAAAGAAGGGGCAAATTGGTTGAAGATGTATGTTGGGTGTTCAGGTGGAGATGATCTGCCGTCTGAGGTCGCGATATTGAGCTCCAGGCACAATCCATTCTTAGCTGCAAGTGGTCGTAGACTGCCGTGCAGACAGCATGACGGCAGCAGCTAGTGGTCGAGGGACGGTCAAGGGACCCCTGTCGGTAGTGGGGCCGTTGCGACCCGCAGGCTCATCCCGAGCGCTGGCTTGCATATGACCCAGGGTCTAAGCTTCCCTGGCCTTCTCAAACAGATTCATGCATCTGGAGACAACGTTCGACGACGACCCTCGCCGCTGACAGACCAAATACCACAGATTTCGAGCACGTCGAAGCATCGGCATGCCTCTAGAGACGACATGGACTTCGTAGGTTACGGTTTCCGGCCCGCCCTCGCGCGTGGACTGTGCTTCCGCTGACACCGTTCGCCAGTGGTCGCGCCTGATTGCGAACACCCCCTTAGCCGAGAGCTCGCGACGAGAATCCGCGAAGGACCCCGTCAGACGCCTGCGGCGTTTCGAGAAGGAATACAGCCGTCTTCTGGTGCGTGCAGCTGCACATCGTCGTCTCCCACAGCAACCCTCTCCTCTGACCTGCCCTCTCCAAAACAGCAAGCATGGCGCCACTCCTCCAACCTCGCCAACGATTATGAGGCCGCCGAGGAGGTCGAGATCCGCCTGCAAGACCTCACCGATATCCTCAGCGACGAGACCCGGCGGCCCCTCCCCCACCCCTGCATCGCCTTCTCGGCCAACAAGCAGTTGTACATACCCATCGCAAAAATAGCCACCACCTCGTACAATGAATGGATCATCAAGGAGGCTGTGCTGTTCTTCGCGACCCTCGTCGAGAGCGAGGAGGAGGCGTTTGTTGAGACTGAAGCATTTGCTTCCAGTCTGACGAACCTGCTTGTTAAGATCACAGGTGCCAACAGCGTCCCCTTCGGCTCGGACACCGAGTCAAGGGTCGTCGAACTGGCCTTCAATATCACCACCAAGATCCGGCTGGAACCAAACATTTTGTCCTCGTGGTTCAAACTTCACCGCGACAGGCAGCAGGGCGAGAGAAGCCAGGACACCCGGGACAAATTTGAGGGGAGGACACAAAAACAGGACTTCCCCCTGTTCTACCTGCTGGTTGATTACATCCATCATGAGGGCAAGGTCGGTGACTTTGCGAGGACCGGCCTGCTCTACATCATCGAGGCTGCCTCCAATTCGGTCGAGCTCGAGCAGTGGATTGTAGAGAGCGATCTATCAACGCTCATGGCCACGGGTCTCGGAGCGCTTTACAGTCAGCTGAGTGGGAAGCTGGTCATAGACTATCCGTCCCACGATCTTCCCCCTATTCTCGCCCTGTCGGATTATCAGCCCCCCGTCGCGACCCAAGAGGTCATGCCGTCGACAGACCCGGGATTTCAAGCAAATCTGGAGACATTTTTATCACATCTGGTGTTCTGGCAGGACGTGCTTAATCATTGCAAGTCTATCGAAGTCAAGTCGACACTGTTGGAGCACTTCCAGATCATCTTCCTACAACAGTTACTGTATGTCGCACCCTAACTGGAGATACACGACGCCATGCTGATGCCCTACAGATACCCGTCTCTTCTAGAATCTTCCGACCTCGATGGAGGCTCGTCAGTGGCAGTTTTGACATATCTGCGCCAGATACTCGAGGCCCTGGATCATCCTGACATGATTAACCTCATTCTCCACTACCTGCTTGGTTTGCCGGATATTGAGACGTCATCACCAGAAGCCACTTCGAATTCCGTCAGTAAGGCTAGGAAAAGGAAATCGATGGATCTAGCGACAATGATGGCCGCCAAAGCCGATGACACTCTCGACCCTCTTTTGTACACCCTCGTCGATCTAATCCTCGCCTGTCTACGATCTCCCAGTCACCAGACCATACATGTCACACTTCAACTCGTGTCAGCGATCCTTAAGAGGCACCATCGATACGCTGTAGTAACGCTGATACGAACTGAGAATCTCTATGGGGATATACCACACCGCACCGTCGGGGCCCAGCAGCAGGAACTGGAATTCCTGATGTCCCTTGCTGGGACGATTGGAGGTCAAGATAACTTTGACGAGGTTTACGAAAACATCCTGAAGGACACCACATCACGACTAGAGAGCCATCCATGTTCTCTGAAGCTCACGGTGCCCAAGATAAACGTCAACAACCACAAGTTGCCCTCCGCGCCGGACTCCCTGCCAGGTGCTCCCCGGGATGTTCGGGCGCATACTATACGATCCGACGATCCGTTGTTAACCACTCTACTTGATCATTTGGAGCTATTCTTCCTCAACCCGGTCGAGACAAATCTTGGTATCACGGAGACACTGTTTGATCTTGCAATCTGTGGCTTCATGAGTCTCGAGGGCTGGCTTCTACGACATCCCGAGACCTACATCTACGACGCAGACGATGCATATCAGCCTCTATCTCCGAGAGAACAGGGTGACGATCCTCTGGATCGAGACCTTGAAAAGATGCTTGCTGAGGATCCTGAAGCACTCGATAAAATCAACAAATGCCGCCGCAGGCCAACGTGGTCTTCGTCCAATTTACCACGACTATTGAAGATACTGCAGCTGCTCTCCGACGAGGTTGCCACATACCGCGAGACGATCCCCCGGTTCCATGATCTTCTTCAGCAACGACGAGAATCCTTCCAGATTGCCGACTCTGCGTCTACCCCCATGCCCAGACGCATTCAGCCACCCTCTAGCACACCCGGTTCAGCCACACCCGCCTGGGCTCCGTCGAGTATGAACACCTCTAGGAGCGGCTCTCCTCAACGGGCAGGCGGGCTAGAGGGTTTCGCGCAGCGTATACTAAAGGACCTCAACGACCTTGGGACACCCAGTCGTTCCAACAGCCCACGCGGCCCGCACCTGGCCGTCCCAGGCGGACCACCCCTGGCAGGAGGCTTTGGGATAGGAACCCCCTCATCCGTCAACAAGGGCCCACCTGTTCCGCCCAAAGACACCTACAAGTTCGAAACGCCGACCAAAGGCGGAGGTGGACTCCACCGGCCGTTCTCCCCCGCGGGCCAACATTCTGATCAGGACCCGGTCAAGGCGAGCCAGGCCGCTGCTTTCCAAGCAGTGGACCAGCAGATACTGGCGAGGAAGGTCGGCCTCCCTGATAAGACAAAGGTCACCACCGCACCGCTCAAGCTGGGAGGGAAGATCGAGGACGAGACACCCCCGACGCCACCGGCCAAGGACGACGCACCCGGCGCAGACGCACAGAACGAGAGCGCACCAGCTGCAGACGGCGACAAAGATGACACGCAGAGCAGCGTCGCGAATGCCGACGCGCCCACGCCGCCTGAGGAGAAGAAGGTATCCGTCTCGCACGTACTCACCAACATTATCGTCCTGCAGTCGTTCCTGTTCGAGCTGGCCGCTCTGGTGCAGGTGAGGGCTGGTATCTTTGACGACGAGGTGCGGTTCATATAGGGGAAGAACACTCGAAGAATTCTCTGCCACTCCTCCCCATCCAAATTTTATCCTTTTTTGTTTTATCTGTTCATAGAACGACAAGCCATGGAGCTGTCATCTTGAAAATACCCTCGCTTTCCTGTTATTTATCTTGCCCTGCATTGCTTGATTCCTAGATGAACAGAACTTGGTGTGCGGCGCCCACTCGCTCGCGCGCACCCCCGCCCATGTTTCAGAGCATGGCGAAGCATTGTCTCGGTGTTGGTGTTGTTGGTCGGCCAGGTTCCGGTGTTGTGGCGGCTGGATCGTTTTCCGGTCCCTGCTGTGAAAAAGACGGAGGTGGAGTAGTGGTCACGTCTCATAGCGATGGGCAGGATAGGCTAGAAATTCAGCATCTTCGTTTCCCCCAGCGTATCATTGTGTAGCGGTGTCTTGAAAATGATATGGTGTTTGAATGAGTTGGCTTGGAAAGTGTTGGCTTGCTTGGTTTGTAGGTTTGCCCTTTTGGAAATTGTAAGTGGGTTCCTGAGGCAAACTTGGTTGATCCCTTAGGATAAGCGCTTGGGGATTAGATCCCATGGGAAATCCTGAACACCGATCTCCCAGGAAACTCACTGTATATGTGTGCTTCGTCTACATCACCAGTGAGCAAGATTTTAGGAGCCCTGACATCCTTTCCTTTCACGAACGCGAGCAAAGATGCCTTCAATTACGTGTGGAGCTCCCCTGATGATGCACAGTCTAACGTGTTTGCAATGACTGACCGTCACAAGCACACGGCATCGTGTCTTGTTTGACATCATGTCGCTCCTACACCCAAACACTCTTGTGGAACTCAGTCATCATGAAAGACATATTATGGACTTATCCCTCTGCAATGGATTCAAATTCGACTTGCACTCCAGTCGGCTATCGTATTCAATACGACCAGGACGTCCCAAATACCTACTTTCAAAAGGATATACCTCTACGCAGTAATGTCAGAGAATATACTCTCTTATCATGAATCTTTAAAGGACTACCACGCCCCTACGCTTCTGAGTCAGAGCATACAGCCCACATGGGCGACGCAACAGTCATGCTCGTTGCAGTGCTTGTCCCTTGCCTTCTCATCACCCTAGCGGTATCCATGATCCTCTATCGTGGTTTCTACAAGGATTGGATGTACAGATGTCTCCGTTCTAGACCCGGGGCTAACAGCAATCCCTCAGAGCAGCAGCAGCAGCAACAGCAGCCAGGCCAAAATGATGACATGAGCAACGGCCATCAAAGTGCAGATGTCGAGGCACTTCGAGAACAGGGTAGTCCCAGTGTAACATTTTCACCTGCGAAGCCCCTGCTTTCCTGGGCTGTGCGGTGACGTGGTGGAAGGCGAGTTCGTTCGTCTTGATACTTCAAATGTTGCCTGCTGAGAGGGATTCACGTGGTTTTGACGGACCGAGGATGGAGGAAAAGAAGGCAGTTTTGAGGTAATGAACGAATTTTCTGCTCCTTCCCGAGGCTGTTTTCGCCCCAGTGACGCACACTTCATATTCGCCTCGCGCTGCTGGACAAGATCACGAGCAGGGCGGCCCAGATTTGCTTGGTCGTGTCGATCAATCACTACTCTGAAAATCCCTGTTCCTCAACAATGAGATTATCAAAGCTCAAATATTCATGAAGAATCCTCTCGGTGCCCATTTATGTCGGACCGTCTCATGTACACAATTTTGGTTCAACGTTGCAGCATCTCTTCGGTTGTCTAATCTTCGGGCATGAATGGGAACCCTGTATGTATGGCTTGTGGGTATGGACCAATAGCTTGGCGGGTTACCTAGCAAATATCTCTCTGATTTTGCTTTCGAGTGTTCAATCATGTCGCGTTCTTTGACTAATATCACATCGGTCTTGAAGACGTGTGACTATCAAATTGTCTACCTGCGTACCTGGTATGGTATGCCATTCTGCCGCATCTATTCTTCTTATGCGCTCCCTCATATGTCCTTCAATACTGGCTGTGTTCTGGCGAGAAGCCCGGCTCAAAAGAATCCACATGATTCCATCTCCACCATCACTCTCTTAGGTCTGTCTCCCCGAAAGCCCCAAACGCCTTTGCAAGTGATCGAAAACTGCAATAGCAACCAAAAATCGAACCAAAAGAACAAAAATGATCCACCAAAAGATTGGCTACGCAAACGTGCCGAGAATTGGAGTCGAACTCCGCGGTGAAGGTATCGTTTCAGACTCGGAAGTTTCGTCCGACTAAGAAGTATCATCATCTCCGAGAAGGGTAAGTGCTGCAAGAGCCAGTGCATCCGTGCCCGTGAGCAAAGTCGGCCGGAGCACAGGGGCATTGTAGGGTGAGTCGTTGAAAGGAACATGGCGAATAAGCTCAGCAAATTGAGAGGGTTCGCGTGCCGACGGCGCTCGTCGCCCAAGGTGCCACATCACGTAAGGAATGCCATGCGGTGCTGCGAGCCTGGAGAAGTCATCGCAGGCCAGAGAAAGCGGAGCCCTGGGGCGGGTCTTGTCTTCCCCGAAGTGTTTGCCGAATGCTTGCTGGAGGTCCTCGGCGAGGCTGGCGTTGTTCAGGGTGAGGGGCGCGCGGGAAAAGATCTCGACCTCGGGCGGGTGTTTGACCCCGGCACCGCGGCACACTTCTTTCGCCTTGGGGCCGATCGCTCTGAGGATGTACTGGCGGATGTTCTCATTGTCTGTCTTGACGTCCAGCACCAGGTCCACATGGCTCACCGAGTTCTGACCCGGACGTCCCGCGTGAATCTCGTCGACGGTAATGTGGGCGTAACGATCATTACTGTGAGCCAGTTGTTCCAATTCGCCAACCAGATCCGAGGCCAGGGCAACTAATTTGGCATTGTGTTGAGGGTTGGCCTGACATCCAAGCGAGCAGTACAGCTTGATCCTGACGGTATCCGCAGACATGAGAGCGGGACCTTGTAGAACGTTGACGTGTCCGGCGGGAAAAGGGCCGCTGTGCTGGCCAAATATCGCATCGGGCACCGGGGCGATGTTGTACAAGCCATTTTCCACCATAGCCTGTGCGCCCCCCGGTGTGTACCGTGTCGGGCTGAAAGACCACCACCAGAGTCCCCTGCCAATGCTCCGAAGCGTCTCTCATGAGGGTCGCAGCCGCCAGCAAGCTTGCCATGTGCAGATCGTGGCCGGCGGCATGCATCACAGGCTGCTCCTGGCCCCAGATATCCTTCATCATCTTGTTGCAGGCATACGGCAGGCCTGTAGCTTCCTTGATTGGGAGGGCGTCGAGTTCAGCCCTCAGCATGACGCACCGGCCTTCGCCGTTGCGAAGCACGCCGACCACGCCGTTTCCACCCACGCCCTCGGTGACATCAAATCCCAAACTGGAGAGATAATCCGCCATCTTTCGTGCGGTTTGTGTCTCCATCTTTGACAGCTCGGCATTCTTGTGTATCGACTGGTATATGGCCTCAAACTCTCCGAGGTTGGGCCTGAAGTGGTGCACGATGTTGGACATTGTTCAGTTCGTCAACTGGAAGAATATTGTATGTAGAAGGTGATTGGAGATGGAATTTGGCGTCCAATGAACGGGAAGTGCAAAGCGTAATTAGATGCTGAGACACTTGCGATTGACACGTTTTTGGAGGTAAGCAACAGAACAAGCGACGGCGCGGACATGGGAAGCTTTTATAGCAGATTAGTGCACAGAGATCGGATTCGATGACAAAGTCGAAACGGTGATCGAGAGAGTTTGCGAGTCACACTTTCTCTCCAGATTCACGTGGTCGTAACAGCGATTGCTGAGCCTGGCCGACAGGTTTGCAATCAACTGGTGATAATTATTCCTAGTTAGCTCTGAGTCACTGGCCCAGAGGACCTGAGCAACAGGCCCCCACTGGTTCCTGCTCTCATGGAGTGCACCCAAACACTGGAATTCCAAAATTGCTGGGTACCTATAGCATCGACGTGGAAGCAGAGGCACTGAAAGCAGACACTCAAGTGCCTCTCGACTTCTCTTGAGACCAGGAGGGCATGCGAGGACACTGGTCATACATCTCCCAAGACATGTACCGCATCCCACGTGCCGATGAAATATAGACTGGACAGTGCCAGCATGCCGTACATGGGCGATGACGCAGATGGAGAGAGAATATGTGGGTTGAGAGTTCGTTGATAGACGTACTACTTATGCTGCTCTTGAACTCTCCTTCTCACCTGCAGACATACGTGTACCGTGCAAAACCTTTACTCGTCCAGCAATTTATAATTGAGCATGATCAAGAAACAAGTTGATGCTTACATAACTATTTGATATAGAAATACCGACTCTTCGCGTTGGAAACATGGCCGACTTCTGACGTGTGAACGCGTGATGCTCATCTCCGCCTCTTTGACTGGAAACCGAAATAAAATAAAATATAAAAAAAAATTCATCATCACATCCAAAAACACAATTTCCTTCATGCATTGCCCTCTCGAATATCACGCTCCATCCGCATCTGATACAACGAAACAGGCCGGACCACCTGCGCCTCGAGCCCCAGGTGATGAATCGCGTCACCGTGGAACCTGATCTTAGCATCCATCACCTTCTCCTTCACAACCACGAGCCCGCCGCGGCGATACATATTCGCAACAGTCTCCCAGGCCTGGATGACATCTTCCCCCAAGGCGAGGTCCCACGTTCCCCTCCAGCTGATCCCAGCCGTCCGCCCGCGCCGTGCGGACCGGTACCTGAACAAGCCCGCGAGGCCCTCCCGCCCGTTCCAGATCTCCATCGTCTCGAGCTTCGGCATCCGGCGGGCCGCGGTCGCGGCCGCCACGAGCATGCCGTCGACAGCCCCTGAATCCGCGTCGGGCGCGAGCAGCCTCGAGGTAAGCGCGAGCGTGGTAAGGTTCGGCCACGCCCACGAGGGCTCGCGGGAGGCGCCGAGGAACACGTCGCTGGCGTCGACGATGAACGCCCCCGACAGGTGCTTGAGCCTGAGGCTGGCGCGGCCGACTGACCGGCTGACGATGGGAGGCGCAGTCCGGAGGGGCTCGCAGTACGGGAGGTTGGGAGGGTACCGCTGGTCGAAGTTCTCGAAGACGACGAGTCTCTCCACATTGTCGAGAGCGGGATGAATGAAGAAAAGTTTATGTGCTGTACCGAAGATGAGGGTTAGCAGGTGCTTAGATGTCAACACCACCCCCAACAAAAACAAAGAAAACGACAAGAAGAAGAAAATCGATGAAACGGATTCCGCCAAGAGGGACTGGAGAGTAGAAGGGTCGTCACAACTGTTGCACGCACATCCCTAACCCTGGTTTGCGACCACTTTCTAAAATGCTTAAATAGTTAAATTTCTTTTATTTCTTCCTTTTAAACTACTCTTAAGAGATAAATGCTTTTATAATTATGCTTTTAAACCCCTTATAATACTTATAACCTTCCATAATTATAAGCTTAATTTATATAAAATAATCTTTCCTTTTTATAAGTTATAAATAAATTATATAAAATATATTTTAATTATATTTATTTTATATTATTTATTTCTTTTTATTTTTAAATATATATTTATATAATAATTATAAATACTTTTTTAAACCTTATTAATTAAGTAATTTATTTAAATATTTAATTTTTTTTTTACTTAATTTATTATATTATAATTTTATTATTAAATTAAAAGGTATTAAAAATTTATAAACTTTAATATATTAAATATAACCTTTATTAAATAATTAAATATAATTTTAAAATTAAATTCTTAATTTATATAATATAAAAAGAAAAAAAGAAATATTTAAAAAGTTTTATATAATAAATATTAAAAGCATTTAAATAATAATAAGCTTTTAAAAAATAAAATAATATTTATTTTATTTTTTCTTTTATTTTTTAATAAATTAAAAAAGAAATATAATTAATATCTTTAATAATAAATTGCTTTAATTTTTAATAAGGCAATTAAATTTAATAAAAGATAAAAAATTTAAAAATAAATATAAAAAATGATATTTAACTTAATTTTCTCCTTATATTTAATTAAAATAATAAATATAAAATAATTTTTTATTTAATAAGTAATTTAAAATATTAAAAATAATCTTATATTTTTAAATTAAATATAATAAATACTTTTTAAATTTAATATTAATAATACTTAAAAAATGTGGTTATGGGCATGCTATAGGGGCACAGCAGCACTGGGCACAGCAGGCACTATGGGCAATTAGCACTAAAGTACCGGCAGGCAGAGGTTACATGCGGCAGCACGTAACCACCCCTAAATAGTTTATAGCCAAAGGGAGGTTCTGCAGCTTATAGCCGCAAACCTCTCTCCTTTTAAATAGCTAATTTAAATATAATTAATTTACTATTAATTAATATACATTAACCCAGCTAACATTAATTAATAATTACCTATAAGTAATTATAAATAGCAAAATAAGCAAGTAATAAATTTATATTGCCATTAATTAAGCGGTAATTATTAATAATAAGAATTATTATAATTAAGTTGCAATATTTATGCTAAATAATTAATATTAATATTATAAAGATAAGCAATTATTAATAATAAAACCCTACTTAATTAAGTATTAATAATTATATTATAATTAAAATTAATAAGAAGAAATTAATAATGCCTTAACCTTCTTATTATAAAGATTTAACTTATTAATTAATAAATTTTTAATAATGCCTTAAATTTATTAATTATATAATGCATTTTATTATATAATTAATACTAAAAGTATTTATAATTACTTTACTTTAATATAAATAATAATTTATATTTACTTAAGTTAATAAATATTTTTTAATAAATACTTTTTTATTATATAATTAATACTTTTTTTTTATGCTTTAAAATAACCTTAATATATCCCTTTAATTACCTTCTTTTTTTTTTCTTTATATATAAATTACCTAAATATTTTAATGGCTTAGCAAAATAGCTAAATTTAATAATAATGCTAAGGAAATACCCTTAAATATTAATAATACTTTTATATAAGAATTTTAATTACTTTTTAACCTTAATAAAAGGTTTTAAAGTTAATAAGTTAATTTTAGCTATTAAGATGAATTAATAATAAAGGTAAATAGCATAATTAATTAAGTAAATGCTGTTATTCTTAAGTTTATAAAGGAAATAATAAGATGCTAAGATATAAATAATAATTTATTTTAATGCTTTATAAAAAACTTTACTTCTTAAAATATAATAATATTTAAAAAATTAATTATTATTTAAAATTTTAAAAAATTCCTTTAAAAAAAAGGAGTTAATATTAAAGGAAGCATTAATAAGTAATATATTAACCTAAAAGTATTGCTTATATATAATAAGTATTCTTTATAGCAAGAAAAGGAATTATATAAGGTAATTAATATATATAAACTCTTTAAGTTTTATACTTAATGGCTTTAATCTTAAAAGCTAAAAATAGCAAATACTTAAAAAATACTTATTATTTAAGAGATTTAAAAAACCTTAGCTTTTAACATAATTTTATTATTTATAGCTTTTACTTCTTTTTATTAAAACTTAAAGCAATTAATTTTCTTTATTAAAAATAATAAAGGATTTTAAAAATTATAACCTCTTTATCCTTAATTATTTATAAAATTAAGATAAAACTTTATTTAATTAACTTCCCTATAATAAGTATTATAATTATCATTTTATAAAAAGAAAACCCTTAATTAATTAAATATAAGGGCTTCCTTAAAATATTAAGAAATATCATTTTAATAAAGATTAAGTTTATTAAAATACTTAGAAACTTTATAATTTAGGGAATAATTTATAAACATTTTCCTTAAGGAGTTAATAAAGATTTTATATTTAATATTACTATTTATTATAGCATTAAAACCTTTATAAGCATATAATTTATATTAAAACTTACCCTTTTAAGAAATAGTAAATAATTTTTTTAATATTAATAATAGTATATAATTTAATAAGATATAGGATAAAAATAAGAATTAAGGTAGTAAATTATATAATTTATTAAATAATAAGATAAGGATTTTCCTTAATATTTGCTAAATAATAAATATTAAACTTAAATAATTTTATGTAATATTTCCCTTAATTTTTAAAAATTATGCCAAAATTTATTATATTTATTATATTAATATAAAGTTCTTTATTTATAATATATACTTAAAGCTTAAAGCTTATTTTAATATAAAGATTAATTATTAATAATATTTTTATAATTAAATCTTAATTATATTTAACGGAATGCATATTAACTTAAAGAATATTAATAAGCACTTTTAAAAGGTTTTTATTATAATATTTAATAAATTATAACTATATTAATAAGCACTTAACGTACTTTATTAAGGAAATAACTTCTTATAAATAATGGTTATTTGCGCTTATATAGGTATACTAGAATTATAATATGTACTTTTTAATTTTAAATATTTATATAAATTATTATTTTTAGGATTAAGATCTTTTCTTAAATTTAATTTTTAGTGCAATGCTAATTAATATTATAATAAAGATAATTAAAGTGCTAATAATAAGGGAAACAAAGCATATTATATTAATTGCTAATATAAAGATAATAAGCCGTTTAGCTATGATAAATATAGATGGAAAGGCTTTAGCTATAGTAACTTTAATTAAAGTAACTTTAATTAAGGTAACTTTAATAATAATAACTTTCATCCTTAATATAACTCTTATTATAGCAGCTAATATAATACTTTAAGAAATAAAAAATATTATGTTTATAGCAAAATTAGTTATTAATTTTTAAATTACTTATTAGCAAAGCATTGGTAATGCCGTAATTAATATTTTATATAGGTAAAGTATGTTAATTATAAGGCTATTAATATTAACTATACTACATTTCTTATAAAGTATAAGGAACTTAATATAAGAATTACTTTTAATAAAAAAAAGAATAATTATAAGGATGGTATAATATATTATTAAACCATTATAAACAATGTCTTTCTTTATAATTTCTTCTTAAAAAATATAATTACTAAGGAGGATAATATTAATAAAGATAAAGAAAATATAATAATTACTTTTGCTTTTGCTTTTTAATTTACCTTAACCGGAAGATATGCTTATACTTAGTTTTAAGGCATTATCCTTAATATAGGTGCTGCAATTTTCTTTATAATAAAATATAAATAATACCTTGCTTTTTAATATAAAGACCCTTTTATTTAGCTTAATAAGGAATTATAAGCTTTTTCTTTAAGAATGGTAATAATAAAGGTTATAATTAGTTTGATTATCTTTTATATTATTAAAAAACATACCCCCTTCTTGCTTTATATAGGAGATATGGATAAGTTATATATTTATTTATAAAACATAATAAATAAACTAATTTAATGGCAGTTAAATAGCTTTAAAAAGATATTTTTAATTACTTAAAAGTAGGGATACCTATAATATTTTCCATATACCCTTATTACGTTCTTTATGGAGAAAAAACTATATTAATTACATTAATATTTTAAATACCCATTAGTTAAATGTTTTAACCACTTATTAAAGAACGCTAAATATAATATAAAGGCAAAGACTTTAAAGATTATTATAAAGTTTTGCTATTACTGCCAACTTTATAGTTTTATTTTATAAAGATTTAAGTTTACTTTAAAAAATAATTATAACTTTAATTATAAAATTATTATTAATATTATATATCTTTTTAAAAATAAGCCCATTTTTTATATTATTAATTTAATAATAATATTTTAAGTAGTTTAATTTCTTAAGTTATTTTTAATTAAAAATATATAAAAGGCATTATGTAAGTATTAAATTAATATTTATTTTAGCCCTCTTAATTAGATTTTTTATAATATTAATATAAACTTTATATTTACTAAGTTTTAAAGAATAATATAAGTAATGGGAATTGTTTATAAATAAGTTTTAATAAAAGCTTATTAATTTATTAATAAGGTTAAATATTATTATGCTCTTTTTTAAAGAGCATTTAATATTTTATATGCTAAGTTAATTACTACTTATATAAAAAAGGTTATTCTTTAAATAATAATAAAGGCTGTTAATAATACTTATAGCCCTTAAGGGATTATATTTATATTGCTTATTTTTAAAGCTTATTTATATTTTATAAAAAACTTAGCTCCCACCCCTTTAATATAAAAGCAAGCTAAAGCTATTAAAATAATAATAAAGTCTTTAAGGAAAATAAATATTAAATAATAAGTAAATATAGCTCTTAATACTTATAATAAACTTAATATTATAAAAACCTTTAGTTTATTATTATAAAGTAATATAAGAGTATAGTAAGAGAAAGATAAATAGTAAGGCTTATATAAACTTCTTATTATTAATAGTTATAACCTTACTTTAGATTTTCTAAATAGCTTAATAGTCTTTTAATTTATAATAGTATAGCCATATTATTATAATAAGATA